GATGAACGAGTTAAACCAAACTGAGCTTAAATGATGAACGAGTTAAACCAAACTGAGCTTAAATGATGAACGAGTTAAACCTAACTGAGCTTAAATGATGAATGAATTAAACCTAACTGAGCTTAAATGATGAACGAGTTAAACCAAACTGAGCTTAAATGATGAACGAGTTAAACCAAACTGGGCCTCAATGATGAATAAAACATGTTTTAATACACATTGAAAAAGTACACAAATGTTTTCATTAATCAATCATTGTCATAATTTAATTATGTAAACCTACATGTCAAACATTTCTACACATCAAGTGTAAAAGTAAAAGTGTAAAGTAAAGAAGTAATCAAAGTACCAAAGTAATCAATGATGCTTCTACTGTTGGCTGTTGTAAGGTTCTAACACTCACTATAGAAATGATATCAGACCAAAGCTTTCAACACATTATAATTGAGATAACTAGTTAAACCCAAGAGTAAATTAATATATGCACATAAACTATCCCCTGCCATTACCTAAACTATCCCCTGCCATTACCTAAACTATCCCCTGCCATTACCTAAACTATCCCCTGCCATTTCCTAAACTATCCCCTGCCATTACCTAAACTATCCACTTCCATTACCTAAACTATCCCCTGCCATTACCTAAACTATCCCCTGCCATTACCTAAACTATCCCCTGCCATTACCTAAACTATCCCCTGCCATTACCTAAACTATCCCCTGCCATTACCTAAACTATCCCCTACCATTACCTAAACTATCCCCTGCCATTACCTAAACTATCCACTTCCATTACCTAAATTATCCCCTACCATTACCTAAACGATCCCCTGCCATTACCTAAACTATCCCCTGCCATTACCTAAACTATCCCCTGCCATTACCTAAACTATCCACTTCCATTACCTAAATTATCCCCTACCATTACCTAAACTATCCCCTGCCATTACCTAAACTATCCCCTGCCATTACCTAAACTATCCCCTGCCATTACCTAAACTATCCCCTGCCATTACCTAAACTATCCCCTGCCATTACCTAAACTATCCCCTGCCATTACCTAAATTATCCCCTACCATTACCTAAACTATCCACTTCCATTACCTAAACTATCCCCTGCCATTACCTAAACTATCCACTTCCATTACCTAAACTATCCCCTGACCATTACCTAAACTATCCCCTGCCATTACCTAAACTATCCACTTCCATTACCTAAACTATCCCCTGCCATTACCTAAACTATCCACTTCCATTACCTAAACTATCCCCTGCCATTACTTTAACTATCCCCTGCCATTACCTAAACTATCCACTTCCATTACCTAAACTATCCACTTCCATTACCTAAACTATCCCCTGCCATTACCTAAACTATCCCCTGCCATTACCTAAACTATCCACTTCCATTACCTAAACTATCCCCTGCCATTACCTAAACTATCCCCTGCCATTACCTAAACTATCCACTTCCATTACCTAAACTATCCCCTGCCATTACCTAAACTATCCCCTGACCATTACCTAAACTATCCCCTGCCATTACCTAAACTATCCCCTACCATTACCTAAACTATCCCCTGCCATTACCTAAACTATCCACTTCCATTACCTAAACTATCCCCTGCCATTACCTAAACTATCCCCTGACCATTACCTAAACTATCCCCTGCCATTACCTAAACTATCCACTTCCATTACCTAAACTATCCCCTGCCATTACCTAAATTATCCCCTGCCATTACCTAAATTATCCCCTGCCATTACCTAAATTATCCCCTGACCATTACCTAAATTATCCCCTACCATTACCTAAACTATCCCCCTATTTAAGCTATCAACAGTCACTGCCAGCATTAATTAAGTTCGTGTGTAAAGTGTTAAAAAACAAGTTTGTTGTAATTTATGGATGGCCTTCAAAATACAATATACAAATGTCAATCAAAACTTCTTGGTTCGTTTTGAATTTGTCATTAAATTTCATCATTTGTAGCATTCAAAAATATAAATTTAAAAATGAACATAAACATTTGGCCCAGCTGAATCGAGTGAATGTCTGGCAACCCATCAGCTGTCAGCCAACCACATGACAACCCAGCACAAGATCCTGACTACGTGAGCACAAGATCATGACTACATGAGCACAAGATCATGACTACATGAGCACAAGATCATGACTACATGAGCACAAGATCATGACTACATGAGCACAAGATCATATTACATGAGCACAAGATCATGACTACATGAGCACAAGATCATATTACATGAGCACAAGATCATGACTACATGAGCACAAGATCATGACTACATGAGCACAAGATCATGACTACATGAGCACAAGATCATGACTACATGAGCACAAGATCATGACTACATGAGCACAAGATCATGACTACATGAGCACAAGATCATATTTCATGAGCACAAGATCATAACTACATGAGCACAAGATCATGACTACATGAGCACAAGATCATGACTACATGAGCACAAGATCATGACTACGTGAGCACAAGATCATGACTACGTGAGCACAAGATCATATTACATGAGCACAAGATCATGACTACATGAGCACAAGATCATGACTACATGAGCACAAGATCATGACTACATGAGCACAAGATCATATTACATGAGCACAAGATCATGACTACATGAGCACAAGATCATGACTACATGAGCACAAGATCCTGACTGAGCACAAGATCATGACTGAGGTATATGAACATCACTTTATCTTTGGTCTTTGAGCACTGATAAACTTGATCTGCTGAACAAACTTGGCTCTAAAGAATTAAATTCTATCACATGCACGTGGCTTAAAGCTAGGGAGAAACAGTTGTACAGGCCATAGAGTAGGGCCCATGTTTAGTTAGGTTCACATTCAGTCAAACATGTCAAACATTAAGTACAGGGCACGGCCAGTGTTAATATGGACAATGATTGTGTATACAGTATATGGCCAATGATTGTGTGTATACCACTATGATATGGCCAATGATTGTGTGTGTACAACTATGTTATGGCCAATGATTGTGTGTGTACAACTATGATATGGGCAATGATTGTGTGTACAACTATGATATGGGCAATGATTGTGTGTGTACAACTAAAATATGGGCAATGATTGTGTGTACAACTATGATATGACCAATGATTGTGTGTGTACAACTATGAAATGCCCAATGATTGTGTGTGTACAACTATGGTATGGGCAATAAGTACATGTATATACAAGTATAATATGGCCAATGATTGTGTGTATACAGTATGAAATGGCCAATGATTGTATGTGTATGAAATTGGAATGAAAGTTTGTAAAAGTTTCACTAAGGTAAACAGTAGATTGCACTTGGTAAAGATTACAGCATCAATGGAAATACTGAAGACTGTCCATTACAGGACACACCCCCATATGTGACACACCCACTTCATGTGATGTGTAGTGGGTGTCACTACACATTACAACTTGTAAAAAAAAATTGTGTGTAAACACTTGTAAAGATTGCACATGTTTGATAGCAAACAAAATCACTGCCAGTACAACAGCTTGTGACTAGAACAATTACATCAAATCAGAACAAATACACTTGAACTTTTCTTCTAATCCTAAGATAAAGCTATCCCAAAACTAAGAAGAACATTAGAGATAGTAAATAATATTAGTAAATAACATGAATGACTTATGCTTACAAGCAGTGGTTGTAGTGTGTGTGTGTAGAGTAAAGCTCAAGTATCATATCATGACTTTAATCTGGTATCAGCTCAAGTACCATATCATGACTTTAATCTGGTATCAGATCAAGTACCATATCATGACTTTAATCTGGTATCAGATCAAGTACCATATCATGACTTTAATCTGGTATCAGATCAAGTACCATATCATGACTTTAATCTGGTATCAGATCAAGTACCATATCATGACTTTAATCTGGTATCAGCTCAAGTACCATATCATGACTTTAATCTGGTATCAGATCAAGTACCATATCATGACTTTAATCTGGTATCAGATCAAGTACCATATCATGACTTTAATCTGGTATCAGATCAAGTACCATATCATGACTTTAATCTGGTATCATCTCAAGTACCATATCATGACTTTAATCTGGTATTAGGTCGGCCAATTTACACATCAGATCTTTTGTAACAAATATAAAATTTCACCAGCTAAATATCACAAAAATAAGACATATTACAGTAAAATAATTTGTGTAAAGTTTAAAAATTCAGGAATAAATTAATTATTTACCAGAGATAAAAGGACAAAAAAAAGTATAAATTAATCCAAATTTGGCTAAAAAAATATTAAAATCTGGTTAGCCACAGTATTTTTGAGTAAATAATACCAACATCAAACTTGTTATTGAAAAAAGCAAACAACATCAAATGAATGAGCAAATAGACAGTAAGTTGGACTAGAAAACAAGAGGCTATAAGAAGGCCGAGTTGGTCGACATGAACTGCAGTGATCTGCACAACTGTGGTTACCAAACACTGGACAGCTGGTTTAGCAACACAACACAACTGTGGTTACCAAACACTGGACAGCTGGTTTAGCAACACAAAACCTCTGGCCCTCAACATTTCTAACCTTGGGTTACACACATGTCCAGTAAGGAAAGGTTTTCTAAAAGTTTCAACATTCAGCTCAGCACAGCGGGATTCAGGTGTTGGTGCTAGCTCAGAGTTCACTTACAGGGGGAGTTCTGGGGGTTCATAGCTGGCTGCTGGATTCATAGCTGGCTGCTGGATTCATAGCTGGCTGCTGGATTCATAGCTGGCTGCTGGATTCATAGCTGGCTGCTGGATTCATAGCTGGCTGCTGGATTCATAGCTGCTGCTGGATTCATAGCTGGCTGCTGGATTCATAGCTGGCTGCTGGATTCATAGCTGGCTGCTGGATTCATAGCTGGCTGCTGGATTCATAGCTGGCTGCTGGATTCATAGCTGGCTGCTGGATTCATAGCTGGCTGCTGGATTCATAGCTGGCTGCTGGATTCATAGCTGGCTGCTGGATTCATAGCTGGCTGCTGGATTCATAGCTGGCTGCTGGATTCATAGCTGGCTGCTGGATTCATAGCTGGCTGCTGGATTCATAGCTGGCTGCTGGATTCATAGCTGGCTGCTGGATTCATAGCTGGCTGCTGGATGCTAGTGTCTATGACAGAGTCAGTGAACAGTGGAACAAATGATGTTTGATGATTATCTGTGGAGTTGTAATGACTCATAGCTGGGCGGGGGAGGCAGGGATGATACAGGCTGCTCTGTAACTGGTACTGATGTATAGCCCTCCAGTGAAAGAGGGGGAGGGTGGGGGTAGCCACTGTGGCCGGGGGGAGGGGGTGGGTAGCCACTCTGACTGTCTATGCTCAGCTCCCTGCTGCTGGCGAAGTGGTCAGTGCTGTAGTAAGGGTAGCTGGGCAGGCGGCGCAGTCGGCTGCGACGCGAGGCGGTGGTGCCAGAAGATGTGGCTCCTGTGTGTCCATCGTGGTCAGCCTCTCCCTCACCATCCCTCTCCTGGGACTCCATGCGACCAAACACACACTCTTCATACGAAGGAGGCACTGAAAGTTAAATGACGTGATTGCTTCAATACTAGCACTATTACAAGTCTAGCACTACTGCAAGACTAGCACTATTGCAAGACTAGCACTATAGGATAGGGCTGGTAAGTAGGTCACCAACCAGTTCTATGCCTCATGCAGGTCTTATTGAGCCGTAGAACTGGTTGGTGACCTACTTACCAGCCCTATTACAAGGCTAGCACTATTACAAAGCTAGCACTATAAAAGGCTAGCACTATTACAAAGCTAGCACTATAAAAGGCTAGCACTATTACAAGGCTAGCACTATTACAAAGCTAGCACTATAAAAGGCTAGCACTATTACAAGGCTAGCACTATTACAAAGCTAGCACTATAAAAGGCTAGCACTATTACAAAGCTAGCACTATAAAAGGCTAGCACTATTACAAAGCTAGAACTATAAAAGGCTAGCACTATTACAAAGCTAGAACTATAAAAGGCTAGCACTATTGGAAAGCTGGGCGAAACCATCTGGGGAAGGACTACAGGAAGTTTTTGTGGCTGGTCATAATACAAGAACTGATACATGCATGGGTTGGTCATAATACAAGAACTGATACATGCATGGGTTGGTCATAATACAAGAACTGATACATGCATGGGTTGGTCATAATACAAGAACTGATACATGCATGGGTTGGTCATAATACAAGAACTGATACATGCATGGGTTGGTCATAATACTAGAACTGATACATGCATGGGTTGGTCATAATACAAGAACTGATACATGCATGGGTTGGTCATAATACAAGAACTGATACATGCATGGGTTGGTAATAATACAAGAACTGATACATGCATGGGTTGGTCATAATACAAGAACTGATACATGCATGTGGTTGGGAGCACAATCACACTCAATGATTCCCTCCCCCCCCCCCCCCACCATTAAAATGACCAATGATGTTTTTTAAATAGTCAATACTAGATAATGTATGTTTTTAAGTACAGTATTGCTAAATTAAACATTAAATTATTCTCAAATGGAGTCAAATAGTTTTTGTCAGTCCTGTGAGGGGTAGGTGGGATCTAGTTTAGGCTGTGATAATGAACGTAGGCCTTTAGAAGGTGTCATACAACCATGCTATCTTTAAATTAGACGACTTACATTCATAGTTTTGTCTCAAGGGGGGAGTGGTGAGATCCAGGTCTAGAGATCCCTCATCTGAGTGTGAACTAGGGCGTGGCTCTGTGCGCTGCAGGGGGATGGTCCCAATAAAAATGGTACAACTCAGCTGAACATTTTTCCAGCCCACTGGCACCTCTACCTGCAGACAGGGGCAAGGTCACATGATGTCAAGGTCACATTATGGCAAGGTCATGTGATGTCAAGGTCACATGTCAAGGTCACGTGGTGGCAGTGGCAAACAGATGTCAGTGTTACATGTGACAATGTCAGAAATTATAATGTGGCATGATTTTAATGTGACATGATGTCAATGTCACATGTCAATGTTACACAGTGTTACAGCCATCTCTAGCAGGACTTACATGAATTTCATACATGATGTCAATGATGTTGCAGCCCTCCAACAGGGAAGGTGCAACAGCTGGTATGCTACAAGCGCTGACCAAGTGGAAAGTTTTGCCGGCGCCAATGTCGTCATCAGCTTGAAAGAGAACCCAGTGGTTGATCTTGTCATGGTACTTAGGATGGCCAGATGAGAACAAGCTGTCACTGAAGCCAGTGTAGCGCACAGTCTGAAAACAGTTGGTCAAGCAGGGAGTAGACTAATTACAGGCATGAGAAAACATATATGTATACCCGCACTATTGACATCCGCATCCCACAGATATACCTGCGCTAATGACATCCGCACCCCACAGAGGTACCTGTGCTAATGACATCACCACACCCACCATATATACCTGCACTAATGACATGACCACCGCCCCATATATACCTGCACTAATGACATCACCACCACCACCACCACCCCCATATATACCTGCACTAATGACATAACCCCCCTCCAGATATACCTGCACTCATGACATAACCCCCCTCCCAGATATACCTGCACTAATGACATGACCACACCACAAATTGATGATGTAGCCTTGTTGTTGACGATGATGGTGAAGTTCATGGGTTCCCCGGGGACAAAGCCACTCTTCTGCAGGTCCAGCTGTATGTAGACGTTACCTGAGTCACAGCAGCAGCCTTCATACATCTGCTCCCTCTCTAGGTGCTGGGGCATCTGGCAACAGGTCACTACATTGTTAACACTTGACCAGGTCACTACATTGTTAACACTTGACCAGTTCACTACATTGTTAACACTTGACCAGGTCACTACATTGTTAACACTTGACCAGGTCACTACATTGTTAACACTTGACCAGGTCACTACATTGTTAACACTTGACCAGGTCACTACATTGTTAACACTTGACCAGGTCCCTACATTGTTAACACTTGACCAGGTCACTTCATTGTTAACACTTGATCACGTCACTACATTGTTAACACTTGACCAGGTCACTACATTGTTAACACTTGACCAGGTCACTACATTGTTAACACTTGACCAGGTCACTACATTGTTAACACTTGATCAGGTCACTACATTGTTAACACTTGACCAGGTCACTACATTGTTAACACTTGACCAGGTCACTACATTGTTAACACTTGACCAGGTCACTACATTGTTAACACTTGACCAGGTCACTAGTACATTGTTATCACTTGACCAGGTCACTACATTGTTAACACTTGACCAGGTCACTACATCGTTAACACTTGACCAGGTCACTACATCATTAACACTTGACCAGGTCACTACATCGTTAACACTTGACCAGGTCACTACATCATTAACACTTGACCAGGTCACTACATTATACAACAGGAAGTGACATCATGGACATACAACATATGCCACTGGTAGGAAGTGACTATACAACATGTGGCAGAGGTCTGTGACTTACAGCAGCATCAGGTAAGATGGAGAGATCGAGATGTCGAATGACTGTCAGGTCCTGTTCAATCTGCAGCACACCCTTCCAGCCCCTGTCCATCGTGACAATACACTGATACCTGACATAGCCCCTGCGCCCCTCGAATGAAGACGGGACATCAGTAGGGAGAGTGAAATCAAAAGGATAAACATGCATCCCAGGAGGTTGGTTATCAGTCTGGCCTGGTGTTTCAAACAAGCAAGCAATATTTGTGTACTTAATCACTACAATAGTTTCACTTACACTTCAACAAACATTCTTGGATTGAAAATAATACTGAGGTAACAGGTTGAAGGGTAACAAGTACCAGGTCAAAGGTCATATAGCAAGTATTCTAGGGAGCTGATACAAAAAGGGCTGAGTCTAAAATAAAAACCAAACTTCAACCTACTTCTGCTCTTATACAGGTGATATTCACTGTCTATATAGACTTCCATGGCTTGATAATGTTTTGAAGTATCGCCATTGGACACATCCCACTTTGATTTGGCACGACCAATAAATTTTATGTCGATAGCTGGAGGAAGGAGGGTAAATGAGATAAATAAGGCAACTTGCTGTTTTGAAGTTTGAACAAAATCTATGTACAATAAAACTTATTTGTAAGAATTGTTTATTTTTAAATGCACAGTATCATATTTGTTCAATCATATGAAGATCTTAATAATTTAAAATGTGAATATTTTTATTAACACTACTATTGTCTAGTAAAGAGAAATTTGTGACAAATAAATGTGTCAATACATACGCCAAGAATATGTGCCAATTAATTTTTTAATTAATGAAAGCACCAATATAGTAAACAAAACTTGCAGCTTATCCATGTCTCTTTGGCTAGTTTGATGACAACACTCCCACTGACCACTTGACCAGCTATGTAGATGGAATTGGATCTGCTAAAGTGTAATTCAAAAAGTTCCACTCGCATTCTCACCTGTTAGAAAGATGATACTTATAAACTATACAGCAATTGGGTTTAGTAAGAGATAGAGAGAGATACTGTCTCAACAGAGTCTCAACTAATAAGACAATCGTTCAATAGATAAGTAAAACTATTTTAACATTATTTTATCTCATTCTCTTTTTGCAGATTGATGTACCTTCAAAATGAAAGTAGCAACAGCCTCAAAGTGTTTTGGCTCATGTCAGACTCTTCTGATGCTCCAACATAACATGGCAAACTTAACAGCCACCTGGAACATGAAACAGCCTCAACCTGTGAAGTCATTTTATTTTGCTATTACTAGATCTAGATACTTACTTACTTATTACTACTATACTATTATATTTTATATTTAATTAATAGCCTAATTAATTATTATCTAATTCTAATACAAGACTAAGTAAGACTGAGGTAGAAGTTTAGTTGAAAATGAAATGTTACTTATTTACTATTTAGGCCTAACCTAAATAGTAAACCATTTAAAATTAAACATATTGGTAAAACTCCATTTTAGCGTATTTTATTCCCCGCTTCCCGTTGAGCGTATTTTATTATAAACACAACCGAAACACACAAAAACGTTAGGAAAACACTAGATCAACTTATTTTTTTATGAATCTGATTTTTAATTACAAAAGGTAAAAAAAAAAAATTAAAAAAGCATTAGAACTGTTCCAATTAAATAGCAGTGTGATCGTCAGCGGGAGAAAAATCCCTACCCTACACGGTCGAGGGTTCACTGTGACTACTGTGAGTTCACATTGGCTTTGATTATCAGCATACGTCATACATAAAACATAGGGTAAAATCACGATATAGCGTTGGTTATTATTCCGGAACTGTACAGCAGTAAAAAAAACAGTAAAACCATGGCGTAGTCTGTCGAGCCGTTCCGGAAACCACCGGAAATACTGTAAACAATCATTTATTTGCCGCCATATTATTTTTAATACATAATGTTTAAAAATGTACAAGGATTGATTTTAGTTGCATTTTAAATACTGTTTTGCTAATTATTTTGTATTTCTAATTATTTTAAGTGTATGTGCTAATTATTGCTGCTACTAAACATTATTCTAGTTATTCTTACTACTTTTAACTTTAGTTAATCTAATCGTCTTATTTACTATGAAGAACAAGAGCTGGTTGTCGCAAATCTTCTGCAGGTTTTTTCTGTTTCTTAAAAAAAAAATTAATTACTACACTCGAGTTTATTAATAATATTTAGATTTTCTATCTGTTATTAATTTTCTGTCAATTAAACTGTAAATTAAGTTAAAACATTAATTTAATGCACTTGACTTTATTTTTTTTCACCGGTCAAATAAACTATGGTTTACAGTAACGAATGTTACCGAAACTCAACGAACATTACCCAATAATTTCCGACGCTATATCGTGATTTTACCAAACATAGCTCGGGCAATAGCTGTTTGAAATTGTGTTGGCCTCAGTTTTGGCGTGTGTTTCGGTTATTATAATAAAATACGCTCATCTGGAGGTAAACAAGAAGCGGAGAATAAAATAAATAATCGCTATGCTGCATCATGCACAAATCTGGCTTCTAAACTTCTAAAGAATTAAATTAAAGACTAAAAGTACGAGCTATAGGCTGTCAAGTGTCAGTGAATAGCCTACCTTACCAACAAACTATGTGAATAGGATAGGGCATAGGGCACTAGATCTAGATAGATCTAGATCTAAATAAATAGATCTGTAGAAATCTAGAATCTAGATCTAATCTAGATCTATCATCTAGATTCTAGATAAAAAAGAAAAGTTAACTCACTGAAATCTTTTTAGCAAAACCGGATATAAACAACATAAGGGTCTAGAGGCCAAACAAAATCTCTTTGTTTTTCGCCATAAAATTATGTAATTTAATAAATATACATTATTTAGACTTTAGAGTATGGTTCCGGACATTGCCATTGTTTGTATCTAATGAACGGATCGCATATCAGTCATCAGTACAATAATAACATTACACGGCCTACAACAAGACTAAAAAAGATGAGCGATTGTAACTGAACGTATCAAATTTTATTTCTTTGCCTAATTCGACAACCCTCCCCTTGTCAATGTCAGTGCCAAGACTGTCATCTTAACTCTCCGCGGTCTGCTGAAGGCAGTGGCGTAGGCAGGGGGGGGGTTAGGGGGGGTCATAACCCCCCCATAGACCCCTCGGTATATATAAAAAGTATGAGGGGGGGTGCAAATCGAAAGTTTGAGGGGGGGGGGGGGTGCAAATCGAAAGTTTGAGGGGGGGGGTGCAAATCGAAAGTTTGAGGGGGGGGTGCAAATCGAAAGTTTGAGGGGGGGTGCAAATCGAAAGTTTGAGGGGGGGTGCAAATCGAAAGTTTGAGGGGGGGGGGGGATGCAAATCGAAAGTTTGAGGGGGGGGTGCAAATCGAAAGTTTGAGGGGGGGGGGTGCAAATCGAAAGTTTGTCCCCGGGTAAAAAATTGGAACCCCCCCTTGAGACGATCCTGGCTACGCCACTGCCTGAAGGTCTTCTCTTTCCAGCTCTGTCCTATTTTTCAACCTCATCAAGGAGACCCCGTCCCCCCCCCCCTCCCCCCCCCCCCCCTCATGAGAAAATGTCTGATAGAAACCATGGCGACCAGTAAGGGGGTTCAACCATGGTCACATTGACGCAATTTGTCTACATGCTGTTGTGACGTCATTTATGGACGACCCCTTTGGTATTTGTTTTTTCACAGTGGTACACTGTCTATCTCTATTCGGGTAATTAGTACTGGTTTGAAGTTGTTTTTTTTTTTTTTGTTTAAATGAGTTACTGTGCTCTTCTTTTTAATAATTACAATTTTTTTTTTAAAAATGTAATCGACTTTGCAATAAAAATTGTTTTAAAGTAAAAGTAAACTGTTTCCGACTTTAAGTTTTTTTTTTGGGGGGGGGGGGAGGGAGGTGTATTTTTTTAAGTTAATGAGTTACGGCTCATGTGGTTAAAATGAAACAAGTAACCCAATTCTTTCTAGCAATTTCAAGGTTAGCAACTGTCTCATTGGATCTATCCGAAAAAGAAAGCCCAGATCTTTTCTTCAGCTTCAACAGCTAAGACAGCAATGGAGGTATTAATCACATCAAGCAGTCAACCAAATCTGCGTGGTCTAAGAATCAGACAGCTCATTAGCAATCAGCAAATATTACTCCAAGACTACGACAGAGCTGACACCTGGGTATTCTCATCGGACATTTTCGACGTCACTAAGATACTTAGCACCGCCTACACTTCTCATTACACAAAAAAGATAAAAATAAACGGCACCCAACGACGAAACACTTATATAAAAGCACCCTGAATTGTCATCAAATAACCGCTGTATCACCATCTACACTGACCAGCTAGACAACATCACACATTATTACACAAAAAAACTACGATAACATCTTAACTACGATAACAAGGCACTCCTCATCGCAACCACCGGTAAGAGATAAGGCTGTCTATGCATTTACTCAACATTGGACACATCGCTACCATCTACTCAACATTGGACACATCGCTACCATCTACTCAACATTGGACACATCGCTACCATCTACTCAACATTGGACACATCGCTACCATCTACTCAACATTGGACACATCACTACCCTCTACTCAACATTGGACACATCACTACCATCTACTCAACATTGGACACATCACTACCATCTACTCAACATTGGAAACATAACTACCATCTACTCAACATTGGACACATCACTACCATCTACTCAACATTGGACACATCACTACCCTCTACTCAACATTGGACACATCACTACCATCTACTCAACATTGGACACATCACTACCATCTACTCAACATTGGAAACATAACTACCATCTACTCAACATTGGACACATCACTACCATCTACTCAACATTGGACACATCACTACCCTCTACTCAACATTGGACACATCACTACCCTCTACTCAACATTGGACACATCACTACCATCTACTCAAGCTTGGACACATCACTACCATCTACTCAACCTTGGACACATCGCTACCATCTACTCAACATTGGACACATCACTACCCTCTACTCAACATTGGACACATCACTACCATCTACTCAACATTGGACACATCGCTACCATCTACTCAACATTGGACACATCGCTACCATCTACTCAACATTGGACACATCACTACCCTCTACTCAACATTGGACACATCACTACCATCTACTCAACATTGGACACATCACTACCATCTACTCAACATTGGAAACATAACTACCATCTACTCAACATTGGACACATCACTACCATCTACTCAACATTGGACACATCACTACCCTCTACTCAACATTGGACACATCACTACCCTCTACTCAACATTGGACACATCACTACCATCTACTCAAGCTTGGACACATCACTACCATCTACTCAACCTTGGACACATCGCTACCATCTACTCAACATTGGACACATCACTACCCTCTACTCAACATTGGACACATCACTACCATCTACTCAACATTGGACACATCACTACCATCTACTCAACCTTGGACACATCGCTACCATCTACTCAACATTGGACACATCACTACCCTCTACTCAACATTGGACACATCACTACCATCTACTCAACATTGGACACATCACTACCATCTACTCAAGCTTGGACACATCACTACCATCTACTCAACCTTGGACACATCGCTACCATCTACTCAACATTGGACACATCACTACCCTCTACTCAACATTGGACACATCACTACCATCTACTCAACATTGGACACATCGCTACCATCTACTCAACATTGGACACATCGCTACCATCTACTCAACATTGGACACATCACTACCCTCTACTCAACATTGGACACATCACTACCATCTACTCAACATTGGACACATCACTACCATCTACTCAACATTGGAAACATAACTACCATCTACTCAACATTGGACACATCACTACCATCTACTCAACATTGGACACATCACTACCCTCTACTCAACATTGGACACATCACTACCCTCTACTCAACATTGGACACATCACTACCATCTACTCAAGCTTGGACACATCACTACCATCTACTCAACCTTGGACACATCGCTACCATCTACTCAACATTGGACACATCACTACCCTCTACTCAACATTGGACACATCACTACCATCTACTCAACATTGGACACATCACTACCATCTACTCAACCTTGGACACATCGCTACCATCTACTCAACATTGGACACATCACTACCCTCTACTCAACATTGGACACATCACTACCATCTACTCAACATTGGACACATCACTACCATCTACTCAACATTGGACACATCACTACCATCTACTCAAGCTTGGACACATCACTACCATCACCAGACAGTACCACAACATACTTTTCTAACAAAAACCCCACAAGCAACCAAGGCCAACAACAGCACCCACACCTACAACACAACATTTACTCACGGGCACATTAAAAGCAACTGCTGGAAAAACGACAACAAATGAACAAAACACAACAGTATCAAACCCACCGCCAACCTCACAGGAAACACCCAATATTCTAACATCACAAAAAGTCTACTCTAGTCCACAAGTAACAAAACAAGAAACACAGAAAGGTGTAACAACATCCACCTCTAAAACGAAACAGGTAGACAGCCCATACAAGGAAACAATTACTACAAAAAAAAAACAAAAAAACCGGTAAAACAGTCCCGCCACCCCACTCGGGAAACCTGCCGATTTATAAAAGCAGCAGTTATCACACCCACTCAAAACACCCACGCCAAACCCTTACATTCACCCCACTCAAAACACCCCCGCCAAACCCTTACATCAACCCTAGACAAAACACCCCCAGTGTTTCTTCCAGACTTTTTTCTCCGGGGGGAGGGGGCGGACACTGTTAAAAGTATATATTTTCTATACCAATTCCATTTCGTTCGGGGGGGGGGGTAGAATCTCTTCGGGGGGGGGGGGGCGGCGAAGGGATGATGGAAGAAACACTGAACACCCCCGGTAAATCCCTACATCAACCCCACTCAAAACATCCCCGGTAAACCCTTACATCCCCACCCTAAACACCCACGTCAAACCCTTACATCCACCCCACTCAAAACACACACATCAATCCCTGGCAAACCCGTACATCAGAGGCGTAGCGAGGGGGGTGGGGATGCGGACCGCACCGAGTGACACCATTTAGGGGGGTGACACCAAGGCAAATAATAGCAAAATATATATTGAAAATTTTGAGGGGGGTGCAAATCGTAAGTTTGAGGGGAGGGGGGGGGGAGTGGAAATCGAAAGTTTGAGGAGGGGTGCAAATCGAAAGTTTGAGGGGGGGTGCAAATCGAACAGTTGAAAGTGTGTCCCCTTTGGGGGGTGACACCATTAAGTGCCGCACCGGGTGATAACCGACCTCGCTACGCCACTGCCGTACATGCACCCCAAACAAAATACCCACGGCAAACTTACATACTCCCCACACTGTACAGGGCCGGCGCTACCTATAATGCGAACTAACGCTTTTTTTTACTTGTCTAGACTCTAAACAACTAATGAAAATGTATATTTCACATGATCGTATTTTTAGCTTGTTAATGTTATTGCATAGGTTTTTAACAATGTTTATTCATATATTTTATTTCAGTGTTTCGACAGCAGGCCACCTAAAACTGCAGAACTAAAGAGAATTATTTGATTGGTTACTATTTTTTAGTATGACCAATGAATGGCCCCTTTCCAAAAATAGTAGACATTTCTCGATTCCGTCACATCCGGGCTTATTTCATCTTCAGCTGTGATGAGAGCAAGAAAGAACAAAATGGCGACGGGCACTTCGTCTCAAAGTGATTCTTTAGGTTCTGTAGATGATAACATTGATAGGATTAAATTTTTATACCCAGCCGTAGATGAAGAAGAAACTCCCCTTCCTCGTTCCTGGAGTCCAAAAGACAAGTTCAATTTCATTGGTCTTGGGCAGAATAACCTCAGAGTTCATTATAAAGGTGTGTTGCCAGCCTTTGTTGTTTTTTTTTTGTTTCTGAGTCGTAGAACGGTGTTGACACACTTATTTTACTTATCTAACATTGAGCCCTGTTCCTATATCTTGGTTCTTTTTATATTTTTAGAAATACATTTTAGTGCTAACTATGAATAGAAAATTAGTCTTTAACTCAATGTCCAAGTCAATTAGAATTTTGATTGATTGATCATAAAACTGAAAAGGTAAAATTTCAATTTTGTGAAATAGAAATTAAATTGTTTGTTAGATTCTAGACTTCTAGAGATAGATTCTAGATCTAGATTCTAAGTTAGTAAAATCGCCTAATCAAAAGAGTGAAGAAGTAGATCCAGCTTTAGAGTTCTAGATAAGCTAGATTAGTTCTACTAAATCGAAGTACTTTACTTTAGTACTGCTAGATCTAGTAGTAGGCCAATGATTTCATAATTTTATTTAGATAGGATTTTGATTAGGCTTACATCTGTTGTTAGTCCAATTATTCTCCACATCTAGAAATCTAGATAAGTTAGTAAAAAAAATAGCTTTTTCTATACTTCGTAGATCAGATTCTATTTTTATTGAGTCTAGCCAGAAATAGATCTAGCAGTCTAAGTCTAGCTAGCAAGATTCTGGATCAGTGGTTCTTAACCTTTTTTCAGGTACTTAACCCCACCAGCTGCATATGCGCATTCACCAAACCCTTGTTAATAAGAAAAACTAAATATGATTTTTTTCAAATGCATAATATAGGTAGGCCTATATATTTTATTGGTGTACAAAATAACCATGCATCATCACCATGTTCAAAAAACAAAACGATCAAATTAAATTATAACAAAAAAAATAGGGCTAGACAACATCATAACATATTTCCTGTTAATCACTGTGACCTCTGCACTTGCCTTTCAGACACTAGTCCAGAAATGTGCTGCTTCACCTTGAATTCAGCTTGCATTGTGTTCTTGTATTTTCCACCTTCCATGAAGGAAGTATTCTTTTGCCGGTGCCAAACTAGAAATGCTGAACTTGGCATGGCAATGAAAATCATGCATTTAGGGTGCTGGCTTCTATCAAGTTCTGTCATACATGTGAATGAATCCATATTGTACATATTTGTACACTTTCTTTTTTTTTTTTTTTTTTGCTTGACCAAGTATGAAAGGATTTACATTTTAAGAAAGAAATCACATGTATCCTCACTACTCTCACAGGTCAACTATTGGCCACAAAATAGAAATAGGTTATTTTTTAAAAATCAATTTTTTAAATTGTTAAATTTGCATATTTACATCACTAGGAAGAAACACATTTTTATTTTTTCCCTTTGCACATGTATGATCATAAGTATCATGTCAACAAACTAGATAATCTACTCTTGTTCTATGAGGAAAGTTTTTATAGAAATGTCTAATATACTTCTTAGTGTATATTTTTAAACCTTTGCATTTGTCTGTACTGTTATCGCAACTAGTATTTTGTATCATAGAAAGGAAAACATTCATTTCTTTTTAAAACAATTCGCATGAGTATTTCTATCAGTTCTAGTCAATGGTTGTCTATTCCAGCAAGTGATTTTTGACACATTTGTTTAAGGTATTGGTAAAACTCACAAGGATGCTGCAAGTGTTAGAGCCACACATCCTATTCCTGCTTCTTGTGGTATTTACTACTTTGAGGTTAGGGTAATCAGCAAAGGCAGAGATGGGTATGTGTGTTTTTGTTCTTCAGTGATAACCATTAACTAATACAACAGGGAAAGTGAAATGCAGCTTTAAAATCTCCGGGCTAGCTAATAAATATTGTTATTTAAACCATGTTCTTAAAAGATCAGCTAACATCCTATCAGAACAGGTGTGCATTATGTTTGGGATTAATTGCTATTACTAGTATTACATAGCTATGTTTAATTTGAATGCTGTATTGTTTCATTCTAAAACAACTCTAAAATATTGAATGTTTTATGAAACAGGTACATGGGTATTGGATTATCTGCACAGGGTGTGAACATGAACAGACTGCCAGGTAAATTAAGCACATGAATATTTTTGAATTTGTTGCAGTTTGGGAATTATCACTGACGGTTGAATTTTAGATTTGTTCATGTGAAAACTTGATTCTGTAAAAACTCTTTTTTAAATAAATTATTTTTATGAATAATTTAGTCAGGTCAAGCAGGAATTCTAAAATCATGTCTGATTGTTTGCGCAAATCTAATCCAATTTGAATTTTGAAATATTGATGATATAGGTTGGGACAAACATTCATATGGTTACCATGGAGATGATGGAAACTCGTTCTGCTCATCTGGTGCTGGACAACCATATGGTCCAACCTTTACAACCGGGGATACTATTGGCTGCTGTGTAAATTTAATAGATAACACTTGTTTCTACACAAAAAATGGTGTAAGCCTAGGTGAGCTTTTATTTATATTTTACAATGTTCCTGTAGAAGTAAAGATTATTTGTACTGCATAGTTTTAATTTGTAGCTATCAGAAAAATGTTCAACATTTATACCCATTCTCAAAAACATATTGTCACCTCCTCATTTTATTTTCTCTACAGGGATAGCTTTCACAGATCTTCCAGTAAGTTTTTTTCTATAGAAATTTTAGTTAGTTTGAATTGAGTTGTTAACAAATTTTGTTTTTAAACAGCATAATCATCGATCAATTTTTTATTTAAACCTATTTTCAGCCCAATTTGTATCCTACAGTTGGCCTTCAGACTCCTGGTGAAGTGGTAGAGGCCAACTTCGGACAGTTACCGTTTGTTTTTGATATAGAAGACTATAAAAAGGTGAATGATCAATTCAAAAACCAATCCCCAGCACACTGTTTAATTTACTTGTTTACCTGACTAGTCTTGTGTGTATTTCCTTGATACCCTATTTCATCTTTTATTGATTTGTACAAAACAAAAAAGCTGATGGGAAATGGGAGGGAAGTCAACTTTCTGATTCTAAATGTTCATGTTGGTCAGGAGATTTCAATAAATGTGAGGCAAAAATATGAAGTTATCTTACTAATTTGTGTGCTTTTTGACATTGTTTGCCCACACCCTCATTGTCATCATCACTAGACTGCTTGCCAAAATTCGTCTATTACATTATTTATGTTTTAGAGATAAGAAATAACAGCTGTTTAACTGATGGAGGCAGCTGAGTAGACTAGAATCCTTCCATCATATTGTTGACATGGATTAAAAACGTGTTTTTTTTTAGATTTTGCAAAGCGAAAGTAAAAATAATTTAAAAAAAAAACTTAAGCCTAAAAATAATTCAGAAATTTAATATTTTTAGAAGATAAAAGTTGCAAATCCAGAGAACTTGAAAATAATGTGTTGAGTTAAAGGCTATATTTCTATTTATTTTCATCAGGCTTAAGTTATAATGTAACCTGATGCTTCACTTTTGTAAGACAAACATTGATTGGCTGTACAGGAACTCTGTGATCGATTTCTGACAGCCCACATCATAGTTTTTTGTTTACAAAACTTTGCAGATAAAGTTTTTAAATAACAATGCAAACTTAAACCACATGACCTAGTTCTGCAATTTTTTTTTGCTTACAATTTGTACAATAAAAATTATGCTAGCCCATCAAATGGCAAGAAGCCATTGTTTATGTCCCCTTACACATAAAAACCAAATTGTTTTTGCTTTATTTCATTTAGTAACCGAAAATATTAAAAACATCAAATACATCCAATCTTTTGTTAAGTCCAAAAAACCCAAACAGACAGGATTATATAACCATATGGATTTTAACTACTGATTTTAATGATTTTTAAAATATTTAATTGGCCTCTCGAATACCTTTGAGACTTTTCTCTCTTAGGTCCATTAAAAATTAGTATATATTTTTCATGCTTAGCAATATAAAAATTTAAAACTTACAATGTTCTAATGTATCGTGGAACTAATGTGGTGTAATATCAATGTATTTCATCTGCATAAACTTATTTATTGGCAATCTGATTGGTTTTTCTCAATGTTGAAATAACCTGCATGAAATATAAACAAATCTCTTGGGTAGACTTTTATTTTTGCCCACTTAAACCTTTTATAAACTTTATCTTGGTTCTTTATTTATCTTAGGAATGGAGACTAAAGACTAAACTGACAATAGAGCGGTTTCCTGTCTCAGACAGAAAAGGAGAATTTCAAGCAGCTCTACACAGGTTCTGTATGCTCACTATTAAAATATTCCCAGAAGTTCATGAACAGTTCATCCCAATTGGTAATAATATTCATAAATTAATGTCTGTTGTATGTTTTCTTCTAGGATTGTTTCTACATATCTGGTACATCACGGCTACTGTTCTGCAGCAGAGGCGTTTTCTAGGTCGACAGAGCAGCCTATTGTTGAAAACATAGAATCAATCAAGAATAGACAGCGTGAGTGTATTAAGCTTTTAGATTCTAGACCTTTTCCCGTTACCTTTATTTTCTTTCATATTATTTGTTTGACTTATTTAAAAAGTGTTACAGGCTTATCCTTTCTATCTTGATAATGTTTTGTAAGATTTTAGATTAGCAAACTCCTATAAAATTCACTGAATATTTCTAAATACTTCTGATCCTTACATATTCAACATGCGAGTTTATTTATTTTCGTAAAATCCAACTTTTTAGTTAGGCAGCAGGCAAGGGGAGCACTAAGGAATGACGGCGCCGCACTGTGCGCTGCCTTAGAACAACGTCATCTTTTGCCAAAGCGTTTGGGGGAAATTGCGTTGGGAGCCCGACTGGGGGGTTGGACCCACGGCGCAGAGGACCCCACTCGCTAGGGCAATCCGAAGCTCCAAAACCTGTTTTTAAAATGTCCGAAATCCACCCACAATCAAGCTGGGTACCATGACGGTGGGACGACGTCCTGCGTCAGGTGGTGGGGAAGGCAAGCCTGGTGAGAGCCCACGGAAGCAAAGCGACCGATGTGCAGTGTTCGAACCGACATCTTCGTGAGGCTGCCAACAGCCCACGCTAAGCCAGTTAGTCGGAGTACACTGCGCTGAGGCCGGCCTGGCTTATGGGAGCGCAACTCCTGAGCCGGTGATCCGTGTTGTTCGAGTTAGACATGTAAGCGTTAGGTAGTCTAATTTCGTTGTCAATTTTTATTTTTCAGGAATACAAAAACTAGTCTTAGCTGGAAGAATGGGTGAAGCTATTGAAACCACACAAGCTCTTTACCCTCATTTACTGGATGCAAAACCTGATCTTCTTTTTATGCTCAAATGTCGTCAATTTGTAGAAATGGTGAATGGCACAGACAGTGAGGTCAGAGGTGGAAATGTCTCCACTTTAAATAACGTTCATTCTGGTGGGCACACTCGCAGTCCAAAGTCCTACTATAGCAGCGATGGGAGTAATCGCTCCAGCCCAGCACACAGTCCCCACCCTTATACCAGATCTGGTACACCTCCCTCCTCTCAGCATCAATATTCAGTTCACTACAGCCAACAGGCATCGCAACAACAGATGCATCACCATCGCACATCAGCTGCTCCTGACTGTAACAGCCCAAGTAGATCTTCAGGGAAAAATGCAAGTTCACATGGCCATCAATACTCGCAGCAGTTGCAGCATCATCATCACAACAGCAGCTATAATAACAGTAGTGATGCTGGCATGCAAAACAATCACCCTTATAATTACAGTCGGATTGGAGAAGAGGAGGCTTTATTAAATTCCAATAATGCCATGACTGGTGGGGAGCATATAACCCTGAATGGGGGTCCGGGTGGTTCCAGGCTTATTGATAATGAAGAGATGGACTTATCTGATGAAGATGAGCACTCTAACACACACACAAATGGAAATAACCATGTCAATGGAAACTCTGTGCATGATGATGAAGAAATGGGTAGGTTACTTTTGTTTCTATTTTGTACATTTTTGGGAACATCTATGTTTTTGCTCTCACTGGAGGGACTAGAATCAGACTTTCAAAATGATATAGTTAGAAGTTAGTTTTCTGATGATTATTTTGACAATAATTACATACTTTCTTTTATTGTAAATGGATCATGCACTCCAGGTGCTTACTTTAAGAGGAGTGTCAATTTATAAGCTACAATGAAAAATGTCCATAGCTGAATAGCACTTAAAACAATCAAATGCTTCCTCCCTGCCATTAGATGTTGATACCCCCTCTCATCGTCGTCAAATGTGTGGTGGGAATGAAGCAGCAATCCAAAAAATGTTGGCATTTGGTAGGGAACTCAAAATGATGAGCCAAAAGTTGAGAAAGGAGTTTGGCAAAAATGAAGCCAACAAAAAAGCCCTGCAGGTGAATACTTATATATATGGCTTATAGTTGTAAGTATGCCAATAATAGAAGTATACATTTAGGTTTTAAGTCCCTGATGTAACTAGCTCATATATTATAGGGTCATCCATTTATGACGTCCAAAATAAAGGATTTTAGTAGAAACATAAAACATGAGAAATATAGAATCTACTGAAGTAAATAACATGTGCATTTTAATGCATCTTTCTTCTTTGTGTCAGTCAAAATCCCCAGCTTGTTTTGGTTTTTCTATGGGAAGTTCAGAACCCCATAATTCTTGGTTTTTTTTATCACTCACTGATCTTAACAGTACTCTTTTTTTATTTAAAAAGTGGTGGTGTAAAAATACATACCTCTGCTATCTAAAGTTCTTTATTTTGAATGCAGGTTAAATGTTTATTGGAAGATATAAGTATTTTGATATTAAATTAACATATGGACATCCACATGTCAGAAGAACCCCTTCTCCTCTTTACACAATCTCCTCATTTTCACTCTCCGTGTATGGACGTCATAAATAATTGATCCCTAATGAGAAGATTGAGAGACGACAAAGTGAAAGGTAAATTGCTTGTATTTTCTAGGATGCCTTCAGTTTATTGGCCTACTCTGATCCATGGAGTAGTCCAATAGGCAGCCAACTGTTGCCAATTAAACGAGAACCTGTGTGTGCAGCTCTCAACAGTGCTATCTTAGGTATGGTGCCTTTATCTCTAGAGCCTAAGTAGGTAATATACATTGTATCACACATATACCCAACATAATTACTTATGTTTCAAATTTCTGTAGAATCCAAAGGATTGCCAAAACAGCCTCCCCTTGAGCTGACTATAGCTCAAGCCAGTCGATGTATGCGCCTTATGTCTAAATCAGGAATTGGAGCTTGTGCATTTGCTGGTGTTTCAGACTATCTTCACTAACAAATGGCTACCATGTAGATGACCATCACAGCTCCCTCCCTCTCCTGACCTCATAATAACTGTCATCTTTGGCTATCTGCCAAGTACCTACTCATCTAAGGTTGTCCATGAAATGTTTTCTAATTGGATTGCTGGTAATTACTTCCATTTTAATAGTGTGTTAATCATTTATCTTTGGGGGTTACAAGGAATGTTTGATTAAATTCATGACTGCTTACTAAGGTTTGATTTATGTCTGATTATCAATGTTTGATTGACTAAGCTGGCTTGTGAAATGTTCCAATCCTTTTTTTTTCTTCAATTTTTTTATAGTGATGTTTTGTGAGTTTTATTTAAGTGTATGTTAAAACTTTAGTTGTTTAAGACTTACCCCAGTAACATGTTTCTTAGAACACAATCTGCCCTGAGTAAAACACCACCCAACCAATTTGTGTGTCATCAGTTTTAGCCTGTAAACACATTGTTCCTTATGTTTCTTATAAATTCACATTCCAAGTCTTAATCAGCTGTGGCAAAAGTAAAATCCCCAAAAGTCTAATTTGGTTTGACTCTGTTCTTTTGAATTCCTTAAAATTTGTGATTAGCTTAAAATGTAGAGGTTGACAATTTTTAGTAACACAAGCTTTTTGTAAATGTGTAATATACTTCTTTTGGTAATTCTTGATAGTGTTGCTTGTTACTACAGAAGTTTAAATCTATGCTGTATCTGTTTAACTTCTTCAATTGAAACTAGAACTATTTAATGTAAATTTTTATAGTTTTTTTATTTTAAAATTTGAACCATTGATATTGTAATGCAAAAAATGTGTTTGAATTTAATGTTGTGAGAGATCCTGGACTTCAAATAGATGCCATACATGAGTGCTACTAGTAGACGAGCCACTGCTTTAAGTAGATGTCATGTTGAGTGTTTTTATAATTGTACTTTCACAGCTTTCCCCTCATTGTATAAAGATGATTTATGAAAACAGATTTTGTATTGACTGAATAATTGGTAACACTAATTTGTCATATTGTGATATCTAATGCATGTGTTGCAGTTAATGTATAGATGGAAAGTATGTGGAATGATTTCATCTTTTTCTGTCTGGTCATTTTATGCCACTATGCTAATCATGTGGTAAGAGATTGTTGAGTGACTTGTTGTACTTACTCTTGAATAAACTACCATCCCCACTTACACCCCCCCCCCTGTCTTTATGCATTATGTCATTTCTCTCCCAATTTGATCATATTTTGATGCATTTCTCTTTTGTGATATGGTTATGATTAAAATATTAAATTAATTCCTACATTAATTTCTATGTGCATTATTGATAATATTTTAACTTTTTTGCAAGATAGTAGCAGAGCTCTCTGCACTACTGTGTAGTATTGGATAACTAGAGTCCATTTTGTTTGGTCAAATACTATACAGTTTTTTTCTCCTGTCCTGGCTTCTTGTTTCTTATAGTAATAGTCAGGATCAAGTTATCAGATTTGCTATGTCAGATATTAATTAAACATTTTAATCACATTCTTTTGTGTCAGCTCTATAGTCACTGTTTGGTTGTGTCTGATGTGTCAGTAAAGTCGGTCAGCGTTGTAGACAGAATGGCCCCAGCAGTGGCCTTGACCATATCAGGCCAGCCAAAAACCGTTCATAATGAGTTAAATGTATGAGCAGAAGTGTAGCGATGGGGGGGGGCAGGGGGTACATATGTCCCCGGCCGCCGACCCTAGGGGGCGCCAAAATGGGTTGTAAAAACAAATAAAAATGTCATTTTAGCTGCATTTTTTGAGGGGGGGGGGGGGGGGGGGAGGTCCAAATCAAAAATTTGCTCCAGAGGGGGGTGCCAAATTGAAAGTTTGTCCCCGGGCGCCAGGAAGGGTCGCTACGCCTTTGTATGAGAAGAGCTAATGAACACAGACTGATTTATTTGTTCCAATATGATAGGAGAATGAGACTGGTCAAATGGAAGAGCATACTACTACTAACCCAAAAGTATAATCTGGGTTGTAGTCCATAGGACATTCCTGAGTCCATCAAACTCATTTTAGGGAAAGCAAAAGTGCTGACCACACTATCACCTCATATGCAGAGGTCACAGAAACAGGTGAACCCTGCTTCACTTGCACCATGGACCGTCAGGTTCAAAAGATTTTAAGTGATCAGAGCCTACTGTTCAAAGTAAGTATTATGTGACGAGTAACTTAAAGTCAAGAGATTTATAAACAAAATCTTCCGTTTCAAAGTGTATAAAGCTAACTCGGCAAAGGTTAATGTGCAATCAAAGCGTATCAATATATGGTTTTATTTAATGTACAGTACAGGTTTTGTAAGTACCATTGTTGTAATTTACCTGGCAGTTTTGTTACTGCATGTAGGATAGGGTGTAATGCATCACAAACGTTTTTTGTAAAAACAGCCCTGAGAAAAAATTGTTTAGCATTACTAATATTATAAGGCGTTCTGACAAAAATTTAAATAAAACTAGAGATGACCCAGCTTCCAGTTTGGAAATGGTATGTCAGCAGTAGGGGCGGATTAAGCTTGAGCGCCACCCCCCCCCCCCTCCCCGGCTGAATTTTTTTGGGGCCCCTATATATATATGTATATATGTATATATATATATATGTATATATATATGTATATATATGTATATATATATGTATATATATATATATATACATATATATATACACATATTGTGTGCACGTGCGAGTTATTTTATGTATATGTAACTAGTGTAGTTACAAAAACAACGTAATGGTGTCTGTAAACAAGGTCTATACATTTTTCTATTATGTTTGGATTAAAGCGCCATTTGTAAGCTATTACAATATTACATGGATCACTCATACACTCACATATTGAAGTAAAACATTTTTTCAAGCCTGTTTTGCTAAAACTCAGTGTTTTATTTCCTGAATCTAGTTAAGCAACCGAATTGTATACCAGAAATAAAATGTATACAGTATACTATTTCAGGGAGCATCGTCGCTTTATGTAAACAGTTTCCGATCAGAAAGCAACAACAGCGTAGTGGTGAGAGGGGTGGGAAGTTTGGAAGTTCTTTCATGGGGAAAAACTTATATTTTTGGCCTTCGGTAAATAAAATGACTTGTCATTTTAACACAATTTACAGACGGTTAGGAATGTTTTCATTGATTCATAGGCGTAGCGACCCTTCCCGGCGCCCGGGGACAAACATCCGATTTGCACCCCCCCCCCCCTCAAACTTTCGATTTGCACCCCCTCAAACTTTCGATTACTTTTTCCAACCCATTTTGGCGCCCCCTAAGGTCGGCGCCCGGGGACATATGTCCCCCCCCTGCCCCCCCCCCCTCCCCCCCCCCCCCCCTCATCGCTACGCCTCTGCATTGATTGCTAGAGTTAGCCTATAATACAGGTTGTCTGAAAGCTTGAGAATGAGAACTAGTTCAGTGTTGACCCTTCACAGTATTAATGTTTTATATTTTTGTTGCCACCGCGTGATGCGATCGGATGAAAAAAACTTCAAATTGCTGACTTTTTTAAAGATGAGACAATCATTTGTCACAATGTGGCTACTGTTTGTGTTATTAATTTCTCGTATACGAAGTGTAGAGGAAGTATTGTAATCATGCAAAAAATATATATATAAATCGAGATTTTCACAGATCTCGACGTTTTACACCTCCCTGAGTCGGAAAAACATAGTTCTGCAATTGTATCCGTATGTCTATGTGTGTGAATATATGTGTCTGTAAACACGATTACTTGAGTACCGTTGCAGCTAGGTTGATGGAATTTCATATATTAGTATTATATCAAATGTGTAGCTCTGTATCAACTTTTCAGCGATTTCCGATAACCGGAAGTTATTATAACTTCCAATTTGTCAAAAGCCTATATTATCTTGAGTACTGTTTCAGGTAGATAAATGAATTTTTACATGTAAGTAAAAGATCTAATTCTCTTCCTCCTATCAAATTTTGTTAGAGTAATTTCCGTTAACCGGAAGTAGTGATTTACGCTATTTCCGATTTCTCAAAAAAACTCATGTTAATTTATAAAGTACTAATAATATTCCACACTATTATACACATATTGGTTGGCGTTCACTTGGTGCGCAATTCTTTTTTCTACGAGATTCTATTTTAAAAAGTTTAAGCAATTAAAAATAGATAAAAAATATTGTCTATATCCCGAGTTGCCATCCCCCGTAGTGTTCAATGAGAATATTCGAGAAAGTTTAGGGGAGATTACTCCCGGTTTATTTAACTCTAAAATCAACTCATTTTAATGTTTATTGTCATAAGCGAATGCTGGTTCGGACTAAGCTATTTTAGGGAGCTTCTGCTTTATATTTAAATATAAACAATGTCAGGGTAAGATCGAGGTGAGGACAGGTGGTATTTATATTGACTCAGGCGTTTGATATTTGAAAAAAAAATTGATTGAAGCTTGTTATTCAAACATTTATTTTATAGTGGGTAAATTTTGGGGCCCTTAAAAATCAGGGCTTCTGACTGCAGCACCTCGCCCCTTAATCCACTACTGGTCGGCAGTACTAAACAACACAAACCAATATCCCCCCCCCCCACCTTTTGTTGTTATTTAACCCCAAATAACCCCCGCCCAGTTCCTTCCCGACATCCATGCGGGTTAGGATGAGAGGGGGATAGCATTCGCATGCTACTACCTAATAAAAGCCACAATATCTATATATTAAACACCCAAACACCTTATTACTTTATTAAACACATAAACAGAACCACTGCATTAAATAATTCTGTTAAAAAACACGGTTATTTTATTTTTAAACTTGTATTTATCCTTTTTTTTCTTTGCCGACAAAAAAAAAGTTCTTGTCATTAAAATTAAATAATATAATATAATGATGCATACAAACTTTAATCTCTTTAGTCTCGAACTGGAAGACCTGTCAAACGTATTCAAACGTAAACGAAAACTGTTTAATATTGCGTATCCGATTGAAAATTAATACCATTGTTGGAACCTAACAGAAATAACAATTAAACGTACCGATAAGGCTCTAACTGAAAATTAATAATGCATCAAAATGGAATAAACTTTTGAATCGGTAACTAACATGTCTACACATCTGACGACCCTCTTTGTTTTAAAAAGGTGTACTACTGTGCATGGTGCAAAGTTTATACATTTTTTGAGTTTTTATTATCAAGGGGAGTTTTTTGGATTTGCATATTTCTCTAGATAATATTCAAATCCATAAAGACAATTTTGATTTTACATACATTTAAAACACAATATTTTTTTCTGCATAATTGCGTATTTTTAAATTCTACAAATATTGAAAATTTTCCGATCTCGTGATATAAAAAAATAAATAAACAAACATTAGTTAAGATTTTTAGTATTTTATAGATGAAACAAAAGATTGACCATGAAAGCTCAAACACTTTTTAACAATTTTAAAGTACTTACACGACATTTTTAAAGAAGGTCTACACCGGTTTCCCCATTGAGCACTGTGGTGCCTACATTCGTTTTTCGTAATATCGTTGTACACGGAGGGAAGGTGGGCTACTAGTTTCTCGTGTTTATTTTATTCTTTTTTTTTGTATTTATGTTATTAATTTTTATTAAATCTCTTTTATAGCAGCGACATTCTTTAGTTTGCCTTTTAAAAATAATAATTAAGAGAAGCTTTTAGTTTGCTTAGTACAAAATTATTAAAATGAGCCTTATGGACAACCCTATTAGACTACTTAAATAAGAGTAATAAGTCATAGAAGTGATTTGTACTTTCATTTATCTTTCACACATATTCCCCTTATGCAACAGCTACTGTAGAACAACCACTACTAAGATCTGTTTATTTTGGAAATTTCGACCACTTCTAACCACCCAATGTCTCTGAAACTCGGCACGTGTGTTAAGACCTGATGCCAATACAATCTGACATCAAATATGACTTAGTTGGATATTTAATTAATTTTCAAACAATTATTTAAAATTGCCCATATATAGTGCGTTTTTTTTTTTTTGCGCGTTTGTGCGTTGGTATTCCGTTTGCGTTTTTATTTGCGTTACGTTTGTATTTGCGTTTATGTTTGCTTTTGTGTTTGCTTTTAATGTTTGTGTTTGCGTTACGTTTGTGTTTTGGATTTGACTGTGGTTGGTTGAGGTTTGAGTTAAGTTTAGAGTTAGGGTTATATGTTATTTTCTCAAACGACCATAGTTACATATAAACATTTAATTGGTAAAGTAATATATTTCCTCACCCCGGGCAATGCCGGGTATATACTGTTTAATAGACACACAAATATAGGTTTTTCAAAAAGGCCGGTGCAGGGCCTAACCAGCACGGCTAGTAATAATTCTTTACTGTATATATATATATTTATATAATATAGCTACCCACGCTTTTATTTTTATTTATTTAAATATTACTTAATTGTTATATATTTGAAGAAGATTATTTATTTTCTCCTTTTTAGTGTATTAGCATATAAAAGCTTGTTATTAAAATGTTTTAAAAATCATTTTTAAAATCATCAAATAGACAATAGATGTGATGTAGCTAAGAGCAAAGTTAACTGGCCTATCCTAATCCACTTAAATTGCTGGTTTCAACGACGGCAGAGTTTCTTCCAGGCATCTCTTCGGGGGGGGGGGGGGGGGGGGGGGGGGGACGGACGACAGAACACCCCCCTCCCCCCCCCACCCCGAAGGAAGTTTACCGCCCCCCTCCCCCCCCCCGAACGAAATGGAATGTATATATTTATATATAGAAAATATACTTTTAACAGTGTCCCCCCCCCCCCGCAGAAAGTCTACCGCCCGCCCCCCCCCATCCCGAAAATTTCCAGTGCCCCCCCCCCCCGGAGAAAAAAGTCTGGAAGAAACACTGAACGACAGTATAACGAAGGTTAATGAGGGGTCATCCATAAATGACGTCACGCTTTTTTGACGATTTTTACCTCCCCCCTCCCCTCCGCAACACGTCGTCACAAAAAGCCAGACCCCCCCCCTGAAATGACGGCACACCTCAGCCTACAACCCCCCCCCCCTCAAAATTGCAGTTGAATTTTTTTTAAACAGCTATATTTTTTCCAAAATCTTGTCTGAACTCTGTCAAAATAGAGTATTTTAATCAATTGTTATTACAATTTATTAAAACAGTTTTCTAAAACGCAAAATAACGTCTAAAATTCGCTTTCTAACATTGCTTTTTTATAATGCAAAAGTGTGACGTCGCACCATCTGAACCTCCCCCCCCCCTTCCCCCCCCTGATCACACACCGTCACAAAATTACGGACCCCCCTCCCCCTACGAGTGTGACGTCATTTATGGACGACCCCTTAATTAGTTAACTTTGGGGGGGGGGGTAGTTTTGCTTCAGGGGCGACTGGCGAGATGTCTGAAAGAAACACTGGATCTAAGTAAGTCAGATAAAGATTTAGTTTATAAATGAATTAGGGCCTATTAGATATAGATTCTATCATTTTAATAATATTAGGCATAGTCTACATAATATGGCAAATTGTTAGCTATTTTAAAATCTAAAATACAATAATTGTTTTGAGGTAAATTAAAAAATTTTTTGTGTGTGTTTATGATGGGGCAGAGGCGTAGCGAGGGGTGGGCGGGGGGTGCGGACCGCACCGGGTGACACCATTTAGGGGGGGGGGGTGACACCAAGGCAAAAATAGCAAAATATATGGAGAAAAACTTGAGGGGGGTGCAAATCGAAAGTTTGAGGGGGGAGGTGCAAATCGAAAATTTGAAAGTTTGTCCCCGGGAAGGGTCGCTACGCCTCTGGGGGGGGGGGGGGGGTGACACCATTAAGTGCCACACCGGGTGACACCCGACCTCGATACGCCACTGTGATAGGGTAAAGTAAGGGGAATGAATCTAGATCTAGATCTAATATAAAATAATACGAAGTGTCTACTCGGAATAAGATTTTTCGGCAAAAGATAGTTCTGCGCATGCGCAGTGACCTATGGCTAGGGTTAGGGCTAGAATGAGGGTTAGGGGTAGGATTAGGGATAGGGTTAGGGATAGGATTAGGGCTAGGGTTAGGGATAGGATTAGGGCTAGGGTTAGGGATAGGATTAGGGATAGGGTTCAGGATAGGATTAGGGTTGGTATTAGGGTTGTAAACACACGCATGCGCAGTACCATCGAAAACATCGCCGCTAAGTCGTAGTTTCTCTCCATTGCGCATGCGTATCGCATGCGTATCTTATTCCGACTAGAATCGGCCAAAATAATACGGCAAGCGCAACGTTTAAGTTGTGGTTTATAATAATAAGAAATCTCACTGACATCGACGTGATGAAAGGCATTCGACCTTGTTAGAATGTCATTTAAGCCTATAATATATAATGAGTTTTACGCGCGAAGAGTACTTATGCCACTTCTAAAGTTGTACTTATAATTTTTACTCGAAAAAAACTATAAAATTACATTAACTAATGATTTGTAGATCTAGATCTATAGATCTAGTATGGAACCTAGATCTAGATTCTAGATCTAGAATCTACATTATGTCACTATCGAAAGCAATGATGAGTAGATCTAGGAAGATTTGGAAATGGCGAACGGCTCCCTAGACTCTAGACTAGATCGAATCTGAATGCTAAGTGGGTTAACAGAAGTTGTTGTATACTAGGTTTAGAATAAGGAAAATGTTTCATTTTAAAAGAAATCTACAGTAGTTTTCAACTTAGATACGTTTTCGAAATGTAATAAATGAAAAGGTATTTTATGCAAACTCTATGAAAATCGGCGAATCGACTTCATAAATTTTCGTCAAACGTGCGTAAGTCACATTGAAAATAGTTTTTTAAAGCTTATTTCTGAGGTAATTTATTTCATTATTATATTTTTTTAGAATACGCAACATTTACATAATTTAGTAAAAAAATAAAATTATAAGAGAAGTAAGAGTAAGTAATGATATTAATGATTTTCCTATGCCCACCTATCTGTACTACCGAACTGTTTGTTAGTGTAATTAGTTTTTAAACTACTAATGAATGAAAAAATATTATATTGTTTGATCTCTAATAAAAAATTATTAATTCGACTAAATCGCTCATTAAATGCGATATTGTTACTCTCAACCGTTGAAATGTTTTTAATTTTTTAGATTAGCGACTTAGCACAGAAACTCCATTTATTCATAAATAAACGGACACGGGAAGCGACAGTTTCGTCTTGTGACGTAGTAGCTCTCCGCTATGTTCGCAGCTTGCTATAAAACCTGGCGAGTCAACTGTCCCAGTTATTCTTGCTCTCGCTGTTGTACTGAGAAGATCGTAAGATTTTACATTGCCAACTTTCGAAATGTCCGCTGTTGCTACCGCTCCCGCCGCTACTGCAGATGCCCCTACCAAGACAACTACCAAAGCACCCAAGAAGAAGGCTGCCGTTAAAGCTAAAGTTGCAGCTGCACATCCACAGTATAAAGTAATGGTTGCTGCCGCCATCTCAGCATTGAAAGAACGCGGTGGTTCATCTCGTCAAGCCATCTTGAAGTACATTGTAGCGAACTACAAAGTTGGCGATAACCAGACCGCTGTCAATGCTCGTGTGAAATCTGCACTTAAAGCTGGTGTTAAAGCCGGAGGGTTGAAACAATCTAAAGGGACTGGAGCTGCAGGCTCATTCCGTCTAGGTGAGAAAAAAGAAGAGAAGAAACCTAAGGCCAAGAAAGTAGCAGAGAAGAAACCCAAGTCTCCTAAGAAAGCAGCCAAACCTGAGAAAGCAGCAACTGGTGTCAAGAAGCCTAAATCTCCCAAGAAAACTGCCGTGAAGAAACCATCCACCAAGAAGCCAGCAGCTGCTAAACCCAAGAAAGCCAACTCTCCCAAAAAAGCTGCACCAGCCAAACCTAAAGTAGCCAAACCTAAAGTTGCAGCAAAGAAGCCAACTGTGGCCAAAAAGGCTAAAACTCCCAAGAAAGCTGCAGCAGCCAAAAAATAAAGCACTTGCACTTCCAAGCCACTTATAACTGGTCCTTCTCAGGACCACCCCTTTGTTCCAGAGGATAATTTTCAAGACTATAACTATAACCAATATTTCCCATTATCTACTCTTTCTTAGCTGTCCTGCTATATCCTACACTAAATGTTATATAGTTAAGGTTGTTTGCATACTCACTTTGTCTGTACTATTATTTAGTAATTGTACCATTACATACAATAGCATTATCAGCATTTTGTCAAGCTTCAGTGCTTATCTTAACTTCCCACCTAGGATTATTGTGGTGATAGTTTAGCGCTGAAAAAGTTAATTTAAAAGTTGTGTATGGTAACTATGATGACAGTTCTAATGCAGTAATAGCAACATGCAGATAACAAAGGAATTTTATCATTGTTAAAAGCAATTTAGATTTCATAAAAAGAATACCATTTAAATATCAAGGTGGTAAAGATCAGTCAGGTGACCTGTGTCCATAAATGTTTACTAATCTAAGAGTTAATAGTTTTAGGGAATTGCTTAATGAAAGTTAATGCAGCGAACAATATAAGAAATCTATACTATACACATCTAGAAACAAGTTAATAAAAAGTCTAGTGACAATTTAAGCGCAATTTTCTTATGTTACCCATAACAATTTTAAATCGAGATAAATCATATATTCAGCAAATAAATAATCCAACACAAGTAGTTTCAATAATTCAAAACAAAATAGAAAAAATCCTTTCGAAGCTCCGCTCATTCGCTATGGTAAAATACTTTTGAACCTCAGCGCTTTGCGCTAAATCATCCTAGGCCTACAGGACGCTCAGTTTAAAAATTCTTAATTAATTTTTTGTGGCCAAACGAAAGGATATTTTTGAAAACTTTCTTCGGCAATATTGTTCTAAATTATGGCAGGGATCGGTTGGTATATGTTTCAAGTCGCTAAGTGGTCTGGTTGCCGAGATATGGGCCAAAAACTGCATTTTTTGGAGTTTTTTTGGCTTTTCCGGGAAATCCAGAAGGAATTTTTTTGGCATATGTTCATCCTCGGAACTTGCTTAACATATTTGCTTTGGAACTAGTCCTCGATATTGCTTCGTTGAGGAGGAGATACGACTTAAAGACGACTTAAAGCTGCGGACACACATCCATACATCCATTCCCAGAAATGACGAGTTAATAAACGCAATTCTCCAGAATGGAAATTGCGCTAAAAACCCTGCAACATTCATTTTATGTGGAAACAATTTTCCCACTGAACATGTATAAGCGCGGTTTAACATAAATAATTACTAAGGCTAATTAAAAAAACCTACATAACACTAATTCAGTAATTGATAAACATCTTACTATCTTACTCACCCTAGCGCTAACACTACAGTAATTAAGATATACTGCAGTCCTAACTAAGATATGATTAGTTACAAAATTATATTATTTTATCTATATTATTAATGCCACTTGCATTATAATAAACAAAAAAAAACTATGGTGCTAATAATAGGTTCCGAACTTTGTTGTTGGCTAAATTAAGTTAATGTGTTCCTAATAGTACTAAGAGGTCATCCAAAAACTACCTCATGACGTCAAAGAGGGTGTGTGTGTGTTGGAATTTTATGACAAAGGAGTGTGGGGGTTTCGGCAGATAGTTCAACAATACACTTTAATACCATTTTAGTCAGTTATGTTAGAAACTGAAATTTGTTATTTTGCGTTTTTAAAAGGATTTTAATAATAGTTATAAGAAATAATATCAAATTATTAAATAATAATCAAAGAATAGAAAGAAATCGATGTTTCAAAAACTAATATTATATTGTAAATTTTAATAGAAATAGATTAGCATACTTAATTTCGACTGCAAAAAAACAGCAACATTGAGGTGTGTGTTGAAGGCTGAGGTTTGATGTCTGGTGGTATAAAAATAATTTTAAAATGCATGACATTATTTATTATGGATGACTCTCAATACTATATTTTTACATTTCCTTGACATTAAACAAAACATAAGTTATTTTTTTTTATATATATATAATAAAACTAATAAATAAAAGTGTTTGGTAATTCAAAACACCTTTTACAGTTTCAGCAGGCCAAAATTTTAATGAGGAATCTCAGTCTTCTAAAAGACAACAGGGATGTCTTGGCATAAAGCTCAACAGTCAGTCCCCTTGTGGAAGGAAACAGTTGAAACCATTTTTGCTTAACAAGGGAAGAGGGCTTGGTTAAATCAAGTAAGTCCTTTTAGCTATCCAAACTTTTTTTATACTATTGACTATTGGTAAATGTTTATTATTATATACAATGTTATATTTATATCTAAAGAAATAACTTTATACATGTTTTAAATAAAGAAGGTGGTTTAAATCTACTTTGTTATTAATATAGATTACGTTAATATGTGATGATATTAAAATTGCGAAACCTTTTGTTTAAACTCTGGATGCATAATAATTTGTGTTAAAAAGAATCAAGAAATAAAATAAAAAAGCAAATTTTTTTTTTTACTCTAGGTTTACTCGACACATTGAATTAGTAGCAACAAGGGCACAGAAATTCACTATTCAAATAACAAGCCTTCACATCCACACAAACTGTACAGCTCAGTGGTCAAGAAAAATAACTAGCCCATTCAATTTCACTCAAAAATGTAACACTAACATGTTTATAGTTACTTCACACACAAAAATTGTACCTGGTGGCATGTACATAAATGTTGACTTAAAAATAACAAGAAACTTTTAACATTCACCTGTTGTCTAATACAAAATAAGGCTCACTGATCTCTAGCAACTAAGAATGTGTTTCAAGAATTGGCTGGTAGAGAAAACATGCAATAATAAAATGTTTTATATCACTATACAATACTGAGATAAAATGACCAAGTATTCTCATAAATTGTGAAATACTAGAACACAAGTTAAATATCCTAATGCTCATTAATTAAGTTTTATTTTGCTTTGTTAAGTCTGATAAAAACCAATTAGCTATTGATGGGTATAGTTTAGTATAAAATGGAGTTAAAAATGACAACATATGGCTAAAATGTGATGGTGAAGACTAAATGATTGAACACAACTTGAAACCAGTGCAAACACAGTATTACACTGACATACAGTGTAGACGTAATCAGTTTTTTTTAAAAAAGCATACATTTGGTAATGTACAGATTTGAAAAAACCTGCTGTATCTTCTTAAGATACCCATTGTTATTTTAGCATTTTTCACTCTAATTATATAAAGATAAGTACTGCCCCCATTACACAAAAATGCTTGAATGATTTAAAGCAAGCGCTTAAGTACACTAAAACTGATGTCAGTTATTAATGAAATATGACAAGCTTGTGAAAGAAGTAAAATATCAAAACTTCAGATTCAGGGATTGTACACATTATTATAATTATTACAAGTGAGTAGGAGGTGGGGGAAATGACGCAAAATAAGGCGTTAATGTTATTCCAAAAATATATTCTAATAATCAGTTTTCAAAGTATGTATCTGTTGTGGATTGAGTGTTGGTTTTTAGAATTTTTTTTAAAAAAAAAAAAAAGGGGGGGGGGGGGGTTGGTTTAATGTAATGTTCTTGTGAAATGTTACGTTCAATGCAGTAGAAGGGGTGGGAGGATATTTTTAAATTATATAAATGCACAATCCCAGACGACTGAATTAAAACATATTTGAATTTCTTTGAAAGATAAAAAAAAGACACCAATTACAACCTAGTCAATTAAAAGTTACAGCAGATTAATGAAAACCATGCATTTTAGATTTCTAAAAATGAATTTGTAAAATATTTTTGAAGTTAGACTGCTATGTGTTACTGGACCTCAAAACTGACACGAAGCATAACTGTATATTATGGGTGTAAATCTATTTCAGTTAAATAAGATAAAAAAAAAAAAAATAAACCTAAAGAAACCATTTTATTTAATGTATTTAATCAATCTAGTACCAAATTAAACATTTAAATTATGGTAAAAATGTCCAAATTAAAACTAATGTCAGGATGCAACAATGCTAATTTCCCTAAGAATTCAGTCAGAACTGATGATCTTTAAGTTTTCCTAAAGAGAGCTTTATTACTACTTGAAACTTAAAATCATAAATGTACATAACATTATTTATTTGTTGTACAACTTTTAATATTACCCTGATAAGGAAAGGTGCAGTGTGGCAACATTTGCATCTAATTTATTGCGTCTCTAGTCTAAGAAAAAAATCTTGAAACCTGTGCAGTTAATTAAAAGATTTCATAACCCAGACACTTTCACATTTAACTTTTGAGTGTGTGTTTTTTTTGGGTATTTCAAGATCTACTCATTTTTGTTGTTGAAAGATACACATTTTAGAAGGGTTCTAGTCAAGGCTTGTAATAGCACAAAAATTGCAAACACTAATGCATTTTGTAATTCTAAAACAAAAATAAACAGTATTTACATTTTGAGACTTACTGGGATGTATACAGTTAACAATTTTGTAAATCTATTTGTTAAGAAAACTGATATACTTTGACATTAAATATTTTCATTTCAAATAAAGGGCAAACAATAACAATTGGAACAGATTAAGATTAAATCTACAGATGGTAAAAATCAATTATAACTAATTATCTTTCAACTGAAATTACCAATAACAGTCAACAGGTAACATTATCAAGCTTTAAACTAAAAGTAATTAAAAAATGACTAATCACTAGTTAAATTAATGTGACAAAGTTACATTTACAAACTCATTCATTAAGTGTAAAGGTAGTTTATCTAAAAAAAAATTAAACTAAAAAATATATTTAAAATATACAGAGAAATATGACCAACAGAAGTGGATAAAACTGGAAAACAAACATTAAAATGGGGAGCATACACAGAACAACCAGTTTTATTGTTTTTTTTTTAGATTTTTTTTCAAACAATTTAAATATAAAAATAAATCTCTCTATATAAGTTTGAGGTAAAGCATTCAAAGCAACAAGCTGATACCATAATTATATATTTATGTGTATATATACATAACACATTGATTTGTAAACAAAATGATAACAATTCTATGAAAATGAACTGTGGGTGAGAAAATGGGCAGACAAGTAATGAAGCATTATAGGACAAAGTATACACTCAGGCCACAACACACTCAGTGCAGAATATAAAATGCACTTTAAGAAGCACACACTCCAGATATATCTGTACTTAAGAGATAAAGCACTTCTCAAGGTGACGTGTATCAATAGCTCACAATTGCAGAGCATGAGGTCAAGAAGTGTAAGATAAAGATGAGATAAATGTTTCTAATGTGGCTGAAACTTTTGTAAGTTTAACTGCACATTTCATTTAAACATGTACCTTGAAAAACTGTCAATCTAAACCTATAAAATAACTGCAGTTTGGCTCACATAGATACAAGATTTTAGAACATTTGTATTTTGTGACTGTAAGAAAATATATTTTTAATAATTAGAAACCTTTAAAAAACTAATTGACTTAAATTTTGTTTTGACTAGAATTATCTATAATTTGAAAATTTACTTAATTATATGAAAAAGGAATTTAGTAAAATAGTCACTTCAGTTGAGCAGGCTATTTACTCTTGGTATTCTTATTTGAACTGCAATGCATTAAAACAATATAACTAAACAGAAAATAATTAAACTGAATGATCAAAATATCCATCAGGTTAAAAAATTCTCATAGAAAATTTTTGAAATAAAACAGAGACATGGCCAAATGAATGAGAATTCGGTGGGTAAAAATATTAAGTAGCAGATCAAAATTTCGTCAACATTAATAAAATGATACAAGAGCTGAACGACATCAAACACAACTTACAGTACGTATTTCAATAATGAGTCAAACCATACTTTTAGTCCTCTTATTGCTAATGCCAGTGGTGATTTTCAGGTGAAATTAAAACAAAAAAGATGAAGAATGCTCCAAGTTTTCATATTTATCATGATACTAAGTGTAAATTGTAATTTACTTTGATAAACCTATGCTGTTACTAATACTAGTCACCTATGTTTACATAAGAAAATGTTAAAATTAAATACCATACGATTTGAAAAATATACTGCCAGGAATTATATTCATGTAATTATGAAATATAGAACAATAAGCCTAATAGTTTGAAAAACAAAATTCAAGAACACAGATGAATAATGCTAAGTTGAGTCATCCTCCTTGAAATATGTAAACTTAAAGGAAAAAAAACATAAAATACACTGTACATTTTATAAGAATTAACAATAAATTATTAATAAAACCTTGCCTTTTATAAATATTTTGAAACTATAGGTGTAGTATTCAGTAATTAATGCTAGTTAACTTTCAAATGCACATCACCTAGTTTTAAATTTAGAAAAGCATATTTTCCCCCACTTAGAATGTTGTAAGTAACAACTGGCTACCCATGTTAAAGAATTTAAAGAGAAACAACATCAACCATGAGAACAGTACAACACTGAAGTGATCCTGCAGAAAAAAAATGACAAAGAAAGACTTATAGCTAATACACTCACCACTACACCAAAACAGAATTGTTACTCCTTACATCATGTATCATCAATTTGGGCAACATAACAGTTTATAACACATTAGATTAAAAAGCATGGAAAGTTAACCTAACAATTGTGAATATTCCTCTGATGATTTTGAATACCTTACCTATTGCAACTAAGCAAAGCTAAACATTCTCTCTGTAATACTAGAAACATTTCAAATTTTCAATACAGCACTATTATGTTTAGAAATGTTACAGCATACCTGCCTCAGGTATTAGAATCACTCTCTGTATATGCATGAAAGCATAAACATCTTTTTTCATCTGATGCAATATATTTTCTAAATGTATCAGAATATAACAACTGGCAGTGCTACAGTTAATCTTGTACATCCCAGTTTTTAGTTCAGAATGTATGCTCCAACCAAAGGTAGAAAACAATTGTGCCGGATAAACATGTATCATATCTCCTGATTTCCAAAAGCAAGATTATTGGAAAAGTTTGTATTTTTCAGCACAAACCAAGCCTGTAGTAATAGTTCTGCCTGATATTGTAGATGGAGATTTGTAATCCATTAAGTGAATTTAAGCAACAAAACATTGAATAAAAACTGTTCTTGAAAGCACTCCATACAGCTACTGAAACGTCCTCCAAGAATTAACCTAGAAGAACGTTAAGACCTGTGTTAGGAATTAGGCAATAGTTCAAATTCGTCACTGACTGCTACCATCGGCACATGAAGTTCATCAATGACTGGTGTATTTTTGTGATCACAAAGTCCACATTCCTTCATCTTCCACTCCCAATCAAGTTTTTGAACTGCATACAAAGACTCTGCTTCATGATGATGACGCATAAGTAATAGTTGCTACAAAATAAAAAATAATAAATAGTTGTGTGCTAGAGTAAATACCTTAAAAATAACAAACAACCACTAAATAACAAAAATATTAAAAAATCCTCACTTTTATTTTTTCATATTTGTCATCAACATCCTGAATCCATGATATAAACTGGCGGCCATTATAACGTGACCTAACACTCTTGTCCCGGTCCTCAACCTGATCATCATTTAATATAAAGAAATGCATTAAGTTTTTATTTTTTAAAATAATTTTTTTAAAAAGCAAATGTTGTAAGTAGTGTAAACAACCTACACATGGCTGTTAGGCAGACTGAGTTAGCCTATTGCAAAGTACTCTCATTCAGCAGTGAATGAGACAAAGCCACTAAACAAACCTCACCCCTCAATAATGACAATCAGAATCACAGATTAGCAGAGGATCCACTGTAACCTCTCTTTAGCAAGTTGTAGAAATAGTATATGCCTTGACCAATCTCAAAATTATGACAATAATCTTCACTTAAATATAAGATGTTCAAAGCAGAATGAAAAGTATGATGGATAAGCATATTTTTAATTTATGTGAGTTTTGCTCAACTTTCAGCTAAGAAAAAATCCGAACCAACCTGTTCTAACTCTTGCTGGTTGTAAATTTCTTCTTCCCTCAATATTGTGCACACACTAAAAGGAAGTGTTTGATTTGCCATAGCTCTGGCAGCTCGACCATGCTCCCTTAATATTTCCTGCTCTATTGAAAGCATTAACTTTTCCTGGAAACAATTTTAAAATAGAAAAGCAGAATTATTTGTTGAAAAGATATTTGCTTCATTCTGATTAAGGGTTTGAAACAATTTTAAGAGACAAATCAGATGGGTTAAATTTAACAGAATTTTAAAGATATAAAAATTAACAGGACTTACTCTTTCTATAACATGTTGCAGTCGTAAACGATATCTTTCTTTTTCTTGCTGTATGAAAAATTCCCTCATTGGTTCTGTTACCAAATTGGGTGGAGGTAGCTGGAAAGTTTTTTTTATAAAATTAAAAAACGTAATTATCTAGTAAATCAACTAGGAGAAAAGCCTTACATTACTTACAAACTTTCAGTTCTAAAGAAATTATACTTACCATTGGAACTGATAATGTACTAGTAGCATTGCCTTGTAAAACATATGTACAGTTGACCATTAAGAAGTCTTTAAAACCAATGGGTGGCTTTGGAGCCACATTACACAATGTTCGATGACGAGATGCAATCTATAAAAGAATTCAAATTAGCATATGATTGTAATGTTAAAGAGCTGGGATATTGCATTACTGCTTAGTACTAAACTTAACATTAGGCATACCCTTCTCCTTAAATTAAGGTAAGTTTCATAAGGATTTGGTGGCTTTTCTAGTGGTTGGTTAGATTTAGGTGCAGTAGTTGTTGCAGCAGAAACTTGCAATGTCTGCTGCTCAGTTTTGTTTCGTAACTTTCTTTTTCTAGGTGGAAAGCTTGAATCATCTGTTGCACACTCATCTCCTTTTTGTGACCTTGTTGTGCTGCAATTATCTGCTTCTTCTTTGATTTCTGTACTACCTATACAAGCAGAATAAATCTATGTCAAAGATGCATTTTTATAGAAGAAAACTTAACATTTTTGGGTAGTATAACTAAAAAAAAAAACAACCCGGTACAAATATGTGTATTTTGCAAATTAACATACACAATATATGACCATTTCCATTTAAGTGTAACTGACAACAGATGAGGTGACTATATAAATTTATATATATATTATATATATATAAATACAAATGAAAGTATGTTTGTGAGTGTATTTGTTTGTCCTTTATGCATTACACCTTTCTGAACTTTCATTCGAACTTTGGGGAGTTGATAAGAATACCCCTGGGGAGGTTTCTGCTAAAAAAATATATTTAATTTTGCAGGTGAAAGGCCGCGCCAGGGTGCGATTTGGCGCCCCCGGGTTATCTTGTGAGCGCTATAGTTCCTACGATACACTATGGATAAGTGTGGACACCCGGGCAGTCATTGCAATGAGGTGTTCTACTTCATTATTCCTTGAGTAACATGCACTCAAGACTTTCATAAAGCGCATAGCCAGAAGTGTGCTAGGTGGTAGTGTGGGCAAACCCGACAAATATGATCTAAGAAATATAGCGCCAGCATTGTTTACATTTAAATAAACCAGTATTAGAAAACATGGTCTTGTGTCCAAGGACATAGGATTGGTAACACATTGATGAAACCCTCTTAAAATATTTCATCAGACTTTCTTCTAAGACCTCTGCAACACTTAGGGACTGGCACGCTAATACTTTATAAAAATGTTTTCTTTTACTAGAAATTACTGGAAGCAATATAAAAACCTTTTAATGTCTTCAATTTGAATGAATTCAGTTAAGTATCATCTTTTTAATGACAGTTTTATACAGCTATAAAGGATGCTTTAAATAAAATAAAGAATTAAATCATTTGATTCATTACAACCAGTAGCGTAGCGAGGGGGGGGGGGGGGGACGGACGACATATGTCCCTGGGCGCCGACCTTAGGGGGGGGCGCCAAATTGAAAGTTTGAGGGGGGGGGGGGGGTGCAAATGAAAAGTTCGAGGGGGGTGCAAATCGAAAGTTTGAGGGGGGGGGGGGGGGGGGGGTGTGTGTGTGCAAATGAAAAGTTCGAGGGGGGGTGCAAATCGAAAATTTGCTCTCGAGGGGGCGCCAAATTGGAAGTATGTCCCCGGGCGCCGGGAAGGGTCGCTACGCCTCTGATTACAACGTATGTTGAAATAATACAGAATTGTTAAAATACAATTTAAATTTTCTATATTATTATTATGAAATAACATACATTAGGCCTATTATATATTAACTAGCCGTTGGTACCCGTTCCACGTGAATTATCGGTCTATATATTTTTAATGGTATACATTTTTTAGAAAAATATTTTATAAAAAATTTTTTGGTCAAAACGCAATGTGCTATACTACAGGTTTAACGATATTAGTGACAAAGCAAAGAAATAACTAAATAGATAAAAGTCAGACACATTTAAAATAACATAGGCTACTATACCTATTAGAAAAAATAAAACCAAATTATATACATAATTAGTCAACACAAAACCATATTAAATGCACACATTGATTAAAAGACTTAAAGACCGTTAAAAACACAGCTTTTCAATGGAATTTATGTTTTTTAAAGTTATTAGTTTTGGCCGAGGAAATTGTATAAATTTCATAAATTACGTCTCGATAAGTAAATTTATAGATCTAAATCAAATTTTAATGAAATAGTTCATGTCTTTGTATTCTAAAATTGGAAGATGACGCCATTGGTTTTGTGTAATTTCCGTACTTCAAACATATGACATCATCGATTTCAGCATTCTTGTCCCAACTATAAACACTTTTCCGGTTGCATAATTAAAACTGTTTTTCTACATTTGAATATGCCTTTATTTTTTATTTTTCTTCTTTAAATAAAATTGTGTTTATAAATTTAAAACATCTACCATATTATTTTTAACAAAAGTCTGTATCAAGTTCTCCATATATCGCTGAAAATTCTGATGTGATACCCTGCGAAAATATTTTGCTGACAGAGAGAGAGAGAGAGAAGTGCGCACATGGGCTTTTATATATTAGGATAATAATAATTATACGTATTATTTCTGTATTAAAATTTCTCCACAATGAATGACAGTCAATTAATACATATCATAAATATTACCCTGTTGTTCTTTTTCTATGTAGAGGTAATTAAATTTTAAAATATATAAAAAATGAAAATTTACATTTGTCTATTACATTAGATGCATGGAGATGCATTTTAGATTTTAAAAAAAACAGCCTCACTGCCACCATAACAACTAATTTTTTAGTTTTTTATTAAAAATTTTCAATACTGTATAATAAAATGCATGTCCAGTTGCAGGTAATAGCTAATTTTTTAAAATCAGAAAGGTAATGTTGTCTTAGCTAAGTCGCGCATATCACTGCACAATGTGGTTGACAGCTGAAGCCAGTTATTGTATTTAATTGAACTTAACCAGTGGCAACATAAACGTTGATATAATTTAATTTTTAATTTGTTTATCAAATTCTATTTTCAACTGCACAAGTTTGGGGGAATTTAATGGAATGTAATGCATTCAGCACAGTTACACAAATAAAGCAAAAATTTGTTTAAAATTACAAAAACGTAAGAAAGCGTCATCATTTGTATAAATCCCATATTTTTTTTGTACTGTGTATATACGCATGATTTCCCCCCAAAATAAATTGTTGAATATCCATATTTTATTGATTAAACAGGAGTGCACATGATAGGATGATTAAAGAACTACAAACAAACCATTACCATTTTTTTCCTTGTCCGAGGGTTTTTCTTTCTGCTGCTGCTGCATCATAGCAGTATGTGATCTTAATGTCCGAGTTGGTCTTTTTTCTTTACCTTCATCAGACTTCCCTCCTGATCCATCGGTTTGTTCTGCCCTTAAATCACTTTCCCTTGATGCAGACTCTTCAACATCTAAATTCCTTATATTTTGCTCTGGGCCTTTAGAGTTAGTATCAGATGAGGATACACCTGCACCAGACCTAGAAGATGGTCGAGATGCACAAAATTCCCCTGTATCCTGTGTTGTAGGAAGAGAACAATTAGGGGGTCTCTGGCCGCCCTCCTCTACTCCATCCCATCCTTCACTTTCTGTTATTGGATTTAACACATATGGGAGAGCAGGTTTTGCCAAAGGTTTTGAAATATTTGCAGATGGGCCCCCCACTTTAGGTGGCATAATGATCTTTAGCGGGGGAACTTTAGGGGTGGATGGTCTACTTCCATGCTCAGATGGTACAGGGTTAGAGTCTTCCTGATCCACCCTAAGAGGAGAATCACAGCTGCTTGTGTCAGATTTGTCTTCCATTCGAGGAACAAGTCTATTACCGATCTCAAATGAAGAAAGATTAGCTGGAACTGGGGCAGTGGTATGAAGTGTTGAGTTACTTGATACAGCACCCCCAGAAGCCGCCCTGTCACTAAGACCAGTGACAATGCTACCACCTCCTTTGGTTCCTCTCACTGCGAAAGGTTGAAAAGGTAAGGTTGGGGGCAATGTTCCCTGTCTAGAGTCTGTAGATAGATGAGTAGTACTGGATGCACTGGATACCACATGACCTCCTGGATGGTAAGGTGATAAGTGGGATAATAAACCAGATCCCAATACTGACGTTGATGATAAGGATGCAGATGGCAATGATGAAGAAGATGAAACTAAAGAAAACTGACTTGATGATACTTCTGTTCTTTGGGAAATTGACGAGGATGATGAAGGCTGAAACGATGATGAGACTCCTGACGGTTCCGGGCCAATACTTGAGCTAGGTAAAGTCTGTAAGCTGTTTGGTAGCTTTGAAGCAAGCCGCACAGTGTGAAATGAGTTTATTGATTGACCAGGAATGTGTTGGTGAGAATGCTGCTGCTGCTGTTGAACAGGCGGACACAAATGTTGCTGTGGCCTTGGTTGTTGGGTTATGGATGTCTGTTGTTTGTTGATTTCATTTGAGTTACTTAGGTTTGAGCAGGAGGCTGTAAAAGTATTAGAGGTCTTGATGTTGTTGGCAGAAATATTTGTAAAGACATCCCCGTGTTCATCAGTGTCACTATTAACTAGATTATCAATACCACGAGGGGTAAATGGTTCAGTTGCTATTCTCTCCAATGGGACTGATGAAAGAGTAGATACACCAGGTGGTGCCACCGTTGAATCAGCACACCCATCGTTATCAGAAACAACACTGCGATTTAATCGCAAAGTTGAAGGTAAATTTATTCTGGGTTCTTCTGGCTTGACAAGACGAGATCTGTCAAACTGTAGCCTGGTGCTAGAATCCCCCTCTGAAGTAACTTCACATCCAGTGTCAATGGGAAGAACATCCCATTCTGCTTTGGGCTGTTCATCTGTTGCTGATGAAGATGATGAAGAGGACTTTTTGTTTTGTAGCTTCATCAAGAGTCGAGTGGATGTGGATTTATCAGGTGAGGGAGGCACAGACTGCCTTCTAATATTCAAGTTACCGATTGAGCTGTTGGCTGCTGTTGTAGATCCAATTGTTGAAGAGATGGAGCTAGGCGTACCAGGGGTTAACGTGACGTCTGATTTACTTGGGGTGTTATGAGTCTTAAAATCTGTTGACAAACAAAATTTCATTTTTAAACTAATACAGGCCTTTCTTTGGAAAAAGACAAAATATATAACCTAAAGGTCATACAGTAATTTAATTTATTAAACAATTTGTCAACCTATACAGTCTACATCTTATTGGATTTTTTAAAAATTAAAAATAACGATTTACCTTCATCTATATTACTGCGGTCCCCATCCTTGCTAGAAGAATTGCTATCTTCAGATGAACTGTGACTGTCAAAATCACTGCTATAGTTAGCTGTACCTCGTAAAATAGCTTCTATTTCACTAGATATAGCAACATTGATAGCAGTTTTACCTTTAAGATTGGGCTGCATAGGATTAGCCCCATGCCGAAGTAACAGTTGAACAAGCTAAAAATAAAAAGCGAAAAATTCAATTATGAATAGTAGTAATTAATACAAAATTCTCTTAAGAGACATTTACCCATAATACAGTACTAAATTTAATACATCTGCTTTGGTAGATAAGCAGCAGCATTAAGTAGCTAACTGATATTTTAAAATGTTTGAGTCTAAAGGAAAATTCCATAAATATTCAAGATATTTGACATTCTCAAATTTAATACAGGTCTCATTACTTTTCTATGTCCACTGCTTGAAGCATCATGAAGTGGTGTGTCATCATCAAAACCTTGAACATTAACATCAGCACCAGCTTTTAACAAATACCTAGCAACACGCAAGTTTCCAGAATTACAAGCTTCGTGAAGGGCTGTCCATCCTATAAAAAAAGACATTTTTAAATATGCAGAATCATTATTATTTTAATATTTAAAAAATAAAGAAATTGTATTTAAATGGGTAAAATTATGAAATAACCTACCAGCATAATCTTTCATGTTAACACTAGCCCCGGCTTTAAGTAAACGCTTAGTTTGTTTATAATCTCCTTTCTTTGCAGCCATATGTAAAGGTGCTTCACCTCGCTCATTGCGCTTATTCACTTTTTTGTCAGCCGGTGTGCGTTTAGTTGAGCTAACTTGGTTTCCTGATGAGGGTGATTTAGGAGATGCATCTGTTAAAAAAGTTAATATTTAAAAAAAAAAAAAAAAAAAAAAAACAATGAAAAATATTTGTTATCTTTAACATAAGTAATGAATCTAAAAGCTTGTAAAATACCTCCAACACTAGATTCATCCTGCATCCTCATTAGTAAAGCCATTTGTTGTCGCTCTGACAATGGTACACTAAGACGAGAAACAGTCCCAGCACCTCGTGGTGAACCTATGCCAACATGCTCAGGGGAACCTTCAGGTACATTTGGACGCTTACGTTTCTGCTGTAGAGTTTTTTTATCTGTGGAAAAACAAATAAAATGTTTAAAATTTTCATTTGTATTTTTTAGCAACATGGGCCTATCAGCTAATTAGCGAAAAACCCTGTTATAATTACACTGACCATCTTCTTCTGGTGGTGAACCCGGAGCAGCTAATTTTCTTTTGCTCGACTTTGTGTCTGGCTGTAACAATTTGCTTGATGATGCTTTCTCCTAAAAATATTTCAAATGCTAACCATTTAGACCATAGAAAGAAAATAAGGCTATGTAATAGTTTACATAAGTTATCATATATATATATATATATATATATATATATATATATATATATATATATATATATATATATATATATATATATATAAAACTAATTTGAAAACGCAAATAGTCAGCAGAGTTGTTTGTAAAGACAAAACTTAAATTATATTCAGTTTATTTAGTGTAAAAATTAGTGTAGTAAGAACTATTAAATGTTGCATTTTACTTAACTAACAGCACAATTTTGAAAATGTAACTATTAAATAATAGCTTTGACTAACATTTCAAGCAGTAAGTTGAAATCAGCTTAAAAATCAGTCTTTTTTGTTCACATTTTGTAAACATCAGATATTACTTATCCATAGTTAATAGGCACAAAACTAAACATGTGATTGAGTTGTATAATTCTTACCTTGTGAGGTGGAGATTTCTTTTCTGACATTTCCAATTTTACCCTGTATTACTTGTGACTTTATTGGGTAGGAAATATAACACAACAACAAACAGCACAAAATTTGTTCAATCCCGGGAACCATCAGGTTTCTAGAAGGTCTTGACAAAGGCTATGCAAAAGAATAATTAATAATGCCATGTTGGTGGTAGTTTTAAATCTGTGGAAGATATAAAATGGAAGTTGCTTATTATGTGGGGAAAATAAAGAGTTAGTTTAATCTTTTTAAACACTAGGCGCTTAATTTAAGGCACACTTAATAAGTTGAATTATTCAAAATGTTTCTATTGTTTTATTTATTTTTAATGGAAATCCCTAACTAAACAGACACAGTTAAAGCTATATATTAAATATTTTTAAATCATGAAACAAATATTTTTTGTTACGAAGTGTCTACTCGGAATAAGATTTTTCGGCAAAAGATAGTTCTGCGCATGCGCAGTGACCTATGGCTAGGGTTAGGGCTAGAATGAGGGTTAGGGGTAGGATTAGGGATAGGGTTAGGGATAGGATTAGGGCTAGGGATAGGATTAGGGCTAGGGTTAGGATTAGGGCTAGGGTTAGGGATAGGATTAGGGATAGGGTTAAGGATAGGATTAGGGTTGGTATTAGGGTTCTGCGGTTGTAAACACACGCATGCGCAGTACCATCGAAAACATCGCCGCTAAGGCAAGTCGTAGTTTCTCTCCATTGCGCATGCGTATCGCATGCGTATCTTATTCCGACTAGAATCGGCCTTTTTGTTATTCTGATTAGTATAAAGCCTACAGTAACAATTCTTAGAGAATTTTAAAAATACTTTTAAAACAAAGTCATACAAATTAAAATGGCCAAAATTTTAAAATGTTAATGCTTGATTTTCAATCATAACTTGACATGAAATAATATTTCATTTTCCTAAATTTGTAATAAACAGAAAAAAATGTCTACTTTATAAGTTATTTGAGTAAGTAAATTACCACTTTAATTTTTCATAGTGCAGCTATAATAATAGATTTTTAGTTTTTAAAATAAATAATCATTTAAAAATAATACATTCCTAATTCCATTGAATTTCCAGATAAGTAAATATCACCGATTCATTTGGTTATCTGATGAGTAAAATAGCATAGGCTTGGAGCAGGTGGAATTGGAAGCCATATTGTTTAGCACAATTTTTACGAACAATATAACAACCAAGCTTTCTCCCATTTTTAAAATTACCTAACATTTTTACTATAAAATTAGTAAATTGTACAGAAGAGATGAGCGGTTGCTTGTTTGTATCATAAAGCTTCCATAATACAGAATGAATTTTTCATATAGTTAAGACCTCTAATATACTATTTTGAGATTGTTCTAAAGACATGATCAAATTATTTTTGCACCTACTATCAACTACCCTTTAAACATCAGAGTTTCGTCTTTTTATTCCAATTGGCTGTTTAGTTTATTAGCATAACTGATTTTTCAATCCAGGCTCCCGCATCTCTCTTTCAAACTATTGTCTTTGCCTTTTTTCCTTCGCTATTCCTCCTCCTCCCCCACCCAGGAAAGAGAGGATGGCCAAGACAGACCTGGAGAAAAGCTGAAGACAGTAGGGAGTTGTCTTGGGAGACAAACTACAAAACCAACATCCGGGGATCATACAAAATGGTAGATTATGGTTGAGGCCCAAAGCTCCACAATGTGTAAAGAGCAATTAGTCAAGTAAGTTGTCTTCCTCTTTCCCATGCCTAGTGGTGTTATTAACTTAATAACTATCTTTTACTATTATTTATCAAACACATTTTCTTTTCTCTTATTTTGTACTTCATTGTTATCCTTTATCTCCAAACCATAGAGTAAAACAGACTTCACAGGTGCTAAAGATCTTGAGTTAGTTTCCCCGACAATGCATATGAATTCCACATTGATTTAAAAAGTTAAAAATACACTAGCAAGCAGGATCCCAACAGAATAGATCCTACATGGACCAGATAGCAACACTATGCATCACAACTCAATTGCTTGAAACTAAAAACTGTATGTTTATTTAATTGATTATGAAAAAGCTTTCAAGATTGTGGACTGAGATACTCTATGGAAGCTCTTATGTCACTATGGCATTCAAATGAAATAGTTAACCTCATTGATAACACATCCGAGGGGACATTCTGTAGAATTGTCATGGAGGGCAAATATATATTATGTTATAGATGCCTGTTGTCATCCTTCCTACCATCAACCTGATAATGAAGACAGCCACCAAACAACATAGAAATAAAATCCAGTGGACACTGTTGAAACAACCTGACAACTTGGACTTCACATACGATCTTGTGCTCCTCTCCTACAACCAACAGCAGATGCAGGAGAAAACAAACATGGTAACAGAAAAGTCAAGTTGGACTTAAACATTCACAAGCAAAAGACAAAAATATTAAAAAACACTACCACCACTGAACAAGTCACACTTAATAGTCCACTCAGAGGAAAGGCAGTCCTTTACTTAGGTAGTATTGTAGACCATCAGGGTGGAAAAGATGCTAAAGCAAGGATAGACAAAGCAAGAGTAGCCTTCGCAGAGCTAAGGAACATCTGGACCTCCTGTGAGCTATCCATAATCACCAAGTTGTGCTTTTTAAACTCCAATGTAAAATCAGTGCCTCTGTATGGGACTCAGAGACTTGAAGGATGACAAAAGCCACCAATGCTAAGTCCAGACCTTTATAAACAGCTGCCCCAGAAAGATACTCGACATCTGCTGACCTGAAACCATCAGCAATGCACACCTATGGGAAACGACAGGACAACTTTCCACTGATTAAGAAATTCGGAAAAGATGTGGCTGGGTCGGGAATAAACTGTGCAGACCCACAAAAAAAACGCAAAAAGTCAACCAGTAACACATGGTGACAGGGACTTGAGGCAGAAACTACAAAGACCTGAGGCTGAAGTCAGGATGAAAAAATGGTACAGGATAGAGGATTTTGGTAGGCTGTCCAGGGTCCATAGTCCAGCAGGGGTTACAGGCAGTGAAGATGATAAGAAAGTTAAAAGCATTTTATCATTGCTGATTCTAATCTGAACATCTTGGTCGGTATGAAATGTTGTTAATTGTGAGAAGGCAAAACACCTGCAAAGTCTTCAGCAGTTTGTTTCATTATTCATTCAACCAATTTTTACTATGTTTCTGAAAATTTGCTATTGTGTATCACTTGACATTTTGAGTAATGGTATTGCTATTGGCCTACAACCACATGGAAGCTAAATAGAATTAAAGTAAAACATTAAACTTTTAAGTCAATAGGTGGAAATAACTTTTTAAACTAGTTAATTTACCATTAATTCATAAGTTCATAAAAAAGTTTTTAATCATACTGTAGTAGATTAGTCTCATGGGGTGAGACTGCTTTAAGCTACTAACAATTAATTGTGCACTGCTGTACAATAATAGCCTTAGCATCAGATATTTTAAAGATCAATAAACCAGGAATGATCTCCCCTAAACTTTCTCGAATATTCTTATATAACACTACAAGGGATGGCAACTTGGGATATTGACATGAGTTTCAATCCATTTTTAATTACTTAAACTTTTTAAAATATAATAGAATCTCGTAGGAAAATGAATTGCGCATTAAGTGAATGGCAAACTTCTTCTTTGTTCTTAATTATTAGTGTTGGAAGGGATCGAGCCTTATCTGCCAGAGGGGTTGAACTCGAGACTTTTTTCGGATTTATCAACCATGAGCTTTTGCCGACTCGACCACGTCTCCATCACAATTAAGGATACGTGTCAACTGGTTATGCGCCATTTAGGCCGTTGACTCCGATTTCAGCCTGCTTTTCTTTTTGGATTTGCTTCCATAGCCTTTGTCCAACCAAGAACAAACTACAAGACAGCAGTTGTTTGATTTTGGAGTTTTCTTCTAGAAGAGTGGCTGTCCCCTGCTAACGAACCTCATCTGCCCGAGGGTTCGAACTCGAGACTTTTCGGTTTAGCAACCATGAGCTTTACCGACTCGACCACGCCGACCCCGGAATGGCAAACAATATGTATATAATAGTGCGGAATATTATTAGTATAAATTCACATGAGTTTTTTGAGAAATCGGAAACAGCGTAAATTACTACTTCCGGTCAACAGAAATTACTCAAAATTTTAAAGAAGGCAGAAAAGTAGACCTTTTACTTATATGTGAAATTTCGTTCATCTATCTGAAACAGTACTCAAAGTTAAAGGCTTTTGAAAAAGTAAAAGTAGAATAAGTTCCACTTCAGTTTATCGGAAATCACTAAAAAGTTGAAACAGAACTACAAATTTGATATAATAGGGGCCTACTTATATATGAAATTTCATCAACCTAGCTTTAACGGTACTCAAGTCATCGTGTTCACAGACACACATAAACAAACATACTGACAAAATTGCAAAACTATGTTTTTCCAACTAAGGGAGGCGTAAAACATTAAGATTTGTGGAAATCTTGATTTTGTTCACACAATTAAAATAATTCCTTTATACTTTGTAAACAAAAAAAGTTAGGCTTATTGGTAGGATATTCAAAGTATGGCAGCCTATAATATTTTGATGTGACACCTATTTGAATTTGTACAGGCCTATGCCCTATAAAAAAATTAGTTCATTAATATTTAGTCTAGATCTAGTTAGCCTAAGGCCCTAATTAAATTATAATTAATCTTGGTTTTGAATAAATAATGTTAATTTATGATTACCCATAGAGTAGATTGTAGATGGAGTAGATAAAACTATACTATAGGCCTACAGTGTAAACTGTAGAGGTGTAGACTTGGTGGTAGGTTGATAATTTATAAAGACTAGGCTTAGGCCTACAGAATTATTTAATTTAAAATATGAGTTGGCTACATACTAGATCTAGTGCTAGAAACTTAAAAATGCAAGTTTAGTCATATTTTTAAACTTAGCCCTAAGCCTGTGACTTTTTTCCCTACAATCAAAAAATTTATTACATTAGGCTTTTAGATCTGCCTGGCCTATAGATCTAATAATTATATTTAGGCCTCCTATATTTGCTTAGAATCCAAAAAATAATAAATAGTAGGCCTATACTATAGCCAGTATAGGGCCTACACTTAAAACTTAAATTAACTACACTACACTACACAATCTAGATCTAGATTCCAGATCTAGTGCTTTTTTTTTTAAGTAGGCCCTATCTGCTATCATATTAAATATTTATATTTATTATTTATGAAGTAGATCTAGGCCTAAATAATTATTAATTTTCAGTTGGGGGGAATATGCTAATGTTGATTACTTTTTAGACTACAGTAATCGAGGACTATAAAAAGGACAGAGACAATGCACTTAGCAAACATAACATGTCAAACATGTGAGGCAAGTTGCATGTCAATATCAATAACGAATGGGGTCATGACCTACATTCATCCGACAACGCATAATTTTAGATTTGATGAGTATGTATGCAATTACATGACTCAGCTTTTACTCAACTATGCAGTTTAAAGTAACAGTGTAACAAAACACGAAGAACAATACTAAAGACGATTGAAACATTGATAATAAGTGCAGTAAACAGCCTTATATTCGAAAACAATGAAGTCGGCTTTCGCTTATCGCCTAACCCAAGCATGGCCGCCATTGCCCATTGCAAAAGTCTTATCTGGGATCATTCCACATTTGAGTGATTTTTCTTGGAAAATTGATCTGATATGCGACAGATTGCTTTATGTTTTCGTAAACCTACATTACCCAAGAACAAATTGAAATGGATATGAAAGCCAAATTATCTCAAATACGTTAAAACATATATAAATAAAGTTGAATACCCACCTTATTAAACTTAATCGCAATGAATAAATGTAATACATAACGCCTTCCGTGATTGGTAGAAACGCTTAAAGAATGCAGCTTCCTTTTAATATGTAACAACGAATGTGGTTGGTTTCAAAAGATAAAAGGTGAACTACTCTTAAGCATAGGCCTATGAAGTAAATGACATTTCTAACAGAGGCTAGGATTAGAAATTATATAAGACTCTTGAAAATGCCTTGTCTTTTATTAAAATTTAGAATCTAATCTAGATCTACTGGCATACACCATCTATTCTCAATCCACTTTACCATAACCTTCTGAACTGCGCCAGAAACAGTCCTTTATTATAAACCTTATTCCTAGACTCCTTCCTTCTTAAGTTTAATTAATTAATTATTATTAATCAAGTTAGGCTTAGTTAGGCTAGTAAAAAAAAATAGTTAAAATCTAGATTCTAGGCCTAAACTCAACTGCCTAAACTAAGTTATTAGTATATTATTACTTTTATTACTGACATGATTCTGTTATTATTATTACTATGTAACTACTATTACTTTACTATTACTATTAATCACGTAAAATATAAGTTTTACTGGTAGGCCTACTGCTTATTTAATATTTAAACTAGGTCTCCTTGTATGAAAAAGAAATGTAATAAGCCTATAAAAAATACCTTATATAATATATAGTATTTATTCCATATAGTGGCATATAGGCCTAATTATAATACATAGGTCTATTATGCCCACTGTATCAAACAATCATCTTTTAAACGGGGGGGGGGGGGTTTGCTTGACATTGAGATATACAATCCAGTACAGTCACAATTAGAATTAGATCATGAAAGTTTTTATTTGACCAATGCTTATTATGTTTTTTACTTTTCAGATGGACAAAATCCTATATAAGACTTTGCAGCATAACTTCAAGTATTTGTTAAAGAATCCTTCTGCTTGTGTTAAGCACTTTTCGTATCATCAACATACTATATCTAAAAAATGTGATAAAAGTGTTTTATCTTCTTTTACATCCATTCACCCAGAATATGGTATCACACAAAGATGCATAAAAGCAAAGGTAATATTCCTATAAGTGTTAATGACAGCATATCTATTTTTTTCCAAAGTTAAAAATATGTGCGCAAGAAAAAAGTTGAAACATAATTTACTCAGTATAGTTGTTACTGATGACACATAAAATAACATTGAGGCATTACAAAAAAAACAAGCATTAATTTTCTGAAAATTTCAAATTTATTTTTGATGTTTTAGCAATATAATGTTAATTGCTTGTAAAATACATTGCAAGTTGTCTTTTGAAAAAAAAAAAATTTCAATTTTAAGTTGTTGCAAAAATTTCAGTTCACCAAAAAATTGAAGCAGCAGATTACTGCAATAACTGCTGTGCTGATGAGATCACAGTTTGTACCAACATGGACAGTGAAATCTTTATCTCATACAGGTGCCATTATTTGTTGGTAGTCCTGTCCTGTTAAGTGGGTCAAAAATGTTCCACTGCATCAGAATAACTTCCAATTATTCTCAGTAACAAGAAGATACAATTCAGTTTGTTTATAGGAGATCTGCTTGGTCGGGGAAGTTAAGCTCTTGGTTGCTGAACTGATAAGTCCCGAGTTCAAACCCCTGGGAAGTTGAGGCTTGGTAGCTGGGGACAGCCACTCATCTAGGAGAGACATCTCCAAAATCAAACAACTACTGCACTTTTAGTTTGTTCTTGGTTGGACAAAGGCTATGGAAGCAAATCCAAAAAGAAAAGCAGGCTGAAATCGGAGTCAGCTGACTAAATGGCGCATCACCAGCTGACACATTTACTTAATTGTGTTGGGGGAATCCCTTTCAAAACTAAAATTAAATTAAGAATGAAGAAGAAGAAAAGAATTTGTTTATAAGAATAAAAGATACAATTTACTTGAATAGAAAAAATAAAAATACAGTTTTTTAATTGTTAATTAAAATAAAAGATACAATTTCATTTGTGTGTTAAAAAATTTGAATTAAAACCAATATTCAATTTTTTCTCAGATTTTTTTTCTGATCAACCCTCAAATTCAGACGCAAAGAATAGAGAAAAGGACACAAAAAATGATGGCCATGAATCAAAAAAACCTGAAAATGAGGATGAAGATGAAGAAAGGAAAAAAAGTTAGATTTTACATATAATTATTGACACTGTTCATAATTTATTTTAATTTGTGTTCAAGTGTAATTATCAACAAATTTTAAAATTGTATATTGCTAGAAGCATTCCAAAATAGTAATAAAACCTAAAAAGTAGTATTAGTGAAAGCTAGCTACTGATTTTAAGATGATTGAAAAGAAATTTACCCTCAATCTGAAATTTAAATAAAGCACATTTGTTCATGCATTTAACTTAATGTTAATTAAATATTTTTTTCCAGTGGAATTTAGGCGATCCTTGTATACATTCATTTCTGTTTTGTTTTTCGCTTGGCTGCTGACACCAAATTCTAGAGAGGAAGCATCTTCTATTAAATATATTTCATGGAGTGAATTTTATCATAATATTTTACTCAAAGGCGAGGTAAGTCATCTATCTAAAAACTTTATGAAAGTTGTAAAACTTGTCCTAATCAAGTGAGCAGAGTGTTAGTGAATCAAAAGTGCATACATATATGGCTGTACTTTACTTATTTTAGGTGAAGAGTATCTATTTATACTTTTCATCAGAACAAGGTGGTGAAGATGTTGCCATAATAGAAGTTCATGAAGGAGCTGTTATCAAAGGCCAGGTTGGAATTTTGATTATGTCACTATTAAAAATTGAATAATTGTAAAAGCTAATTTCTCACCTCTATATGAGTTTAGTTGATGTCAGTTATATTACTATTTTAAAATACAGCTGATTGCAATGGTTTTCTTATTCAGGCAACACGAGGTAAATTTGTGATAAAAATCCCAAAAGGTTTTAATTTTGAAGAAAGAATTAGACAGGTTGAAGATGAACTCAACATCCCTTTAAAAGACAGAATACCAATAAAGTATGGTTATCCCAAGTAAGAGGTTTTATTCATTGTAAATTCTTAAATTATAGTTTACTAAGGTGACGTGAGTTGTTTTATAAAAACATTTAAATGTGGTTTTGAAAAGCAGTTATTAGCAGTGGTTTCTGCATTATATTTCAATGATACTATTAAAATTGTTTTCAGCTCATGGGTTATGCTAGCAATGCAGTTGGCAGTGGGAGTTGTTCTATTTTTCTTCGTCCGTCAAATTTTCAATTCTTTTATGAAAGGGAAAGATGGCAATATGATGGATATGATGGACATTTTTTCAGTAAGTTTTTAATTCTCTTGAATGAATTCCCTGTGCATTTTATGTTGCCTTTTTCTGTTTTACATGTATAATAAAAATATATACATCTGATGATCTGGGACAAACTTTTTAAACATCTTTTGTATTTGATGTTATTGTATTGGCAGGTTCTTTTTTTTTTAATTATAATTTGTCTTCAGCCTTAGACTTCTAATTATGTTTTGGTTAAAAGGGAGGAATACGTCAAGCTAAATTTACACGTGTGGATATTGCATCAAAGGGTTCAAAAGCAGTTACTTTTAAAGATGTGGCAGGTTTAAAAGAAGCAAAAATAGAAGTGATGGAGTTTGTTGAGTATTTAACAGATCCACTGAGATTTAAGGTAAGTGTGGTTTCTATTCAAAAGTAGCAGATTTCTTAGATGTGTCTCACCCATTGAAGAAATGTGTTGAATACTTACATATTGGGGATTTTAAAAATTTTTAATCAATGTATTGTTTGTTGATTTATAAAAGTAATCACGTGACAGTACGTGTTTCAGAATTTAGGAGCTAAAACCCCAAGAGGGGCACTTTTGCTAGGCCCACCAGGGTGTGGTAAAACACTGCTAGCAAGAGCTTTAGCAAGTGAAGCGAAAGTTCCTTTCCTAGCTATGGCAGGATCTGAATTTGTAGAAATGATAGGAGGTATGTTGGATGAATTAAATCATATAAAACATTGTTGCTATTTTATTTTCAGTACATTAAAAGCTTAATTTGATTACCACAATTTAACAGGGCCATTTGATTGTACCTTTGTAATAATAAAATAAAAGTAAATTGTATTAGTTATGTTAATTTCCATGTTACTATTATATGAAATCCAATTTAGGAGTAGGAGCAGCAAGGGTAAGGAATCTGTTCAAAGAAGCCAGAAATAAAGCACCATGTATTATCTACATAGATGAAGTGGATGCTATAGGTCGTAGCAGAGGAGGGTTGGTGTTGTTTTTGTTCTTGTTTATAATGTAGAATTTAAAAATTTATTAGCACAGACAGACAATCTTATCTTTATTATTTTTTTTCTTCAGTTATTAATCACAAGCAAAAAAATATTTTTTTACTACAATGATAATTTTTTCAATTAGATCTACATTACAGAAGAAAAGTTTTCAGAATTCAGCTATTTGTTTTTAGCCCATACTTATTATTTCTTTTTATTTTAAATTAAAAGTTCAGCGAGTGTAGGTGGTGAAGATGAACACACGCTTAATCAGCTCTTAGTGGAGATGGATGGCATAGAAACACAAGAGGGTGTTATTGTGTTAGCTGCTACTAACAGAGCTGATATATTAGATAAGGTATGAGTCAAAACCTAAAATCTCTTTGAGAATTAGGCTAAATCACTGGTTGTTTTTCAGTTGAACATTGATGTGATTTAATGTTTGATTTTTTTAGGCTTTGTTGCGGCCTGGTCGATTTGATCGCCATATTATGATAGATCTGCCAACATTGATTGAGAGAGAGGAGATTTTTGAAGTCTATTTAAATAAATTAAAAATTGAAAATGATGCTATCTCATATGCCAAACCTCTTTCAAAACTTACACCAGGAATGAGTGGTAAATATGGACACCTTATAACCTGCTTAAAATAATTACAAATTCATCTTTCTTTTTAATCTATAATTTATTAAGAGAAAAAGACTACTATTTTAAACTAATTTTTTTTAGGTGCCGATATCAATAATATTTGTAACGAAGCAGCCATACATGCAGCAAGGGAAAAAAGAAAATTTGTAGACAAAAAAGATTTTGAGTATGCTGTGGAAAGGGTTTTAGCAGGTATGTTTTAAGCATTTAAAAGTTGAATATTCATTTGTTCTTTGTAGAGCGAAAAACTTCATCAAACATTAATAATGTAGCTAGTGGAAATAAATAATTCTAGCTTTAAATTTGAGTTGTTTCTGGGACAAGACTTACCAACTAATTCATTTGAAAAAAAAATGCTTCGTATTCACAAAGTCTGATGTTTGATGCTATAACCTGACATCTCCAGGAGTGGAAAAGAAAACCCGCTTGTTGTCACCAACAGAGAAGAAAGTGGTTGCTTACCATGAGTCTGGTCATGCCCTTGTAGGATGGATGCTCAAATACACTGATGCTTTACTCAGAGTAATATAATATTAGGCTTCAATGTTTATTGAAACTTTTCATACTGCTCTGCTATTCAATCTGTTTTCCTGTTTAGATATCTAATACTGCAGTGTATCATTGAAATATGTTGGTTTTTATTCTCTTTAATTTGTATCTAATGTTTGAACAGGTTTCCATTGTACCAAGAACCAATAGTGCCTTAGGATTTGCCCAGTACTTGCCATCAGACCAGAAACTCTACTCACAAGAGGAGGTCAGTGACAGTCTTGAAAACATTAAAGTTTGTATTAAAATGTTTAAGAATTTTCTTTCTGTACCCAATATCTGTCTGTTTCAGCTGTTTGAAAGAATGTGTATGGCTTTAGGTGGAAGAGCAGCAGAAAGTCTGATATTCAATCATGTATCAACAGGTAAGCATTAAGAATTCTGATAAAATATTTGCCACCCAAATCAATTATTAGAAACTGGGATTTAAGTTTGGTATTTAAAAAAAATTAAGATTTAAATTGTACAAGTTATAATCTGTCACTTTTTAATACTAGTATATGCCATTGTTATTCTCTTCAACTGAAAAGGACTAGAAATATTGAGCTAATAGAACAACTTTTTTTAAAACAAGGTGCTCATGATGATCTTCAGAGAGTTACAAAGATGGCTTATGATCAGATCAGGTCTTTTGGCATGAACTCAGTGATTGGTCATTTATCATTTCCATCTGATCAGGAAAATTCAGGACAGAAGCCTTACAGCCAAAAACTAGCCCATACAATTGATGAGGTATGTATTAATGACTAACTAATACTATCCTAGTAATTAAGCAACAGAAGTATAAATGAAATTATAAAATGTAATAATTTTATTAACTGCTCTACCTGCATATTATTTTAGCATGTGTAAATAAATCATTAAATGGATGGATAATAATTTTTTCTTAAAGCACTAAACAATAATTTTGGTGGATTATTTGTCAGTTACAAAACAAGTTGTTTTTTTTTTGTTGGTGCAGCCAATGTTTTTCCAGTATTTGCAAGAGCTGAGACAATATTGATAATTAGTCATATGTTGTAATATATGGAATTTAGTTTTATTTGGTTACAGGAAGCAAGACTGTTAATAGCTAGAGCATTTCTTAAGACTCAAGCAGTACTAAAGGAAAACAAGGAGAAACTTCATCTAGTAAGTAAATATGTAGACAATGGCAGATCTAATTGTTAAAATGTCATAGCTGAAATGCATGTCAATAAGGGCTTGTACATTTCAATAGATCAGCTATCGCCCAGAAATTTTCTTTTGTAGTACAGTCCAATACATCTTTAATCCCCGGAAAATGTACAGTATAGTACATTTATTTATGGTCATGATGAAAGTCTCACTGGTAATCAGATTTTGAAGATACAGACGGAAACAGCAAATAATAATTTTTTTTTTTACATTTTTTTTCTATCACTAGCAATTGAGTTTCTATGAATGTCTTCAAGAAAGGTTTTTTTAGGTTACCTATTTATTAAGTATTTAAAATTTACTGAAATAACAATAGTTTTAGTTTATATAAGTTTTCCTAGATTAATTTTATTTATTACTAGTGTATAAATAAGCTATCTAGCCTTATACATAACGAGGACATTTTAAAGTAATCCTTTTAATAAGTACAGTAGTTTAATATGCATCAATTTATTGCCTGCCCGCATGGTTATTATGCCTGGACTATAAAGGGTTAAGTTGATATGATTTAATTACAAAATAACATACAATACTTATAACAAACTATTGCCTGCTCCAGCAGTACTATGTACATTATATGTTGTTTCAAAATGTATATCTTTACTTTAGTATCCATCATACATACTTATCTAAAATATTTATTTGCAGCTTGCAACAGCTCTTATAGAAAAAGAAGTTCTTAACTATGAAGACATAGAAAAACTAATTGGCCCACCTTACTTTGGAAAAAAAAACTTAATAGAGCCTCAAAAGTGGGATGGTATTATGCCTGAGAACAACAATGCAGTGAAAAGTAAATTAAACAATAGCTGAACCTGTGATCCTTGTTTTAAACTTGAATGACTTCTTTTCAACAAAATGTTTCAAATTGCTTGCATTTTTAAAAGGAGCTATATTTAGTTAATGTAAAAACTAAACGAACCTGTTTGTAAAGAAAATAATTGTGTGAAGAACTTTTACTTCTAGACATGTTTACATTTGCCAGCAATGTTGAGACCCACACATTTCAATTACCATTTCATGTCTAGCTATGTAAATGTAATTATGAAAGACTTTTGTGTTTAAGCTGGACATTGTACTTGTGTATTAGGTGTGTAAAAATGACAGGTTTCTGCTATTGTGGTTACTATTAGTTTACTTGTGATACAAATAAAACATTTTTATGTATAAAAAAACTAACATTTAATTTGCTTGTATTGAAATCTTTTTATTCATAAATTAAATGACAGTTGTAATAAAAATAGGCAATTACAACTTGTTAATAAAATGCAATACGATTCTTTTTTAATAATGCAAACGTCAAAGTCATGTTTTACAACAAGAACCTTGAATAAAAATAACATTTTACTCTCTTCAAGTCATGGTTTATAAGCAGTACAAAGTATTTCTCGTAACTTTTGTTGGGGCCTACACTATGTTAGCTAGAACTCCATTCTTTGATGCCAAAATAAATTCTTAGTCGTAAGAACAGACTTAAAAGTTTGGAACTATTGTGATTCTCAACCCCAACTATTCTACCACTGGTTATTAAATCCATATGGAGTTTGGTTTCAGATATGTGAAATATCACTAAAAAAACAATTTTTAAAATAAAGGAAATTGAAATTTATTTAAAAAAAAAAAAAAATGTAAATAATTTTTAAATAACTTGCATTAGGAATGTACTGTTAAAATAAATAAATAAATGGCAAACAAATAATCACCATCCATATTTATCCACCATTCGCTTAAAAGCACTTTTTGCTTCGGATTCAGTATATTCCCTTATGGAATTGTTTATATCTAAACTTGCTTTCTCGTCACTAAGAATTTCAGTACGAACCTGTATTAGTACACTCTGAGGATGACAACAGAAAGCAAAATAAATATGAAAAACTAGACAGTCAAGAGAAAGTTTTTTTGGAAAGATCTAGTTATCAAACCAAACCTCAATGTCATTGCATGGTCTCCACCCAGACTTTGTTAACATCTGCATACAAATACTGCCTCCAATTGTCACGTGACCTGCAAATTTACAAAATGCCGTGACAAAATATAGTAAAGTTAATAAAAATGGGTAAATGGTTGTGTGCCTAATGTAAAGCAAAAATACAATGTTCGTTTTGAATCAAAATAAGAAATTTTTATCTTCCATAGTTTGGTAAAGTTGTTGAGAGAGACTAGTGGTTTGCACAGAAATTACAGATTTGAAAATGTTATTTTTCTTCTTCTTAAATTTTGCAGTGAGTTTTTAAGCTTTACACTTTATAATTATATATCCAGAAATAAAAATACTTTGATGTGATTTTTTTCTAATGACTATAACTGTGAAGTGGAAGATAATTCTCACATAAAAAATTTTACTTTAAGGAAAAAAGCTTTTATTATATTCACAAAACATACTGCATGAGTGACTTCCCCTAAACTTTCTTAGCTATTCTTATAACAGCCGTCGATACCCGTAGCACATGAATTATAGGTCTATATATTTTTAATGTTATACATGTTTAAGAAAAATATTTTATAAAATAGTTATTGGTCAAAACGCAATGTGCTCTACTACACGTTGAACAATATTAGTGACCATGCAAAGAAATAACTTTTTTTTTCTTCTTTAAATAAAATTTAGGTATACAATTAAAACATCTAACATATTATTTTCAACAAAAGTTTGTATCAAGTTCTCCATATATCGCTGAAGATACTGATCTCATATCCTGTGAAAATATTTTGCGGACAGAGAAAGAGAAAACCATAAGGAGGACGACATTTCCAGTGCAATAATGTTTTTTTAAATTGTTTTTTAATACTTAAATTTTTTAAATGGAATAGAATAGCAGGGCATTTTCATCTAGTTTTTGCTTGTGAAAAGTTTGAAAGAAATCGAAAGGGGAGAAGTGATCTTTTTAGAACTTCAGAAATAGCATAAGTACTACTTTCTGTCAAAGGAAATTACTCAAAACTTCATTCACCTCAATGTAAGGATAATCAAATTATTGTTGTTTTAAAACCAGAATTGAGTAAAGTAACACTTCCAGTTTATGGAGGTAACTCAAAAACTGAAAGTAAAGTATAAGTGTTATCTTTATATATGAAATTTTGTCTACCTAACTGAAACAGTGTTCAAATTATTGTGTAAAGAGTTAAGTACCATTTCCGGTTGCCAAAAATAGTTCAAAGTTGATAGAAACCTGTGCATAATATGCAACACTTATATTTGAAATTTCGTCCACCTAACTTAAACAGTAGTCGAGTTACAGGCTTTTGAGAAATGGGAAGAAAATTAAATACCACCTTCAGTAATCAAAAATCACTCCTAAGTTGAAAGAAAACTACAAATTTGATATAATACTTATATATCAAATTTCATCAATATAACTTAAATGGTACTCAACTTATGCTTATATACACACACAGACAGACTGATTGACAGGGTTGCATAACTTAAGTTTTTCCGGCTCAATAAGGTTATAAAACATTAAAATTTGTCAAAATCTTGATTTGGAAAAATTACAATAGTTCCTTTATATTCATTATACAATTAAATTAAGTAGGTGTTAAGCAGCAAAAGCTGGCGAAATATCTATTAATAATTCAGCACGATTACAGTTCTTCCTCTACAACCTCCTCTCTTTGTGTATGCAAAAATAAAAAAAAAGGTCTAAAAAGTATAAAATTTATTTTTTTGTAACTAAAAGTAAAAGCCTGGGTGCTCACTAATGGAGAATATATTCCCTTTCATAGGTTCTATAACATAAGATCTATGTTCAATTTTTATCACTGAGCGCCCAGGCTTTTATTTTTAGCGATACCAGCATTACTTAGGTTACGCCAATCAAAATTATTTTTACTTCTTTGGAGCATTTATCTTTTTTTTTTTTTTTGATTTGTGAAAATAATAAAAAGCTGATTTCCTTAAAAAAATTCTTCTGTAAGAATCATTAGTATTAGATTTTTATGGTGGTGGTACTTGTTTACCATGTGACGCCACAGACATTGAACTCACCAGTCAAAAATTTAAACCTTGGTTTTAGCACTCTTATAAATGGAGGACTGAAGGGGTAATCAGTTGGGAACTGCATATCCAATGTTATAACTGGCTAATAAAAATATGAAATAATGGATACTTGAGGCATTAAGATCTTTATAATAAAGTTACAAATTTTACATTGTGTACACATTGTTAATAAACTACTGTGATGTAAAACATAACATGGTTCATCAAGATATAACAGATATAAGAAATTATTTAACAAATTAGTCAACGAGAAGAAAAAATGTATCTCACCTCTTCTTTGTATTTTTGTGCATATACATTTAGGTCACCACCTAACTTTGTCTCTTTTGGGATATTTTTAAACTTCACATTCTATAAAAGATTATAGTTATAGAGAAATAGCTCAGAATTTTGCTAATAAATGAATGAGACTAAACTATGTTTATTTTAAAAAATGGAAATTTAGTGCTTTAAACTCAACACTTACCCATACAAACAAGTCATCTCCCCTAGGATGAGCTTCAATACCTAATTCGGGATCCCAAGAACTTACAGCTTTCAAATCTTAAAAATAGCAAAAAATACCGCCTGTAACTATAATTATTGAGGTAGCCTGAGAGAAATAAGGAAAGCGATGCTGACTCATACATACCTTTAATCAACCTTTTGACAGCCATTTCAGAACCAGAGCTTTTGAAAAAATTTGTTTCTAAGTCTTTCTCTGCTTCTTTTCTAAAATAAACACAAACTCAAATAATTTTTACAATTAAACAACTAGTGTTAAATCTATATTTAAAGTAATGAAAGTATGTCTGTCTGTGGGTTTGTCTTTTATGCATTACTACACCTTTCATCTGATTGCCTTGAAATTGTGAAAAGTTGATAAAAATACCCCTGAAAAGGTTTCTGCGGGGTGGGGGGGAGTGTCTAGCAGAGTGCGATTAGGCGCACAGAGTTCTCTAACAGTTATCTTAGTACCTGAGAAATGTTAATTGGGGGTCCTGCTTAGGGATCAGGGGTACTGTGCTGATCAAAAAGGTCAAACTGCACCAGGTGCATTCCTTGATGGTTGGGTGACCCAGAGCACCCTGGGCTCTCCCAAATGCACTATGACGCCTACAGCCATTTTAATGAGTCCCATAAACTGCATTTACGATGGGCTACTATAATTGTTGACGAAATCCAATCAGGCACTAGTGGCTCCCCTTAGAGCAATGAGGCGCCTACATTCATTTTAAAGAGCACCTTACAAAAGGTACACTGTGGCACAAGACATTCAATCACTAAACCAAAACATGGAACAAACCGGTGCCACTGGTGAAGTGTAACAGGTGGCTCCAGAGAGCACTCTGCAACAGACACCTGTATAGTCGCTGAGGTGTGTTCTACCTCACTATTACAGATGGTGATGAACGTACACTCAAGGCTTTCACACAGCACCCTCTAGGGTGTGGCGCATGAAAAACTGAGTGTATTTTTATCACCCTTTGCAGTGGTGGTATAACACCCCAATGCGCAACCGTCCAGGTTGCAGGGGTGTCATGGGAAGCACTTTGGAGCCACCAGTTACATTACTGCAGGGGAGCTGGTTGCGACCCCTCATTCCCCCCCCCCCCCCCCCGCAGCAATCCATTGCCCCCCAAACAAAATAGAAAAAATACATAATTATATAGAAATTATATACTCTCCTTCTTCCCCCCCCCCCCCCCCCACCCCTTCTGAGAAAAGTGTCTGAAAGAAACATTGGCTTATACTCCTTAAATTCCTTTGATGATCTATCATCTTTGGCATCACAATCCTCTTCAGCATAATAGTTCTCAAAGTCTTCCTCATCATCATTTTCATCTTCTTCAAATTCCATTTCAGCAAGTGCAGTTGCACCACTACTCCCCTTGCCAGAACTGATGCCAGGTACCTTTGTCAGCAAATAAAAAGTTGATTTATTACTATTGATGGTATTAGAATAAGGGCATAGAAGTTTTCGGATGAGTATGGGAATTTGCCATCCAATTATCTGGACATGTGTTGACATCATTCATTTGTAACCATTTCTACAGAAAGTGTATTCTGCACACCAGGACATTGTTTACCAAAATCAAACTATTGATAACAGAATTTTAACTGTGCATCAATAGCAATGGCATAGGCCCACAATACTTTTAAAGGGGAGTTAACTATCCCTGTAAAAGTTATATTTACTGGTAGAATAAATAATATACAAGCACCAAAATTATGGTGGTCCTATTAAATAAATACCAATCCAAATTTATATTAAAAAAGTGATAGAGCAAGAAGTGTCTAGATAATATGTCACATAGGCTTCGGCTAATAGTCATTCAAAAAATATTCTCAAGCTCTGCAGTTTTAGGTCCATATCATCAATAATGATCTGGTCCATGTCAGTCAGCCGGTTTGACGCCACTTCAGATAAGTAATCAGAATATAATTAGATGTAGTGAGGGAAAAAAAAAGATATGGTCCCTTATAGAATAAATCATTTTAATGATGAATCAGTAGAATTGAAATAAAGATTAATTTGTATATGTTTCACAGATTACCTTTTCTAAACACTTTAATAATTTATCCAGAACATCAGAAACAGTTTTGCATGAGTCAAAGTCACAAGATTCAAGCACTAATTGTAACACATCATGAGAATCTTCTGTATCACTCCAAACACTCTAAAATAAAATTATTGCCAACAGTTTAAATAATCATTTAGATCATAAATGAAAAAAAAACTCTAAATGAGTGGATAGCCTATAAGTCATTATTTAACTTTAATAGTCAAAGGAGCTGTTCTTAAATGGAATACTTTTTTTAAAATCCCCCCCCCCAGTCATCACTTACCCCAGCTTACAGTCTCCTTAAAAATTGTCATTCTTTTGGTGTTTTTTAAATCATTGATTTTTGTGGGGTATATACCAAGCCCAGTCAACATTTACAATATTAATCAATCTCTAGTTCTTCTTCTTCTTCTTCGTTCTTAATTATTAGTGTTGAAGGGGATCGAGATTTATCAGCCAGTGGGTTTGAACTCGAGACTTTGTTCGAATTTATCAACCATGAGCTTTTTGCAGACTCGACCACGCCTCCAACACAATTAAGCGTTACGTGTCAACTGGTTATGCGCCATTGAGGCCATTGACTCCGATTTCAGCCTGCTTTTCTTTTTGGATTTGCTTCCATAGCCTTTGTCCAACCAAGAACAAACTACAAGGCAGCAGTTGTTTAATTTCGGAGTTGTCTCTCCTAGAAGAGTGGCTGTCCCCAGCTAACGAGCCTCATCTGCCCGAGGGTTCGAACTCGAGACTTTTCGGTTTAGCAACCATGAGCTTTACCGACTCGACCACGCCGACCCCAATCTTCAGTTCAGTTTTTTTTAAAGTTCTTTAAAAATGAATAGCTAAAATTCAGTTTCTAACATTACTTTTGCAACAGGTTTGTTGTCTTTTCACACTGACACCCCCCCCCCCCCCCCGAGTGTGAGGTAGTTTATGGTCTGGATAACCCCTTGACCCCCAAAGCATTTTTTTCTTGTGAGAACTTAAAAAACCTACAATTTTTTTCTTATTAGTAGAATTACTGCTTTTTCATAATACATCTAAAACTATAACAAAAATTTAATTTCTTTTAAAAACCTGTAATGCTGTAGTCAAAAAGTAATCAAAATGAAATAGAAAAGTAATATTTACCCAAGATACATGATCTGAACCAGGAGTGGTGATGTAAAAGCTAAAGTTGTTCTTTGGAAACTTGAAATGTATCTGGCTATTGATCTCATCTGCTGCTGTAATGACTAGACCACAGCTGGATTTACTTAAATAGTCCTTCGCCTCCTTTTGCACACCATGAAAATCCATCTCAAAAGATCAAACTCTAACTCCTTTTAGTCCATTATAAGTGTAAACTGTAGAATATATAGCTGGCCTGCATTTTAAACAAGTGTAAGTGTATAGGGATTGAGGGGTTCTAATGTGCTGTTTGATAAATGTGACAGCATCTTTGTTTTATTTTTTAGAAGCTAACAGTTGCAAAACTTTTTTTTAAACAACTCAAAGTGAACAAAAGTATGTCAACTCTTCAGCATTGTATTTGCCATTAATTAAAATTCAAAGTTAAAAGCATACTTTTAAGCGAGCAGACATTCCTACTAGATTCTAGATCTATTACTACTAAATAAATATTATAGAAATATAGGGCTAGCCTGATAGTTTTACAAGTAATTAATTATTAATTATGAATAGGCCTATATCCAACTATTAACATTTTAATAGTGAAAAGCCATAGAGATCTACAATTTTTTAGTATTCATTTATTAATATTATAATAGAGTACAAATAGCTTTCAAACTATTTGTAGTTAGCTAAAAATAGCTATTATTTCAGATTTTGTACGTACACAGACCAATCATAATATCATAATAAATTGTTTTTATCTTTTATCATCCTGCACACTGCACATGTGGGGTGTGGGGAAATTGCGAGACGCGAAAAGCAAAATTGCGAGGCGGGAAAATGCAAGAAGGGCGCGAAAACGGTCGGTCACGTGACTTTTTTGTCTCGCATTTTACCACAAGCCGATACTTACGCTGGGTGGTGTTGAAATGTGAAGATTTCTGCGAAAAATTTACCGCACCCGATTTTCAGTGGTATTTGGTCCAGACTTCAAAGACGTTTCGTTTACATTGTTAAAACTTCCGATTTTTCCGTCGCTAGACATACTGATGATTTGTCAACTCCCCCCATCTTTTGTGTCGACTTAGAATACCACCTTGTTCGAAACCGACGGAAATACCGCCGACGATAGATCAACTTCTGCCTTCTGTGTGGAACGCCGAGGCCGCCTGATTTACCGTCTTTGAAGTTCGCCGTGCCCGGATCCGCTGCCGCCACAAACATATTTTCTATTGTTGCATAGAAATTTTGTATTATAGCCGCCGCCTACGATTTTTTTCTAGCTTTTTTTACCATATAAATCTAAGCACAAGGAAATGCCTACATCATTTGGATACAACTATTCTGAACTACTTACTGTGTGTTTTCTCTTCCAATGTTCCTTTATACTAATTTATATTAGATTTTATAAATAGATGTTGCAAAATATCTCTCCTGCTGACAAGATTTTACCAATTCACAATGACACAGCTCACGTTTGTATAAACATGAGCGGGCTAGATTTTTAAATTAATGGCAACTGAGACGGGATTTTCCTCTCGCTAACAAGAGCGGGCGATGACAGTAGCACAGCAACCATGTTAGGATTTTTAAATAGATAGATCTAGATATAGATCTATCTATCTTCTTAGTATCTAGATAAAAAATAACAACATACAACACTCGTGTTAAAGGGTATGGCTAAATCTTGTTTATTTAAAAAAAAAAATTTTTTTTTAATAAATTATTAAAGATGGAAAAAAAAGAAAAAAACTTTTTCGCAAAAAGTGTCCCGCTATTTACCCTTAATTCCGCAGGTATGTCTCGCATTACGTTCTCGCATTTTCCTGTCTCGCCATTTCGCTTCTCGCAATTTCCCCACACACACCCGCACATGTGAACCTATTTATTTTTTATCATTTTGTATATTTACGGATATTTGTATAATGTATAGATCTAGTATAGTTAAGTATAGGACATTCAATTTTAATGTTGAATTAATAACAGGACTTTGAAGTTTTTAGGGGCGAGGGTTCTAATCTATACTATTCTCTTTAGCAGTCTTTGGTTCTGAGTTTTTATTTTGTTTTTTTTTTCTGTTTTACTTAGATCTAGATCTATCTGATCTAGATTCTAGTAAAAGACTTTTTGTTGAATTTTGTTTAGGTTTAATTAATTAATGTTAGGCCCCCCCTTTACATTTAATTCATTTTAATATTGCCATTATTTATCAGGCTGGCTAAGTTAATTGTTAAGTTTAAAAGCCCTAGAACTAAAAGAACAGAAATAATAAAAATTACTAGATCTAGATTTAGATCTATATTTCTAGATCTAGATTAGATCTAGATCTAGATCAGTAAGATCTAGAGATTCTAGATCTAGAATCTTGTCTAGAATCTAGATTTTAAGATTTAGATTCTAAATTACTAGAATCTAAAAAAATACCGCAATAAATAGAAGTTAAAGTAGATCTAGACTCTAGATCTAGAATCTTATCCCTAAAAATAAAGTTTAGTTTATAACAATACCAAGTTTACTTTAATGTACGAAAGCCGTTATTTTTAAAGGGAAGAAAAAACGTTTGTGGAAATTTAAATTTTCCCGGAAACAAAGTGAAAAGGAAAGGTAGGCTAGGGCCTAGGTCCTATCCACTTTTTGTTGCTAAGGAAAGTTTTTTAAAGCGAAAAAAAGCTATATAAATTATTTTATTAAAATAGGACTGATTTGACCGTAGATCTATGTTCAATTACTGATATTTTAAAAAATTAACAAAATCGTTTCAATTTAATTTTACAGATAAAAGAACTAATGAGTCACTGAAGAGAAGTGAATAAAGGTGCATATTTGTTTTGTTTACCTTTTTATATTATTTTTATAAGTTGCTTTTTTTAGTTTTACAGATTAAAATATATTAACGTCTCGTCCAGTTGACTTTAGAATTCTTGTACTCCGTATTGTATTTTATAATCGTATTAGTATTGTTAGTATTATATTATGTTGTGTGAAGATTGCTTGACGTGGTGGGGGTGGAGGGAGGAAGGGAGGCGTTTAAAATGATAGACGGTTGTGTTGTTCGCGAGTGTGTGTGTGAGGGGGGGGGGGGGGGGGGGTCAGAGAGCAGTGGCGGAATTAGAAAAGAAAGGCCTCCGCGCAGAGGTTTTTTTTTTGGCCCTTACAAGAGGCGTATACACATGTTTTCGGGTTAGGGGCAGAGTTTCTTCCAGGCATCTCTTCAGGGGGGGGGGGCTTTGAATTCCCCCCCCCCGAAAAAATTCTACCCCCCCCCCCCGAACGAATTGAAATTTATATAATTTATATATTTAACAGTGTCCGCCCCCCCCCCCCCCCCCGCCCGAAGAAAGTCTACCACCCCCGAAAATTTTAAGTGCCCCCCCCCCCCCGGAGAAAAAAGTCTGGAAGAAACACTAGTTAGGGGGACGTACTGGCCAAAGTCTGAAGCGCTTAAACTTTACAGCGTATTACATACATTGGCCTACCAATGCTCGCACTGCCCGGGATATCCTGGCCAATGTCCTATTTATATTGTGATCGCGTTTTTATTATTCTGGGTGCGGTGTCATTTTGAGTAACGTATTGTTAGGCTCTTGTTTGTATAGTAAGCATTCTATATACAATGCGACATGGACTAAAAGGGCTGTCAGACCAAGAGACAGACATACCAGATGACTGCCAAAATATTTCTGAACTGAAGAACATGTGGCCTAAACTTAAACTAGTTCTCGGGAAAACCAAGGCATATCCAAGTCAAGGTTCAGAAGAACGCACCAACCAAAATGTTCAAAATATGATGATAACATGGATGTAGACAAATGAATTATATAGCTCAATGGGCTGAGAGTGTCAAATTCATTCAATTTATGAAAAACCTTTCTTTTCATCAAGGAATCCAACAATCGCAATACGAAGCCTTGTTTGGATGCAAAGCAAAAGTGGGGCTTAGCACTTCAAATCTACCAAGAGAGGCTCTCGATAATTTAGTTACTGAGGAAGATCTTGATAAAATTGAACAGGAAACGGAGGTTGCCACAAACGCAACGACATCCTCAGCTAACACATCTGCTGCCGTGGCGGAACGTCCAGACCAGTTGCGTAACAATAATATGGCCAACAGATTATGTGTAGTTTGTGAAAAAAATTGTAATGCAGTTCATTCTTGTGGATCGTGTGGCAACGAAGTCCATGCAATATGCGGAATAGCCAATAAAACAGACGAAGGATATGGAGGGAACATTACTTGCAGATTATGTCACAATAAACAAGAAATCATGGACAACATGTCAGCAGCTATTAATAGCTTGCAAACTCAAGGTGCTAAAATGCTAACAAAATCAGATACAAATTTTAAACAAGCCAAAGTGAGAGATAATATTCGCATCCGTATACCAGATGTTGACAGAGGTCGTCGTGATCCCCGAAGCGTCATTGCAGTTGTCATGAGCGTCGATGGCGCTTTCTACAAGCGAATTTGAATTATTTTTTTCCGCAGAAACCTCCCCAGGAATATTCTTAACAACTTCCCAAAGTTCGACGGTGATGTGATAAGAGGTGTGGTAATGCATAAAAGACACACAGACAGACAGACAGACAGACACACACAAATACATTGCTTTTTATATATGTAGACTAATTTTTCTTCTTGTCCTACTAAGCACAATTGTCTGATTCCTAACAAATTCACTACAATACCTAGCGGCTTCTCAAGCAATGTCCGGAATTTTTTTTTTGAAGAATTTTGCCGGCCACTGCGTGTGTTTAATGGTAGGAGAAAGAGAACTCCGCCTTGATAATGGTATTTTTAAAATTAAAATTATTTTTTTTTATATAAATAAATTTGACAACATTTTTCGAGCCCACTATTTGGCCCCCATCCCCTGCCCCATCCCGCCACAGCACACTTTGAAGGTCCGGTCGAACTGTTAGAATGCTTTTGTATGAACATATTACGTGCCCTATTTGTCTGACAAAGGGGAGCAATGAATCACAGAATTCACTAAAATTTGAAGCTGTGCCTATCTTTTACACTACATTTTGTGTTGTGGTTTTTTATGTTTGTGGAAGAGCGTGGTATAGTGACTGTAAAATAAAGATAATGGTACCGCAGCTACAGATTTTTTTTACAAACCAAACATCATGGCAAAAATGCACGAAAATCACATTTAAAAAATAATAATTATTGTCTGCCCCCCCCCTCCCTCGCATTGCGGGGTCTGGCGTCATGGTAGTTCCGCCCCTGGGTCAGAGGCGTAATGACCCATTAAGGCGCCAATGGCGCAGAGTTTCTTTCGGGCATCTCTTGATGAGATAAAACCAATCATTTCAATTATATATATTTTATTATACATCATTCTAAAGCGCTTTTTAGTGCATTTAACGGCTAAAGTTTATTTAACCTATGTTAAAGTATCATCAAATTAAAAAAAAAACTTTTAATCGGAACTCTTGTCTTAGCCTTGTTCCTTGAGTCTACGGACGACACGCAACTGCTTGTGTGTCATCCTTAAATGCGAAATTTGTACAATTTAAAAAAATGTTTTGAACTAAATTCTAAATCAATATTTAGTCATAACAGAAACTCAAGTAATGTAATGTATGCTAGGCTTAGTCATATTCGTATGGGACTTAGCGTGACCATTACTAATTTAAAAAAAAAATGGCCGCTGATCAGATCACTGGAATATCTTGTCCTGTTATACCTGATAAAGGAATGGCGATTTTCTTCGATGTTGGTACTCCTATCTTTAATATAGAACATTTTGAGTCTTTACTTGTCGCCTACCCAGCCCTGCATAGTGAATAGATCTAGATCTACCTTAAGTTCAATAGTCAATCCAGAATAATTAAAACGAAGTGTCTACTCGGAAGAAGATTTGGTAATCTATCGTTTTGGGTACGTAAAATCGCCCGCGGCTATTAATGTACGAAAACGTTACCTCATTGTCAAAGCTTTAATAGAAGTATATTGTCATATGTTTGTGTCAAATATTATAGATAAATAAATAATAAACCCAAATCAATGGTTAAATATATCGATATAGGCCAGAAATTAACTTTAAACAGCAGTGTCTGAGAGCAAGATTTGCTATATAAACAGCAGCCATTTGTAAAATAGAGTGACTTCCCCCTGAATCTGGCACTAAAAGCATATAAAATTAAAACTTAGACAAGATGGCTGCCATAGTAAATGAGCATGGTTGCATCTGTTGGAAACATCGGACGCTAGTCTTCATTTATTACGGAAAAGTTTTAATTCAATTGTTTAAAAACAGGTGCATAAATGAAACAAGGAAACATTTTTGTATTTTAAAAAACATAAATCCTCCTCAAAATGTGAAATAATTATTACAATTTAAGGAGTCACCTGGTTTTCACATTACAAGTTGCGGGCGATTTTACGTACCCAAAACGATAGATTACCGAAGATTTTTCTCCCCAACGTCTCCACTTAGTCGGCAAAAGATAGCTCTGTGCATGCGCAGTGACTTATGGCTAGGGTAAGGGCTAGAATGAGGGTTAGGGGTAGGATTAGGGTTAGGGATAGGGTTAAGGATAGGATTAGTGTTAGGGTTCTGCGGTTGTAAACACACGCATGCGAAGTGCCATCGAAAACATCGCCGCTAAGGCAAGTCATAGTTTCTCTCCATTCACCATTGCGCATGTGTATCGCATGCGTATCTTATTCCGGCTAGAATCTGCCAAAATATTAAAATTTCATAAACAATGACTGCATGAGCCAATGAAGCAACTTATTCGCACATTTATCACATTACTAGATCTAATTACTCCTAGAGTAAAGTTCCACGCGCGGTTAAAACACCGGTGCGGTCATCGCCTGTTTATCGCTTCGTACAATATTTGTTTTGATGTTTTATACGAAACTACCGATATCTGCTGTAAACCTGTCCATTTCTAAATATATCCAGGTCAAATTCTTTTGTTTTTCTCCTTCTGGAAGTCGAGTTTTTAAATTTTAAAGTTTCGAGGTATGACGTCGAAGGCGATTCTAGTTCCCCGTATGAAAAACACTAGGTCCAGGATGAGATGAATAAACCAACCAATCAAAGCTTTTTATAACTAGGTTAACTATAAATAGCTTCTACAATATGTGCGGGACACTGTACATACGATAGATTAGGCTAATAAAGCAACCTGATAGGTGAATAGGGGTGGCCGCAGCTTGGGTGTCGATTTGGGTGGTTTCACCGCGCTGCGTAACCAACGACTTGAGCTAGACTAGCCTAGTTCTAGATGCTCTACATTTCAAGCTAAACCTAGAATCTGTATAATTTCTATTTTTTTCTGCTGTTTTAAATTATTTCGATCATCTACTTCTTCTAAATCTAGTTTGTGTCTCTACATACAAGCATATCTAAGCAAATGTTACGTTGTGTCTTGTCAGTGGTTGTTACGTCCCTTTGTTATGATTATTATAGTTGCGTCCCTTGAGTCATCACTGGGTCAACTTTTAATGTCGTTAATTAATTTAATTAACATGTTTTTAATTTGGTTTTGAAATCTATTAATTAATAATACAATCAACAACACGTTTAAAAGTGTAAAATATTTATTTTATTTATTAAACTAGGATTAAAACGTATAAAACACGATCGTTACGCAAGCCGGTTCAGATGGCCGCACGGAAAAAAAAGAGGGGAAAAAAATATCGCAAGTAGCACGTCACTAAAACATGAATATCTCAAATTCAATGCGTAGGAATATAAAATGATTGATACATATTAAGAGTAGAAAGGCAGAGGAATAATATAGTACTTTGGGTTTGTTTCTGTGTTAAACGGTTACAAAATAGCGCCCGATGAAAGTCGATGAAAGTCGGGAGTTCGCTATGTGTGAACTTTACTCTAGATCTAAGTGTAAGTAAGTGTAAGCACTGTAAGTCAGTGTAAGTCTTAATGTCTTAATAATAGGACTTATTAGTACTTAATAGTACTTAATACTTAATACTCAATAATTTTGGTGATCTATCGTTTTAGGTGCGTAAAATCACCCGAGGCTAGTAATTTCTTACACTTAGTGTCTTAGACTTACTTAGACTTAGTGTTAGTCTACCTATTTTATTTTTAAATTAAAATAAAATTTTTCCAGATGTCAGGTGTTTACTCCTCCCCACCATTTATCATTCATTACAAAAACACCCACTAGATCTATAGTGTATAGGGCCTATACTCGGCCTATAGTATAGTATAGGCCTAATGACTCACTAATGAGATTTCAAAGTTCAGCTCTAGATACTAATTATTATGATTTTTTAAGAAACACAGAAAAACCTTGCGACAACTAGATTCTAGATCTATGCCAAGTAAAATAAGACGATTAAATTTACTAAAGTTTAAAGTTGTGAGAAGAAAGAACAATGTTAAGTAGCAGCAATAATTAGCACATACACTTAAAATAATTATAAATACAAAATAGTTAGAAAAACAGTATTTAAAATGCAACTAAAATCAATCTATGCACATTTTGAACATTATGTATTAAAAAGAATATGGAGCCAAATACAATATGTTAGCATTTTAGGCTAAATTCAACTAAATTGAATTTAAAACCTATTTGACATTCGTACACTGGCCATTTATATAGCAACGTTCTGCTTGCAATACAAATTTTACTGATGCTTTTGTATTTAATACTACAAAAAGTGTGTGTAAAACAATTTTATAAAGATTGAAAATAATCTCTGATTAATTATACCTGTCATTTTGAAGAAAATAATTGCTTTTGCATTAAATTAACTTTTTGTTTTTCTTTTTGGTGTTCCTCAGGTATTTCGAAGAGCAGATAAAAATGGTGAGACAGCACATTTTATAGTATTTCACAAAAGGCAAAAGGGGGCTGTGGTTTACTTTTTACCTGCTGTCTTTTTTTGTTGTTGTTGCAGCTGTCTTACTATAGGCGTCTCCTAATTCTATTTGTGTTAAGAATTAAGGACATCCGTTGTAGTGTTGAGCCAATAAGAAGGGACAAAAATAAAAAACAGAAAATTGTTTACAGAATAAATAACCCCTGAAACTCACTTCAACTTCAATCCAATGTTGCAGCTTTACATTGTAAACATTGCTCACTCTAAGCAAACTATAAAGGAAAATGAGCTTACTAACATGATCTTTGAACTGCCAGTTTGTAATCTAGGGTGTCACTGTTTTTATTATAACCCTTTTGAGTTCTCTCATTTTAATTGCTATTGTATCTAGACGTATAACATGTACATTTTCTTGAAAAAAGGAAATATGAATTTTACAGATGATGGTTCTATCTCTTGGGAAGAATTTGTCTGCTACTTTGCTGATGGAGTTATGGGGAAAGAAGAGTTATGCAGCTTGTTTGAACAGATTGACTCTCATAACACCAAGTAATGCTTGATGATATACTTGTAAACAATATGGGTCACTCTATTTTTGGAACTCGCCTAAATGTGTACCACTGTAGTTGTCTGAGAAGCTAATGCTGTAGATTGCTTACTAACCCAAAAGCCATGAGTTTAGATCCTGGCCGCAGGTTGTCCCCTTGACCAAGCAGCCTCCCCTGTCCCAACCAGGTCCTGCAATACACTGGGGGAGGAAGAAAAGCCTGGCAGAAACCCACATGTCTAGCGGCTGGTCAAGTGGGTTCCTAACCTTGTTCCTATCTGCCTGGCTAATGAGTAATAGCTTGAGCAAGTAATAACCATATGAGAGAGATAGATTAGCTAATGCTAACAACCAACAGGTGAACATAGTAACAGAAGTGCTTCAAGTGCAAGCTGGTTCTTATTTTGGTTTTTATGCTCTGGGCGTACAAGGGTAGAAATCTAGCATCACAGTTTTAGCTGATTTTTTTCTTTCTATAGTACCACAAGATCACAAACACCTAGACCCTTCTGCGTAAAGGTGTCACAAAGTTCCATCTCAAATAATCATATTCTTAAAATATGAAAAATTTACATTTCACATAGTTTTTAAAACTTAGAAATACAGTTGAATAAATTTGAAAGTTGGCTATGTTGTTAAGAAAAGAATTTTTTTTAAAACAAAAATGCAAATATCCACAGCAACATTGATATTGGAGAATTGTGCACCTACTTCACTCAGCATCTTGGAGATTTTAAAGAAATATTTGGTCTGCTGGAGGAGATGAACAGAAAAATGACAAATGTTTTGTATGGAATGTCCAAGGTAGCAATTTTTATGTGCACTTGATCAAAGGCAATTGTAAAATAAAACAACCTAATATTTTCTACTTGCAGTAATGGAAGTGTCTAGAGACATCATTCCATTTTCATTAAGTAAAATGTGATAAATTTTGATAAACATGTTTTGATGAATGCTTTTAAACTTAAACTGTTTTTAGACTTACAAGGATGCAGGCAGATTAGAAAAGTTTGCCAAGCGTTTCTTTCTCAAAGAACTTCTTAATCAAATAACAGCTCTCCAACACCCTCTAGAGGCAGCACTGGATGCACTAGACACACAAGCCAGAGAAGAAAGGTATTTGAAAATCTCTACCATATGGCAGGAAACAGATTAGTACCGGAAAATGCATATTCGATCTTCGCCGTTCATAAACTTTCTAACCAGACATCGTTCGGGGATTTTGTTTATACTGATAAATAGAGCTATGTTTTTACAAGCTTCGTTAGCAACATTTTTGTGGAATACGTTTTTTATGACATTTTGTGCCGCGGCGAAGGATGCGAAGTATGCAAATCTGGACGGAATGGATCTACTTGGAAAAGTACGTGTACTGCACTAATAAGGTAAGAAATACTATTTTGTAAAAATAACTATTATTTTTATGGATTTTTCATTAGAAATGATTGCTGTAAATTATGAAAGTAAAAAAAAGTATATTTGAATGTGTTTTTTACTTTAATTTGAACAAAGTGAATGGCCATAATTACGACACATCGGCGTCGTTGAAAGCGGGGATTTCAGTTAATTTTTTACGGATATAAAATTGTATTTTTTTCCTCCGAGGCATGTACTTAAATAAGAGTTTAGTTAAATGTATTTAATTCTGTAAAATATAAGTATTATTTTGCCGTAGATACTTTAAAAAAAAAATTTTATGATTTTCTGTCGGGGAAAATCGATATTCGCACCATGCACGCACGCGTAGTAAAACTAGACTTATCTTTAAAACACGAGAATCTTGAGTACACTGCGAATAACAAAGTTTTTAAATTTTAGTTTACTTTTGACTTTAAGCCATTTGTTTTAAATCGAAATTAATTGATAATGTAATTATTTCAAAGTAAAAATTTTCCGTCTGATTGGGTTCTAATCTTCGCCCACTGAACCAGCCTACGCACGACATTCGCGCGAGTCTGTTTCTTCGCAATAGTCTGTATAGTGTCGAGGGCTAATTCTAAAAAGAATCGAGTCCTTACTAATCCAATGTTTATTAAAATTAGGTACAATTGTTGGAACGCATGAGAAATAACAAATTAATATTTCTTTAAATCTATAGCCAAAAGAAAGTAGAACTTTGTAACTCTGTAAATTATGAATCGAGTGACGGCTGTCGTGAAAACGGGAGCCATTTTACTCTTTTTTTTAGGGTGACCTACTTTTATTATATAATTTTAAAATTCATCGATTTGATAAGTAGCTGAGTAGCTGACTACGCATGCGATATGGCTGGCACGTTTTGGGATAGGGATCGAGTACACCATAGAATTTTTTTTTTCTTAGAACTAAGCGTATTTTTTTTTAAATCAAAAGATACTTACATATCAGTTGTTGATTTCAATTTCATTATAGATCTAATCACTAACTTCCGTTTTTAAAAGTGATTTTGCATCTAGATCTAGCGTATTTTCAAAATTACGTAAATCTAGATCTATTTTTTAGATCTAGAATCTAGATCTACGTACTATTTGACAACCGTGTCAGTAAAATGAGGTCAGCGCTTCCAGATTCTTAGGTTTTAATTATGTTTGTCATTTTGATCTATTATAAGTAGCATTAAAACAACTGCATCTATTATCAACATTGTTTTTATATGCCAGTTCTAATTATACATTCTGTTCATTACCAATTCTAATGAAATCGTATCAGGCCCTAACACCCTGTTCACCTACACTCCTACACTGACACTACACTTGAAAGACGCCACAGAGAGTCGTAACTTTAAATTAATGTTTAAAGTACTAAACAATTATAATTAGCCATGTAAATGCTGCAACTATATTAAAAATTGGCATATAGACATATTTTATTAATTATGTTTTTTATATAGACCTTCTATATTTAACTCTGTTATTTTTTTCTTCCCCAGAGTGTTTCTAAAAGCCAGAATTTTAAAGGGGAGGGCGGTCGTTTTTTTTCTCAAGAATAATTATAGAAATAAGCTATAAACTGGTATATTTTGTAAAGTTTGACACATTTACAAATAAATGTATGCCTAAGTGACATTTCTGTGTAATTATATTGTTAATTTTGTGAATTTCGTGGATTTTTAGACCTCACTACATTTAGATGTAAAAAAAAATCTCAGTTGAGTGAGTGTGGTTAATCTACATTTTGAACGTGATGTAAATGTCTAGTGCTATTAATTTTTATATTTTTGAATTCCTCGATTGTTAAGCAACAAAATTGATATATAATATGTCAATAATTGTTACTTTGAAAATTGGCGAAAATCGACCCTAAAAGTAGATGCTTGAGGGTTGAATCTGTTTCCTGCCATATACATTTATTATTTATCTTGCACTTGTGTCAAGTTTAAGTTGTTAGTATGGAAGTACAGAAGACATTTCTAATGTTGGTGTTGTTTTATTTAGATCAGACATCCAACCCCTGGAGGCCAGTGACATAAAGAAGCCACATACTTCTTTTATTCCTGGTCGTGTGGCAAGACGAAACAAGCACCAGGCCAGTCCTATGAATTCAGGAGAAGGTAAAATAACCAGCCATTAAGTTGGATTTGAAGATTTGCTCTGTGTATAGAAAAAATAACCTATTTAATATAGAATCTTGTGTATGGGGTTTCAGATTTGTGTTCAATTGCTTTTGTAATTTATAGAAGTAAAGTAGCTATTTTTTTATTTTAAATTTTTGTTTAATAGTTTTAAATTTAGCATAATTTGTTTGCATTAACATTCTCTGCAGTCTTTGAAGGGAATGATATGTTTCCAGGTATGCTTTTAAGATTGCAAGCTTTTTTTTTTAACTGTATCCTTGTTCGGAAATTATTTATAATTGTTTCTTTCTTTGTAAACTATTGTTCTCTGAAAAGTTTTCTTACCATTGAACTTCAGAGCTTGTATTGCATGTTTATAAAACAGTCAGCTCTGGCAAGTATTCTATACAATCCGATTCCGGAAACTCAGAGCTGTTGATAAGTACATGCAGGGTACCTCATTGATTTTCCTACTCCCTATTTGTACTACCACCTTTTAATGTTATTGAGATTTTAAAAAAATATTGTTGTCTTTTTATCATGTGTTAGATGTTGTACATTTTTACTGTTATTTTTTAAAATTTTTGTTTCTTTGTGTATATAGAAAGCATCTCACTGAATAGGATGGGTTTTTAAATTCTGAAATAGCACCATAGGATTTGTAAGTTCTGCTTGTTGACAGAAAATTTTTTTAATTTAAGTCTTGTTAATGTAATTTTAGCCTCCTATTTAAGTTAATTTATCATTTTTACAAAAGACCACAAAATGTCAATTTAAATAGTGTGATTTCAAGTAAAATGTTTGTAATATTAAATTTAAAAAACTTGTTATTTTAGGTTTATTGTTTCATGGATTAAAGCTTTAACATATAGGGTTTTGCAGTTAAAAACCTTTGTTTATAATAATTTTAGTTATAATTTATACCATAATAATCATTCTTTCTCAGGTGGGAGTGTAATGCATCAACAAGTGGAAAGACTTGCAAGACTAATTGACCGCTTAGAGCACAAGGTATGTTCATACGTTTGATTTTTTTTATCTGCTAGAACGCCTGCCTTTTTCCTCTTAGGGGGAAGTGGGCTCCAGAACTTGTCAAAAGCCTTAATTTTAAACATTTCTGAGTTTTAATATTTTCAAAGTATTAAAACTTTTCTGTAATGCAAAATAAACCAAGAAAATGTAAATAATACTATGAAAAAAAAGGTTTTAAAGCATTTTTGTGACCATATCAACATACTGAAAACTGTTTTATATGTATTCATGTCTTTTGATTGTTCCGACCTAGTGTATTTGGTGCAGTTGGCAGCAGGATGTACACAGTGACAAATATAGTTGTTAGTTTTTTTGTTCCCATTATTATGCTTCTTTTATTGCACAATCCAAATTTAGAATATATGAAGTGTTTTTATCATTTACCAAAAACTAACTGCTATTCTGTAGTGGAAATCTAAGGGTATTTTCACAGATACTTAAAACTTTTCACAATATATTATTCACTTAAAAAGACATAGCATTTACAAAAATGGTACACATCTTAATGGGTTTACGTGAGAATTACAAAAAAGTTAATTTTTAAAAAGAATGTTTGATTTAGATTGTTTCTTAATTTTTTTCTCTTTTAGCAATTAGATTGCTTTTTTTGAAACAATTGTTCTATAATTACAGATCAACTTTGAAGGATTTCGAGATGAAGAAGTTGTTCCTGGGGAAGATAACACAGTAAATAAATATTGCATAACTTTCTTTGTGACTGGTTGTTTACATACACATTTTGTGTGACTCAAAACATGATTTGTTTACATATACATTTTGTGTGACTGGAAATATTTAGGGTTGCAGGAAATGTTGTTTTGCTCACCTTCACATTTTGTTGTCAGATACTGATGATTCAGAAAGAATTTGTTGTTCAAGAAACAAAACTAGAAGATTTTAATGCTCACCTCAGAGCTTATGTGGATACAACCCTTGGCTTCAGGGGGTGTTTAAAGTAAGTCTGTTTTAAATCATGTATTAACCATTTCTGTTTCATTTTTTATGTCACCAAGCTGCTCTTTTTTATATTGTCATCTGATTCAACTTCTTAAATTGTTTACAAGGCTCACTCGATATTAAATCTATATTTTAAAGAGAAGTGCACCTTTCTCTTAGAATTGGGGTGTTGAGAAATGCGTTGTGGCCCAGTAGTTAGAAGGTTAATGATAATCTAATACAGTTTTTTAGCTGTCAGAGAATTAAAAGCAACCCATTCCTACCTCTGTTAAAAATTGTCATCTTTATATATTTTAAAGTGTGTCTATCAGAGAATTTCAAGCAACCCATTCTTACAATATCTATGAAATCTGGACCTGTGAAGAGAGCTACATAAAGTAAGTTTTTTTCACTACTCAAACACTTGATTTTTCAATATAAAAATGTAAAACTAGAATTCTTGACACAAAGATGTTTCTAATTTTTTAGGCTATACAATTTAAACATACAAAAAAGGTAATTAAAAAATTTTAAATATAAAATACATGGATGATGAATATTTATCTCTGTCAAAAAATTAGAATTGTTGGCATTTAGATTTTAAATTGAGATTAAAATAATTTTTTCGAATAGAAATTGTAACAGCGATTCTACCAAGACCCTGGTGAGTGCCACAGCGGAAATGCTTGAGAAACCTGAAACAGTCAATTCTCTAAAAATTCCCAGTAAGTTTTGATGTTGTTTAGTCTACCTGCTACTTAATTCTTGCAGCTGATCTTAAACAGCAATACATAATTATAAATTAAATCACTTGATCTTTAGGTTTAATAATGAAGACCTCCAGACTATATTAAATAATTACCATTCAAAACACAAGAAACCAGGCAAAATAAATAGTTCTGATTAGCTTCATAACTTTTATTTATCGCACATCTTGTAAAACGAGAAAAATGGCCCGTTGAGGAAGGATACACCGGGCGCCAGGTTGATAGTGCTGTCTCTTTTCTCTAAACTAAAACCAACCCCCAAAAAACATGTCTACCGTCCCATTCAACGAAATATAATTATATACTTTTTCCAGTGTCCGCCCCCTCCCCGAAAATTCTACCCCCGCCCCCGAAAATTTCAAGTACCCCACCCCTCTCCGGGGAGGAATAAGTCTGAAAGAAACACTGGTGTCGCGCCTAGCCACTACCCGAATAATTGCTTTAAAGAAATTGCAAGAAAACCACTTTTTAGATTAGACACATTAATTAGGCGGTAATTTTATTATAGAGTATCGATGAAGAAATTTCTTTTGAGTTAGGGAGGGGGGGGGGGCTCAGACGTTCTTACGCGGGGGTGGGGCTTCGCCCCTACCCGAAGAATTGTATGTAAGAAACTCTTCACGCAAACCACTTAGATTAGACAAAATTGGCTTTTTATTCAATGTTTACTCGAGAATCAATGACGTCATATTACTGTGTGCACTCTCCGGCTTGATATTATTTTCTACTATACGACGTCATACTTCGTTTTCGTTTCACTGTGCAAGTTTTTTATTTCCTTGTGTTTTCTCTATAGCGTTCTTGTCAGATAGAATTTTTGCTTATGTTTTCTCTAGAGCGTTCTTGTCAGACAGAGCGTTCTTGTCAGATAGATAGATAGATACACAGACAGCGAAACTATTAGTATTAATGTTTTCTTTTATTCAGAGATGAAACATTTCTGTTTTTTTTTTACAGAAATCCGCTTTTTTCTTTAGGGGAAAGTGCCCATTTTGTAAAATGTTTTGTTTTTTTACAGAGATGAAACATTTCTGCTTTTTTACAGAGATCCGCTATTTTATTTTAGGGGAAAGTTGTCTACCAACATTTTTTTGCTGATCGAATTTTTCCAAATGTCCTTTTTCTTTTGAACTCTTTTTTTGCCAAAAAGGAATAGACAAGTTAATTTGAAGGACTATTTTATGTATGAAAAGACATGCACAGTTTCACTCTTATACATGTCTATAACACCAAACCTCCACTTATCTGCTTTCCATGGTGGTGTGGATTGTTAAGGTCTTTGAAGTGCCTAGTGTGTTAATGGTTTCTCTTTACTAGCTCTAAAAAATTATTATTTATTTTTAACATGGTTAAAAAAAGCTATATGGTTTTTAAGATGTGACACCTTCAGGCATTTTTGATGACGGTGAAAGGTGGTTATTAAATTATTGATATAGTGTAAGATTAGCAAAATAAACCTACTATAATTTGGTTACCACAGGTTATTTGGGCCTGACGATTTTTTAAAAAACTTGAAAATTCTGTGAACTGGCAAAAAAATAGGAAACTTGTTATTTCATTAAAAAATACTGGTCACCTAGTGAGTTTAGACCTAAAGCTCGTGTTAAATAGGTCACCTAGCTCATTTGTTGTGTATAAACTCAGGTCTTAAGTGTTTGTTTATTCTTCTCTAGATTTTAAAATATTTGTTAGTTAGTTGAGCAACTGTGTTTTTTTTCTCTCCAGGTTCTTGGTGGAAAAGATCTGACTGACTTTTTGAACAGAAGACCATTGCTTTAGAATTGAGTTTTTCAGCCAGGATCTTCCCACTCTTGTGCATTGAAAACATCTCTTGATGGTCTTGTAGTCAGCTATTAGATTTATTTAAAATCAAAACCTTCCTTTTTTCTCAAAGTGGTCATGCACTGCATTGTCAGCTTTAGTATGTTGTAGCTTGTCCAAGGCAAGACACATTTTAGCATCACCAGTTTTGCTCATCTTATAAATGTTGTAAGATTTTACTTTAACTGTGATCAAATACTGTTGTTGATAGAACCTTTATTTCAGTATCAACTGATCTCACTTCCATAATTTCCTAGTACAATTTTTTTACAATGCCAAATGTTATAAACTGCATTGTCTCCCATTATTCCAGACAGATCATGTTTACAAATGTTACAAGTTTTTACCACCCAACTTTTGAACCCAGAACACTTCTTCCTTGTCAGGTCTTGTAACATTAGCTACATATAAACAAATATTGAAACTTGACTCCAGTTTTGTTTCTAGAATCATTTTTAAATTTGGGGGATTTCACAAGAAAAGCTATATTTGATTCTCCTCCCTAAAAAGTTCAAAAATGTAATTTCTAAGTGAAAAAAAAAATTCAGTAGAGGCCTTATGTCTCTACAATCCGTAGATAATAAGAACGTATTACTGATGAGCGTTGAATGATCGCTGTTCTTGTAAGATGAAATTATTAATTTATTACCTAGCATCCTAACACATCCATGATCACGCATGATATATTTGGGTGGTTGCAGTTTTAACATTTGACTAAAATTTCTTAACATTTGTAATATGCAAATTGTAAAATGTTTTCAATTACTGTGATAATTATTTAAAATGTCTACCTTTTTTGTTTCTATTTTTAAAAGTTTTTGGGGGAAAAAATACCAATTAATTTTGGAAAAGTTGTGCTTTAGGAACCAATTCTTATCCGCTATGATGTAAGGGGTTAAAGCAACAAAATCATTTGCATTCCTATCGAACTGACCAAATATTTTTAATGTGTTCAGTGAGCTCAGAATTGCATCAAATAAATGATTCACCATCCATCCCCCAACAACCATATCTACTTCTCATGTTTGAACAAAGCCCTCCTGGCTCACCAACAGGGGATACACTCAGTACTACTATAATATTTGGATATTTTTCAGTCCTCTGACAACAACAGTCAGTTGTAATCTTCTTAATATCAAATGATACAAATCACCCACTCCTCCATGGTCAGTCTGATTACATTTAATTTTAATTACTTAAATCATTTGTTTCCCTCTTCCCAGGGTGGGTGGTGTCAGCTATTGGCGTAGTTAACAAAGCTAAAGCACATGTACATTTTCTTTTGATTTTTCAACTTTGTCTTCCCTGAACCCCCAAGGTGCAGGCCGCAGTACCTGATCTATGCTGCTTTAGCACAGCTCATACTACCAGTGAAAACATTCCTTGATTTAAAATACTCAGTTATTTACATTGCATTTTGTTTACTGATTTATTGTTGGTCTTTTTAAAAAAACAACAACTAATACTCAATTACTATTTCTTAAGAAATCCAATGTTTTATTCTGATGAACATTTATTTCAATTTTGTATTGGCTGTTGTATCACCTAGGCAGTTTTCTGCCACATTTATTTAGTTGATTTGATGCTAGTAAGTTTACATCTAGTCCCTTTTAGGACTGCACAAAGTAGTGTTGTTAATCCTCTGTCAAGTAATAAAGTTATTTAATAAAATTATTTTCTTTGTTTTACATTATTAAAATTGTTTCTAATTTTCATTCTTTATTTGCTGGAACTAGTGATGTCCTTATATTAATATGAATCCAGAACTGCGTCAAATGTTTAACTCTTCAGTGAATGTTTTTGAGGGCAGCTGATAACACATCATGAGACAAACAAGATTAAAAATAGTTGTAATAAATTTTTTACTAACATGAATTCAGATTTACAATCTATACATCAGTTTCAAATTGTATAAAAATAAATATTTTTTTCTATTAAAAATCTTAACATAGTCATAAAAAAAAAAGTTAGTGATTACTGGAGAGTGACAGATGAGAAAATGGTTTCATTTACTTCAATGAGACAATACCAGTTGATTAGGGGAGAGGGCCATGACAACAAAAGATATTCAACAGCACACTAAATTAAATCCTAACTAAATTTTACTGTTGAAGAAAAAGGAATATAAAAATGACACAAATAAAGAATCTGACTAGCACTGTCAATTGTTCAATTAAAATGTATCAAAATTTCTGTACAGATAAAACAATTTCAAGATAAATGAAAATTCAATATTTTTATGCAAACTTAAAAAAAAAATACACTCATTCCATTAAATTAACTTTTGGCAAATTGCACTTGATTCAATATCTATTTTCACATGAACAAATGGTCATATGAATGAAATGTGAGTTATGCTGGTACAAAAATACTGAGTTCTTGAATCTTACAACAATCCTCACATTACTGACAACATTTCATTGCCAATTAATAAGGCCCCATTAAAATGATTATTTTATTTTAAATAACAAAATGTAAACCAATACATTTGCTTCTAAAAATTTAAATATTAATGATTAAAATGGTCTCTAGCTTTAAAAAGGTTACATTACATTAACAATAAGATAAGACAATGTTTTATACAAAAATTTCATCCTTTAAAGCTAGTAACAGGTGCAAAAGAAACTTCATAGGAATCTCACTGTTTTGTTTAACTGAGCATATTTAAAAACTTGTTTAAAAAAAACAACACATTTGTACAATTAGGCTGTAAATACAAAATTAAGATCTTTAAAACAAATGCTGCAGTTTTACATTCTAAGAAATATCAAGTACATAAACTCAATACAAACAAGTTTGAGGTATATTGAAGGATCCACAGATTTCAGGAATTATTTGTTTTAAACTACATTACATCAATTCAGTAATGTATTTTCACACATTACATCAAGCTCAAATATACAAAATAATATTCAACTTCATAAAACAATATTTAACTAACAAAAAAAAAAATTTTTTATAAAAAAAAAAAAGTCAGAAATTTCCACCAAAACTAACAAAAAAGTGGAATTCAAAGGAAGCAAGAAAAATAAGACTATTGTGTTGTCTGCTTAGTGTTTGTTTTGATTTTGCTGCCAGTAGAAGAAATTGCTTGTTCTGTTTTTGATGTTAGAAGAGTTAACCTGTCTTTGGCATTCTTCAGCATAGATTCTAATTCAGTCTGCAATGTTGACAACATAATATACACTTTTAACAATCTCCAAAAACATCATTCAAATCATGCTAAAAAGAAGCAATTTTATAAGACTGTATCCGATTGCAGCCTAAATTGTATGAAATTTTCAGGCCAATAACAATAATTAAAATTTACAGTAAATTTTTTTTCTGTTTTCAAATTATTTTCCAATTACTTTAAAAGCATACAGTAAATGCTAAAAAGCTGATCTTTGAAACTACAAGAACAATCATCTGTGATGACCCTAGTTTAGGTTAGAGGTCAAGTAGATGGTATAAACAGATTATAGCTTATTTAGACCAATGGGAATACAGGAGCTGACCGGTCACGTGGGACGGTCAGCTGACCACTGGAGCTTGGGGTAAAAAGCAGACAGTGATAGGTAGCGATAGAGATGGTCGGAGATAGGTTGAGGTTGAGTAAGGGAACAGACAGGTAAACATGTTAAAGTTAGAGGTAGATAGTGTCTTAGGGATGGTCATGGGAGGGTGTAGTTAGGTAGAGGTGTGTAGTTAGGTAGAGGTGTGTAGTTAGTTGTATTAGTAGACAGTATATAGTAGAGACTAGTTAGGTAGAAGTAGGAAGTTGATTTTTGTAAATAAAGAACATCATATTTTGTATTGGACTTGTGTGTGGTGATGACACAAAAATAAAACTAGACCAAGGATCGGGTCTTCATCATCTCCATCAACCCTGACCCCCACATCATCCTAGGGTGTTGACTAGTTTTTTTTTTAGCTGTGATGATTGTTTTCTCACATATTATAGGCTATTGAATTTAAGCAAGTTATTTATGTAAACAAAATTACTTACTTGATTATAACGCAAAAAAAGTCGAGTGGTTTTTAAATTCTTTTTCTTTTGAACATGTTTGAGTCCATGTTCTAGGCATAGAACCTGCTCATCCTGTTCATTCAATACCTGAGGTACAAGATAAACAAACTAGTGAGTATGTTACATTTTATCACTAGACATAGAACCTGCTCATCCTGTTCATTCAACACCCGAGGTACAAGATAAACAAACTAGTGAGTATGTTACATTTTATCACTAGACATAGAACCTGCTCATCCTGTTCATTCAACACCCGAGGTACAAGATAAACAAACTAGTGAGTATGTTACATTTTATCACAGGAAACTGGAAGGGATATTTGAATAGGGCAGAAGATACCATGGAGAGATATTTGAATAGGGCAGAAGATACCATGGAGAGGTATACATTTTATCACAGGAAACTGGAAGAGATATTTGAATAGGGCAGAAGATACCATGGAGAGGTATACATTTTATCACAGGAAACTGGAAGAGATATTTGAATAGGGCAGAAGATACCATGGAGAGGTATACATTTTATCACAGGAAACTGGAAGAGATATTTGAATAGGGCAGAAGATACCATGGAGAGGTATACATTTTATCACAGGAAACTGGAAGAGATATTTGAATAGGGCAGAAGATACCATGGAGAGATATTTGAATAGGGCAGAAGATACCATGGAGAGATATTTGAATAGGGCAGAAGATACCATGGAGAGATATTTGAATAGGGCAGAAGATACCATGGAGAGGTATACATTTTATCACAGGAAACTGGAAGAGATATTTGAATAGGGCAGAAGATACCATGGAGAGGTATACATTTTATCACAGGAAACTGGAAGGGATATTTGAATAGGGCAAAAGATACCATGGAGAGGTATTTGAATAGGGCAGAAGATACCATGGAGAGATATTTGAATAGGGCAGAAGATACCATGGAGAGATATTTGAATAGGGCAGAAGATACCATGGAGAGATATTTGAATAGGGCAGAAGATACCATGGAGAGATATTTGAATAGGGCAGAAGATACCATGGAGAGATATTTGAATAGGGCAGAAGATACCATGGAGAGATATTTGAATAGGGCAGAAGATACCATGGAGAGATATTTGAATAGGGCAGAAGATACCATGGAGAGATATTTGAATAGGGCAGAAGATACCATGGAGAGGTAGCAGATCCTGTCACAGAGCTCACAGACTTTCTCGTTCTCTAGCACAGCCAGACGTTTCTTGCTTGTACTGGGGCCTGGTGGTGTGTACTCATTAAACACTGAACGCTTTTCTGTCCGGAGGCCAGCAGCATACAGCTGTGTCCTCATGTCCAGCTCCTTGTACCTGGGGGAGACGTGTGGTCATTTACAACAGGCAGCACTGCTTGCTCAGGTCAAAAAGCTAATTTTAATATCATCTTATGTCACTCATTTCATCGTAGAGATCACCCAGTATAAAGTAAGTCTTAAGATGATCCTAAGTCTAATTTACCTAGTATAGAGTCTAGTCTTAAGATGATTTGCCACTTAATTGCTGATTACCCAGAATAGAGTTTAGTCTTAAGATGATCACTAACTTAATTGCTGAGATCACCTAGTCTTAAGATCTGAAGTCATTAATTTAATTGCTGAGATCACCTAATCACTGAAGTGATTAATTTAATTGCTGAGATCACCTAGTCTTAAGATCTGAAGTCATTAATTTAATTGCTGAGATCACCTAGTCTTAAGATCTGAAGTCATTAATTTAATTGCTGAGATCACCTAATCACTGAAGTCATTAATTTAATTGCTGAGATCACCTAATCACTGAAGTGATTAATTTAATTGCTGAGATCACCTAGTCTTAAGATCTGAAGTCATTAATTTAATAGCTGAGATCACCTAGTCTTAAGATCTGAAGTCATTAATTTAGTCTGTTGATCGTCTGACAGATCTAATGTTTAGAGCAGCCAATTGTTAAAGCCACTAAACCTGCTGGTCTGGCACTAAATGGAAGAATGTGTGGACTTACACCAGAGAGGAGAACAAGGGCAGAGCCTCGGTCAATGTTGGGGCGTCCACTTTACTGTCCTGTGTTAGGCCACACAACAAGGAACACATAGAGAACAGCTCCCTCTCACCACTCTTGGTCAGTGCCTGAGTCAATGGTCAACAATTAATTAGAGCATAGCATGTCATGAGGGGAAAATAACTGGCAGAAAAACAGATGACTGAAGTAAGAAACAAATGACTGAAGTAAGAAACAGATGACTGAAGTAAGAACAGAGCCGGCGTTAGGGGTACGCGGGGCCTATGGCCAACCATCCGCGCGGGGCCTTAAATTTTTTTCATTGGTGTATAATTAAATAAAACATGTACAGTGAGGCGTTTTTTTTTCCTTCTCAACGCTAATTAATATTTTTAACGATATATATGTATTTTTAAGCTGTTTATCAATGTCGTATTAACATTAAGACACTGATTAACAAATAATTTGTTTACTTAGAAGTGCTTTCGAAACGTTGCTTGTTTCTGTTAAGGCTTTTTGTTTGAAAAGTAAAAAATAAAACAGATATAAGTTTGAGACACGCATCAAAGTGACGATGAACGTCAGCTTCAAACCTGATTTTTTTACATTAATGTTGAAAATCTTACCAGTACGTTCACAAACGAAGATCTACTTTTCTTGCCTTTCGTGAGGAAAATTCCATGATTATATCATCATAGTCCAAACTGGAGGCTATGTCTTTTTCTATTGACAGAATCGACAGGCCGCAAAGCCTGTCTTGGGACATCGTTGATCTCAAATAGTTCTTGATCAACTTCAGTTTGGAGAAACTTCTTTCGACGCTTGCAACTGTGACTGGAACTGTTAGCAAGATTCTGTAGGCGATCGCCGTATTGGGAAAGGAATCCCGAATACTCCAAATGTACTGAAGGCATTGTTTGGCTGACTTAATACCTTCGGGCAAAATTTCTCGAAACATTGTGAGCTCTGTACACAAATCTGCCCCGTTTAAGTCACGTGAGCTCACCGATCGCAACGCTATATCAAGATTTATGCAACTTTTTAATAAATCCTCATTATTTAATTTTCTCATTGTGTTTATGTTGTAGAGAAACCCAAAAAGTGAATCGTATTGTCGTAGTTGTTCAAATCGAGTGTTCATGCCAATAATTGCTTGATCCATTATACATAAGAAATACTCTGTTCTAAACTCATCTTCACCCGATAACGTGCTTTCATCTGGTACTCTCAACAGTGGCATTCAAAGTGTGTGGATGCCGGGAAAAATAGCAAAACATTGATAGATTTCGGAATAAGCTCGAATCGTGAAAAACACTGTTTACAGCTATAGATATCCAAATGAAATGATTCTCAAATGTAATCACGGACGCTCAGTAAGGTGGAACACTGGGGGGGGGGGGTGACAGTTGGTGGGGTGAGGTGAAGCCCGTGAAGGATAACTGTACATTTAAATCTATGGGATGCCAAACCCTAAAAAAAAATCAGTTCGGGTACTACGTTACTGGATCTCTGACCGCAGCCATTCAAGAGAAGGTGCGTGTTTATAGAGCGTCCGCGTATTACATTACAGATTAAGACCGCGTTCTCACAAGAGAAGGTCCGTGTCTATAGAAAGTGAACCATGTGCTTCATGTTATTTATGAGTTTCGCGATGGCATGCTCGGACTGCCGGTAATTTAGACGTTTGAGAAATCAGGAGAACTTTACCATAAAACAGTCTCGGCCCGATATATCAAACAGTATAGACTTTATAATTTGTTTAGTGTGCCTACACTATTTTAAAACAAGAATCACTATGGCCTTAACTATTATACTGAATATCCCTAAACAGAGGCGTAGCGAGGGGGGGGGGGGTGGGGCGGGAGTGCGGATCGCACCGGGTGACACCATTTAGGGGGTCGACACCAAGGCAAAAAATAGCAAAATATATAGAGAAAAACTTGAGGGGGGGGGGGGTGCAAATCGAAAGTTTGAGGTGGGGGGGGGGGGGGGTGCAAATTGAAAACTTGAGGGGGGGGGGGTGCAAATCGAAAGTTTGAAAGTTTTTTCCTGGGAAGGGTCGCTACGCCTCTGGGGGGGGGGGGGGTGACACCATTAAGTGCCGCACCGGGTGACACCCGACCTCGCTACGCCACTGTCCCTACAATTAATTAAAATAAACATGTGCTTAATCACTTTACGAATACCGTTAAAGTTTACCAAAATGAAAATGGACATAATTACTGTATAAATGCCCTTCAAAAATATAAAAATAAATACAAGTATAATGTATTTAAAGATGACCTGACAATATATAAAATAAATATGAACATAATTACTGTATGGATGCCTATAATTACATAAAAGATGCCCATACCGTGTATAAATTGTGATTTTAGGGATAAATACTCTGGATTTCTGGGGCATGTCCCCATCCGCTCCCCTCCCCCTCCTCCTCTGCAAGCCATCATCAGGTCACTGACTGTTTACTACAGGCACCCCCGCCTGCTCACTAAAAAAACGTCTTCAACGGTCCGCAAACAATAGGGTATCTTTTTACGTTTTTCCCGATTTTACCTCCCATGTCAGGTCGGGGGCTAATTCGCGACCGCCATCTCCAGTCACCTCAGGACAATAGCGAGTCGACCGTGTCAGCGATGTGTGACACTAATGTCTTTCTTTAGAATAACGGTCTGTCCCAGTCCATGTAGAGGATAACTCACTAACATCAGCCGTGGCCTCAGTTTTAACATCCAACAATTTCGGCCATTTCATTGGGTTGTTTTTTTAATTTAATTCAGCAAAGATTATTTAAGTTTACAAACTAATTCAGGCAACAATGGCGCTGCTGAAGCGCGGGGCCCCTTCAAGCGCGGGGCCTGCGGCGACCGCCCCGTTTGCCACCCCCTAACGCCGGCTCTGAGTAAGAAACAGATAATTGAAGTAAGAAACAAATGACTGAAGTAAGAAACAAATGACTGAAGGAAGAAACAAATGACTGTAGTAAGAAACAGATGACTGATGTGAGAAACAGATAATTGAAGTAAGAAACAAATGACTGAGGTAAGAAACAAATGACTGAAGTAAGAAACAGATGACTGAAGTAAGAAACAGATAATTGAAGTAAGAAACAAATGACTGAAGTAAGAAACAGATGACTGAAGTGAGAAACAGATAATTGAAGTAAGAAACAAATGACTGAAGTAAGAAACAAATGACTGAAGTAAGAAACAAATGACTGAAGTAAGAAACAGATGACTGAAGTAAGAAACAGATGACTGAAGTAAGAAACAGATGACTGAAGTAAGAAACAAATGACTGAAGTAAGAATCAAATGACTGAAGTAAGAAACAAATGACTGAAGTAAGAAACAAATGACTGAAGTAAGAATCAAATGACTGAAGTAAGAAACAAATGACTGAAGTAAGAATCAAATGACTGAAGTAAGAAACAAATGACTGAAGTAAGAAACAGATGACTGAAGTAAGAAACAAATGACTGAAGTAAGAATCAAATGACTGAAGTGAGAAACAAATGACTGAAGTAAGAAACAAATGACTGAAGTAAGAAACAAATGACTGAAGTAAGAAACAAATGTCTGAAGCTACTGAAAACCAAAAATCTATCACTGACCAGAGAAGCTTCCATGCCGGTAGGGAGCCACTTGGTGGAGGCAACAAAGTGCACACTTTCAGACACATTGTAGCCACAAGAGATGGTGGCTGTGTAGGCCCCAGGGAACACAACAACAAACTGACGGGGGCTGTGTAAACATCGGCCCACTTTTACACCTTGTTCTTTCAGCAAGGCAGGGTTCACCTAAATAAAGGAAATAATCAATGAGACAAGTCAATAATGAAGATACATGGACAGGATTGACAGCAATGATTGTGTGTACAGAGCCTACCATTACACAATCCTCTTTGAGCCACCTCGGCTTATTGTTGAGCAGGGAAGGTGTGAGCTCTAGCATGGCTGTACGGAACTTGGAACGTTGAGACTTTGGAATGCAGTACCTGAAGAAAAGCATGTCAACAATTTGTTCAATACAACATTTGTTCTAGACTTGATTGACCTTAGCTTAGTCAGTTGTTTTATTTCAACAGAATGTCACATAATTATTGGAACTTTACAACAGAATGTCACATAATTATTGGAACTTTACAACAGAATGTCACATAATTATTGGAACTTTACAACAGAATGTCACATAATTATTGGAACTTTACAACAGAATGTCACATAATTATTGAAACTTTACAACAGAAAGTCACACCATTATTGAAACTTTACAACAGAAATAGTCTAAGGGGAAAAACTGAATGTCTGAATATTGGAAGGCTGTGTGGGTCAGACCTAGAGTGGACATATTGGATGTATGTGTGGGTCTATGATGTGATCCTTACAACTTACCAGATGATGTCAGCGCCGGAGTGAAGATATTGGATGTATGGCAGGCTGTGTGGGTCAGTGGACCAGCAGGACGTAGAAAACAGCATGCCCATGTGCAGCGTGGGGATGGTGATGCCTGCCACAGGGCCCAGGTACTTGAGCAAACAGCTCTCATTCTCTGGGATGTTGTTCAGGTTCCATGGGTGCCTAGACAGCAAAATAATTTTGTTTAACCTGTACCCATCTACCTGGAGTAAGCGCCACCTGTACCCATCTACCTGGAGTAAGCACCACCTGTACCCATCTACATGGAGTAAGCACCACCTGTACCCATCTACCTGGAGTAAGCACCACCTGTAACCATCTACCTGGAGTAAGCACCACCTGTACCCATCTACATGGAGTAAGCACCACCTGTACCCATCTACCTGGAGTAAGCACCACCTGTAACCATCTACCTGGAGTAAGTGCCACCTGTACCCATCTACCTGGAGTAAGTGCCACCTGTACCCATCTACCTGGAGTAAACACCACCTGTACCCATCTACCTGGAGTAAGCACCACCTGTAACCATCTACCTGGAGTAAGTGCCACCTGTACCCATCTACCTGGAGTAAGTGCCACCTGTACCCATCTACCTGGAGTAAGCACCACCTGTACCCATCTACCTGGAGTAAACACCACCTGTACCCATCTACCTGGAGTAAACACCACCTGTACCCATCTACCTGGAGTAAACACCATCTGTACCCATCTACCTGGAGTAAACACCACCTGTACCCATCTACCTAGAGTAAGTCCCACCTGTACCCATCTACCTGGAGTAAACACCACCTGTACCCATCTACCTGGAGTAAGCACCACCTGTACCCATCTACCTGGAGTAAACACCACCTGTACCCATCTACCTGGAGTAAGTGCCACCTGTACCCATCTACCTGGAGTAAGCACCACCTGTACCCATCTACCTGGAGTAAGCACCACCTGTACCCATCTACCTGGAGTAAGCACCACCTGTACCCATCTACCTGGAGTAAGTGCCACCTGTACCCATCTACCTGGAGTAAGCACCACCTGTACCCATCTACCTGGAGTAAACACCACCTGTACCCATCTACCTGGAGTAAGTGCCACCTGTACCCATCTACCTGGAGTAAACACCACCTGTACCCATCTACCTGGAGTAAGTGCCACCTGTACCCATCTACCTGGAGTAAGTGCCACCTGTACCCATCTACCTGGAGTAAGCACCACCTGTACCCATCTACCTGGAGTAAACACCACCTGTACCCATCTACCTGGAGTAAGTCCCACCTGTACCCATCTACCTGGAGTAAGCGCCACCTGTACCCATCTACCTGGAGTAAGCGCCACCTGTACCCATCTACCTGGAGTAAGCACCACCTGTACCCATCTACCTGGAGTAAGCACCACCTGTAACCATCTACCTGGAGTAAGTGCCACCTGTACCCATCTACCTGGAGTAAGCACCACCTGTACCCATCTACCTGGAGTAAGCACCACCTGTACCCATCTACCTGGAGTAAACACCACCTGTACCCATCTACCTGGAGTAAGTGCCACCTGTACCCATCTACCTGGAGTAAGTGCCACCTGTACCCATCTACCTGGAGTAAGCACCACCTGTACCCATCTACCTGGAGTAAACACCACCTGTACCCATCTACCTGGAGTAAACACCACCTGTACCCATCTACCTGGAGTAAACACCACCTGTACCCATCTACCTGGAGTAAGTGCCACCTGTACCCATCTACCTGGAGTAAACACCACCTGTACCCATCTACCTGGAGTAAACACCACCTGTACCCATCTACCTGGAGTAAGCACCACCTGTACCCATCTACCTGGAGTAAACACCACCTGTACCCATCTACCTGGAGTAAACACCACCTGTACCCATCTACCTGGAGTAAGTCCCACCTGTACCCATCTACCTGGAGTAAACACCACCTGTACCCATCTACCTGGAGTAAACACCACCTGTACCCATCTACCTGGAGTAAACACCACCTGTACCCATCTACCTGGAGTAAACACCACCTGTACCCATCTACCTGGATAAGTGCCACCTGTACCCATCTACCTGGAGTAAACACCACCTGTACCCATCTACCTGGAGTAAGTGCCACCTGTACCCATCTACCTGGAGTAAACACCACCTGTACCCATCTACCTGGAGTAAGTGCCACCTGTACCCATCTACCTGGAGTAAACACCACCTGTACCCATCTACCTGGAGTAAACACCACCTGTACCCATCTACCTGGAGTATTGTAAGCACCACCTGTACCCATCTACCTGGAGTAAACACCACCTGTACCCATCTACCTGGAGTAAGTGCCACCTGTACCCATCTACCTGGAGTAAGCACCACCTGTAACCATCTACCTGGAGTAAACACCACCTGTACCCATCTACCTGGAGTAAGTGCCACCTGTACCCATCTACCTGGAGTAAGCACCACCTGTAACCATCTACCTGGAGTAAGCACCACCTGTACCCATCTACCTGGAGTAAGCGCTGTCTTTTCTTGTAGGGAATGCACTGGCCTGTGCTCGTGTGTTGATATGTCCACACTGTACAGCCACATGCTTGGTCCGCTCATCAATAATCTGCCAATACTGAGACTAGAGGGGACAAGATTTACATCAATAATCTGCCAATTTTAGAGGGGACAAGATTTACATCAATAATCTGCCAATTTTAGAGGGGACAAGATCAGAGGCGTAGCTAGGGGAGGGCGGGGAGGGCGGCCGCCCCGGGCGCCGACCCTAAGGGGGCGCCAAAAGGGGTAGAAAAAAATTAAAAGCTCATTTTAAGCTGCAGTTTTGAATTATAAACAGTCAAAGTAAAGAAATTTAACGGCTGAGAGTTTTTGCTTATTGATTTAACTGTTCTCTACCTTGATTGTGTAACTATAAAACGTATATCTTTAAGAAACAGTGACTGGAAAAACCGTTCTCCAGCTTTACTAGGTGGAGGGGGGGGGGGCGCTTTTTCGAAGACTAAAATCGAAAAAATTCACACTGGATTAAGGAATAAATAAGCGATATCACTCAGAAAAGAAACCCATTGAACTAAAGCGTATTTTATGATTGTGTAACATAAAAAGAGTTTGTGGCGTTTAAAATCCGCTCTACCATTTTTGTCCAAGATGATGGGGCGCTTTTTCACTAACAAAAACCGCAGGATTTGTACTGGATCGGTTGCTAGATAACTCTTTTAACACTTAGAAAAGAATGTACGATTTCACTACCCAGTTTTGCGAAGTAATAATGCGACTAGTTCTTTGTAAGATTCTTACGATTCTCTCAATTTCAACGTGAGAGATTAGATACTTTTACTTGATTGCATTACATCTTGCCTGGATCACTGCATTAAGAGAAATAAATATAACAGATTCTTGTATCGCTATCCGATCAGTAAAATAGCAGACTGTCGGAGCGAGTGGGTGGGAAGCGACACTCTTTTCCAAAATTTTAAGAGAGAAGAAAATTAGTATATTGTACTGATTATTACTTTGTTCAACCTAACTGATAATTCAAAATTGCAATATTGGCCTACTATTATCGAAATTGTTCTAAAGACATGACCAAAAGTAGACCAAATAAGGCTTGCACCTTCTACAAAATACACCCTAAAGCAGTGGTTCTTAAATTTTTGGAATACCGAACTCCACCAGTTTCATATGCGCAATCACCGAACCCTCCTTAATAGTTGTATCGTCCACAATGACAAAATCCGATCGTGAATCCTATGAGTCGGGTGTGTGTCTTGACCTCCGCGGAAGCCCTGAAACTGAATTACCGAACCTCTCGGGTTCGATGGAGCCCACTGTTCTAAGCTCTTTTGATTTTCTACTTTTTATTCGTTTCAGCATCTTAAGGGGAAATTAATTGGCGTCCAGTGAAGTTTTAGGGAACGACAATCAGCGTAATTGTTAATTTTTTTTCCAGACTGTCGCACACACAAACACACTCACGCATATATATATATATATATATATATATATATATATATATATATATATATATATATATATATATATATATATATATATATATAATATATATATATATATATATATATATATATATATATATATATATATATATATATATATATAAATATATATATATATATATATATATATATATATATATAGGGGGCGCCAAAATGAAAGATCGCCCCGGGCGCCGGGAGGGGTCGCTCCAGTGAAGTTTTAGGGAACGACAATCAGCGTAATTGTTAATTTTTTTTCCAGACTGTCGCACACACAAACACACTCACGCATATATATATATATATATATATATATATATATATATATATATATATATATATATAAATATATATATATATATATATATATATATATATATATAGGGGGCGCCAAAATGAAAGATCGCCCCGGGCGCCGGGAGGGGTCGCTACGCCTCTGGACAAGATTTACATCAATAATCTGCCAATACTGAGACTAGAGGGGACAAGATTTACATCAATAATCTGCCAATACTGAGACTAGAGGGGACAAGATTTACATCAATAATCTGCCAATACTGAGACTAGAGGGGACAAGATTTACATCAATAATCTGCCAATAGACTAGAGGGGACAAGATTTACATCAATAATCTGCCAATACTGAGACTAGAGGGGACAAGATTTACATCAATAATCTGCCAATACTGAGACTAGAGGGGACAAGATTTACATCAATAATCTGCCAATTTTAGAGGGGACAAGATTTACATCAATAATCTGCCAATTTTAGAGGGGACAAGATTTACATCAATAATCTGCCAATACTGAGACTAAGGGGACAAGATGGGTAAAGATTTTCATCAATTTCATAATGTGAGTATATTTACTAGATAAAACTATCAGTACTGAAATGACATTTGTAGTTCTATTATGATCAGCCCAGTGAAATAAACAATGTCAAATAACAAGTGACTAACATTTGTAGTTCTACTATGATCAGCCCAGTGAAATAAACAATGTCAAATAACAAGTGACTAACATTTGTAGTTATACTATGATCAGCCCAATAAACAATGCAAATAACAAGTGACTTACATTTGTAGTTATACTATGATCAGCCCAGTGAAATGTCAAATAACAAGTGACTTACTTCAACTTGGGCTGGACTTGGCTCATCTTTAAACCACATTGACTGGACATTCCTGGCTATTCTGTTAAACCAGCTGACCGGCATGGACTTGCCCTAAGATAGTTGATTTCAAAACTTTAAATCGGCAAACCTCGTTTAACTTACTAGCAAATCATATTAGCTGTATATTCCTTATGAAAGACTTTCAAAAAAAAAGAGAATCACCTTGGTAATTGCATCATCCTCAACAGTTTGCAATTCATAAATAGCCTTGACCTCTTCTTCTAGTTGCTCCTTTTCTTGCTCTGACAAGGTTGCATAGGGAAAGACATGATGGCAGTAAATATCATAAAGTCTCACTGTCCTATCCATGGCCTGCTCAAAGATAAAGTGCATGAGATAAATATTAAACAAGACTGTGTTCACCAGGGATCTTAGTATAGTAGTTTAGTACATTTGTTTTAGTTTTAACACGACTGCGTACACCAGGGATCCTAGTATAATTTAATTCATTTGTTTTAGTTTTAACAGGACTGCGTTCACCTGGGATCTTAGTATAATTTAATACATTTGTTTTAGTTTTACCTATAAACAACACAGCCAGGTAACAGCGTAGAAAAAAAAAACAAAGGTCACAGTGATCCAAATGTGCGCTTGATGTCGGATAGACAAAAGTTAGTAATGGCCAAAGACGCATTCATAAACGTTAGTTTTTAGACTCACAAATATGATAGTCTGCTAAAAATGACTGTTTATTGGATAAAGACTACTACTGTATTTGAAATTTAATATTTTGTATCCATTTTTATTATTTTCAAGTATCAGCTAAACGAAAGTAGCTGTGCAACAAATGATGTCACGTTAATGTTTGCACAGCAGTACCATCTAAACATGCACAAATTGCAGAAAGGGCCATAAGCGGAGTTTGATACTAAAAACTACTTCTTAAATGCCTAAAGTTTAAACAGCCTTGGTGTTTTTTTTAATGGCAAATCCAGATATTTAAAAACTCAACTTTTGCTAAATTGGACAGTAAAAAAATAGAACACTTTAATGGACACCAGCGAGAAAAGTCTCAAAGGTATTTGAGAGGTGTATAAATTCATTTAAAAATCATGCACAGCGTAGTTACAATTAATATGGTTATAAAATCCTGTCAATCTGGTTTTTTTCGGACTTTACTAAAGATTGGATGTATTTGATGTTTATAATATTTTCGGTAACTAAATAAAAATTTAAAAAAAAAAGCAAAAACAATTTGGTTTTCACGTGTAATGGCGACATAAACAATGGCATCCTGCTATTGGATAGGCCGCCATTGATTTTATTGTACACACTGTAAGCTAAAAATAGAAAACTAGGTCATGGGGTTTTAAATTTGCATTGTTATTTAAAAACTTGATCTGCAAAGTTTTGTAAACAAATAGTTATCGATCACTAAGTTACTGTACAGCCAATCAATATTTGTCTTACGAAAGTGAAACATCCGGTTATAACTTAGGCTTGTGAAAATAAATAGAAATGTAGCCTTAAACTCAAAAAATTATTTTCAAGTTCTCTGGATTTGCAACTTTTATAGCATTTATTCTAAAAATATAAAATTTCTAAATTAATTTTAGGCTTAAGTTTTTATTTTTTATTTTTTTTTACGGTCTAAATCTAAAAAGCACGTTTTTATTCCATGTCAACAACATTGGGGACGGAATCTCGTCAACTCGCTCGCCTCCATTGGGAATTCTGGTAAAATGTCACACCCAGATATGACTAATGAAATCTGCAGCACTAAATGGAGATGCTAATCCTTTTCAATTTACATCATTCTAAGACGGTTGAAGATTAAACTAATCTAAAACTGTTGGATATGTAACTCCTGTACCTGTTTAGGAATATTCATAATGTCTGCTACTCTGGCCCAATGTTTTTTGTCAGACATTTTCTTTGGCCCACCTGACTCCTCAACAAGGTGATACAACTGAGGTAGATCTATCTGTACACCTCCAATCTGAAACAAGAATAGACTGGTGTTATGCACAGAAGACTAGCAAAGTTAGTGACTTATGTGGGGTATGATACAGATGGTGGGGTGATGTACCAAGGTGGGGTAGAGATGGTGGGTGATGTACATAGGTGGGATAAAGATGGTGGGGTGATGTACCTAAGGTGGGGTAGAGATGGTGGGGTGATGTACCTAAGCTGGGGTAGAGATGGTGGGGTGATGTACCTAAGGTGGGGTAGAGATGGAGGGTGATGTACCTAGGTGGGATAGAGATGGTGGGGTGATGTACCTAAGGTGGGGTAGAGATGGTGGGTGATGTACCTAGGTGGGATAGAGATGGTGGGGTGATGTACCTAAGGTGGGGTAGAGATGGTGGGGTGATCTACCTGGGGTGGAGTAGAGATGGTGGGGTGATGTACCTAAGGTGGGGTAGAGATGGTGGGGTGATGTACCTAGGTGGTGTAGAGATGGTGGGGTGATGTACCTAGGTGGGGTAGAGATGGTGGGGTGATGTACCTAGGTGAGGTAGAGATGTTGGAGTGACATAACTGGGGTGTGGTAGAGATGTTGGAGTGACATACCTGGGGTGTGGTAGAGATGTTGGAGTGACATACCTGGGGTGTGGTAGAGATGTTGGAGTGACATACCTGGGGTGTGGTAGAGATGTTGGAGTGACATACCTGGGGTGTGGTTGTGATGTTGGAGTGACATACCTAAGGTGGGTAGAGATGTTGGAGTGACATACCTGGGGTGTGGTAGAGATGTTGGAGTGACATACCTGGGGTGTGGTAGAGATGTTGGAGTGACATACCTGGGGTGTGGTTGTGATGTTGGAGTGACATACCTAAGGTGGGTAGAGATGTTGGAGTGACATACCTGGGGTGTGGTAGAGATGTTGGAGTGACATACCTGGGGTGTGGTAGAGATGTTGGAGTGACATACCTGGGGTGTGGTAGAGATGTTGGAGTGACATACCTGGGGTGTGGTTGTGATGTTGGAGTGACATACATGGGGTGTGGTAGAGATGTTGGAGTGACATACCTGGGGTGTGGTTGTGATGTTGGAGTGACATACCTGGGGTGTGGTTGTGATGTTGGGGTGACATACCTGGGGTGTGGTAGAGATGTTGTGGAGTGACATACCTGGGGTGTGGTTGTGATGTTGGAGTGACATACCTGGGGTGTGGTTGTGATGTTGGGGTGACATACCTGGGGTGTGGTAGAGATGTTGGAGTGACATACCTGGGGTGTGGTTGTGATGTTGGGGTGACATACCTGGGGTGTGGTAGAGATGTTGGGGTGACATACCTGGGGTGTGGTAGAGATGTTGTGGAGTGACATACCTGGGGTGTGGTTGTGATGTTGGAGTGACATACCTGGGGTGTGGTTGTGATGTTGGGGTGACATACCTGGGGTGTGGTAGAGATGTTGGAGTGACATACCTGGGGTGTGGTAGATATGTTGGGGTGACATACCTGGGGTGTGGTAGAGATGTTGGGGTGACATACCTGGGGTGTGGTAGAGATGTTGGAGTGACATACCTGGGGTGTGGTTGTGATGTTGGAGTGACATACCTGGGGTGTGGTTGTGATGTTGGGGTGACATACCTGGGGTGTGGTAGAGATGTTGTGGAGTGACATACCTGGGGTGTGGTTGTGATGTTGGAGTGACATACCTGGGGTGTGGTAGAGATGTTGGAGTGACATACCTGGGGTGTGGTAGAGATGTTGGAGTGACATACCTGGGGTGTGGTAGAGATGGTGGGGTGATGTACCTGGGGTGTGGTTGTGATGTTGGAGTGACGTACCTGGGGTGTGGTAGAGATGTTGGAGTGACATACCTGGGGTGTGGTTGTGATGTTGGAGTGACATACCTAGGGTGTGGTAGAGATGTTGGAGTGACATACCTGGGGTGTGGTTGTGATGTTGGAGTGACATACCTGGGGTATGGTAGAGATGTTGGGGTGACATACCTGGGGTGTGGTAGAGATGTTGTGGAGTGACATACCTGGGGTGTGGTTGTGATGTTGGAGTGACATACCTGGGGTGTGGTTGTGATGTTGGGGTGACATACCTGGGGTGTGGTAGAGATGTTGGAGTGACATACCTGGGGTGTGGTAGATATGTTGGGGTGACATACCTGGGGTGTGGTAGAGATGTTGGAGTGACATACCTGGGGTGTGGTAGAGATGTTGGAGTGACATACCTGGGGTGTGGTAGAGATGTTGGGGTGACATACCTGGGGTGTGGTAGAGATGTTGGGGTGACATACCTGGGGTGTGGTAGAGATGTTGGAGTGACATACCTGGGGTGTGGTAGAGATGTTGGAGTGACATACCTGGGGTGTGGTAGAGATGTTGGAGTGACATACCTGGGGTGTGGTAGAGATGTTGGAGTGACATACCTGGGGTGTGGTAGAGATGTTGGGGTGACATACCTGGGGTGTGGTAGAGATGTTGGAGTGACATACCTGGGGTGTGGTAGAGATGTTGGAGTGACATACCTGGGGTGTGGTAGAGATGTTGGAGTGACATACCTGGGGTGTGGTAGAGATGTTGGAGTGACATACCTGGGGTGTGGTAGAGATGTTGGAGTGACATACCTGGGGTGTGGTAGAGATGTTGGAGTGACATACCTGGGGTGTGGTAGAGATGTTGGAGTGACATACCTGGGGTGTGGTAGAGATGTTGGAGTGACATACCTGGGGTGTGGTAGAGATGTTGGAGTGACATACCTGGGGTGTGGTAGAGATGGTGGGGTGATGTACCTGGGGTGTGGTTGTGATGTTGGAGTGACGTACCTGGGGTGTGGTAGAGATGTTGGAGTGACATACCTGGGGTGTGGTAGAGATGATGGAGTGACATACCTGGGGTGTGGTAGAGATGTTGGAGTGACATACCTGGGGTGTGGTAGAGATGTTGGAGTGACATACCTGTGGTGTGGTAGAGATGTTGGAGTGACATACCTGGGGTGTGGTAGAGATGTTGGAGTGACATACCTGGGGTGTGGTAGAGATGTTGGGGTGACATTCCTGGGGTGTGGTAGAGATGTTGGAGTGACATACCTGGGGTGTGGTAGAGATGTTGGGGTGACATACCTGGGGTGTGGTAGAGATGTTGGTGTGACATACCTGGGGTGTGGTAGAGATGTTGGTGTGACATAACTGGGGTGTGGTAGAGATGTTGGAGTGACATACCTGGGGTGTGGTAGAGATGTTGGTGTGACATAACTGGGGTGTGGTAGAGATGTTGGAGTGACATACCTGGGGTGTGGTAGAGATGTTGGAGTGACATACTTGGGGTGTGGTAGAGATGTTGGAGTGACATACCTGGGGTGTGGTAGAGATGTTGGGGTGATGTACCTGGGGTGTGGTAGAGATGTTGTGGAGTGACATACCTGGGGTGTGGTAGAGATGTTGGAGTGACATACCTGGGGTGTGGTAGAGATGTTGGGGTGATGTACCTGGGGTGTGGTAGAGATGTTGTGGAGTGACATACCTGGGGTGTGGTAGAGATGTTGGAGTGACATACTTGGGGTGTGGTAGAGATGTTGGAGTGACATACCTGGGGTGTGGTAGAGATGTTGGAGTGACATACCTGGGGTGTGGTAGAGATGTTGGGGTGACATACCTGGGGTGTGGTAGAGATGTTGGAGTGACATACCTGGGGTGTGGTAGAGATGTTGTGGAGTGACATACCTGGGGTGTGGTAGAGATGGTGGGGTGATGTACCTAGGTGGGGTAGAGATGTTGGAGTGACATACCTGGGGTGTGGTAGAGATGTTGGAGTGACATACCTGGGGTGTGGTTGTGATGTTGGGGTGACATACCTGGGGTGTGGTAGAGATGTTGGAGTGACATACCTGGGATGTGGTAGAGATGTTGGGGTGACATACCTGGGGTGTGGTAGAGATGTTGGAGTTTTCAGACAACAGGTGCTGGTTGATTGCTGCTGCGTGTTGAACATTAGGTCCCCACCTGTAAGTAACAAGTTGACAATGGCAGGTTGGCTTTTAAATGTGACAAGTTGAGTTTTAAATGTGACAGGTTGAGTTTAAAATGTGACAAGTTGGCTTTTAATGTGAAAAGTTGGCTTTTAAATGAGACGTGTTTTAAAAAACAAGATTTTGATAGTCTGAGGCAAAGAAATGTGAAGCAACCTTTTATACAATCTGTGGATCTGCTGGACTTGGGGGGTGAAGCGCACATCATCACTGATTTTGTTGCTGTCCAACTGAAAAGTCAGTTCTACAATTCAACTAGGTTCTATGGTACAGTTTTAGACATTTTTAAAGAAGCTAACAGAAAGCTGAGGTGACATACAGAAATGGTTCTACAATTCAACTAGGTTCTATGGTACAGTTTTAGACATTTTTAAAGAAGCTAACAGAGAGATGAGGTGACATACAGAAATGGTTCTACAATTCAACTAGGTTCTATGGTACAGTTTTAGACATTTTTAAAGAAGCTAACAGAGAGCTGAGGTGACATACAGAAATGGTTCTACAATTCAACTAGGTTCTACGGTACAGTTTTAGACATTTTTAAAGAAGCTAACAGAGAGCTGAGGTGACATACAGAAATGGTTCTACAATTCAACTAGGTTCTATGGTACAGTTTTAGACATTTTTAAAGAAGCTAACAGAGAGCTGAGGTGACATACAGAAATGGTTCTACAATCAAGTGAACTACCTTCCAGCTGGCAGGGGGAATAATTCTACACATGCCGTAGGGTTCAGCCAAATGTTGTATTTTAGTGATGTAAGTCAGGGGGTCTGTGAACTCTGACTCTGTGGGCTGGAAAGTTGGGATGCTGTTCTCCTCATGTGCTGGGAGGGGAGGGGATGAGCTGGAGGAGGACAGCTTGGCTGGGGATTGAGATTTGACATGAGAGAAATGTTTAACTCATTGATATAATGGCTACAAGTTAAAACAGGATGCTGTTTCAAAACTTACCTTTTTTTGGTGGGGTTTTCTTTGGTGTAGTGGGGTTAGAATCTCTTTGCTGTGTGAGCGAGTCTGTGCTTTTCCTCCTCTTAGTTTTCTTGGGCTCCTGGCTGGTGTGGCCATCATTGCTGAACCTCCTGACCCCATCACTACTGGACCTCCTGACCCCCTCTGGGCTGTCCCTCCTACTGGCTGACCTAGCCACCTCATCCTCCCTCTTGGATGATCGCTGAGGGGCTGGTGGTGCCTTACCTTTGACTGCAGCCTGCTCACGTTTGGCCCTCCTTAAGGCCAGCTTAGAGGCCAGCAGCAGGCTATAGCCCCTGGTCCTCACCCTCTCTAGAGGACGGATCTTGTACGGCTTTCTTGCCTTCAATCCTCCAGCTTTCCTCCCCGCCTCCACCCAGTCTTTGTCTGATTCACTCCCTTGTTTATCCTCTCTTTCTTCCACACTGTCTTCATCTGAGTCAGACTTGTGCACTCTACCATTGAAAGACCTGGTGATTTTCCTCAGCCGCAGACTTATTCTACGTTTGGCCTTGGTTTCTTTATCTACCCGCTTGACCAATTTATTCCTAGCTTGCCGTGCTGCACTTAAACGTCCACCCTTTCTCTCAACTTTTGATTCCTTTAACCTGATGCCATTTCTTCTGGCTCCATCTTTCCATTTTTTGTTGTGGTTGACTTTGTTTGGATCTTGCTTCTCCACACTGCTGAGTTTATCTAGCAGGTTTTTCCTGGCACTCCGAGCATTGCTGGCATCTAGCACAGACCTCCCCGCTCTTTTAGTGCCTGTCAGCCTGCCTGCTGATCCACGCACCTGGCCAGGACTGGGTGCTACAGGTGTGAAGGCCCCACCTGCGGCTCTCTGAAAAACATTAGGACAAGTTCAGTCAGTTTCATCCAAAACCACGCTGAAGAGCTAGATCTATTAGACAGTGAAACAATAATGATCTCAATTCATACATTTGATTGACAATCAATGCTTTGGTTTTAAACTATTTTTTATAGCAGCATCATACAATGCTAAACTTACAAACAATATGATTGTAAACAAAACACTGAATTGGTTGGGTGGATATGATGGTACGTAGGTATGATGGTACATCAAACACTGAATTGATTGGGTGGATATGATGGTAAGTAGGTATGATGGTACATCAAACACTGAATTGGTTGGGTGGATATGATGGTACGTAGGTATGATGGTACACTAAACACTGAATTGGTTGGGTGGGTATGATGGTACGTAGGTATGATGGTACACTAAACACTGAACTGGTTGGGTGGATATGATGGTACGTAGGTATGATGGTACACTAAACACTGAATTGGTTGGGTGGGTATGATGTTACGTAGGTATGATGGTACACTAAATACTGAATTGGTTGGGTGGATATGATGGTACGTAGGTATGATGGTACACTAAACACTGAATTGGTTGGGTGGGTATGATGGTATTTGAGTATGATGGTACACCAAACACTGAATTGGTTGGGTGGGTATGATGGTATTTGAGTATGATGGTACACCAAACACTGAATTGGTTGGGTGGGTATGATGGTATTTGAGTATGATGGTACACCAAACACTGAATTGGTTGGGTGGGTATGATGGTATTTGAGTATGATGGTACACCAAACACTGTATGGGTTGGGTGGGTATGAAAGAACGAGGGTAAGATGGTACGTGGGTATGATGGTACACCAAACATTGAATTTCCATTTACATAGGGGAGGTGAGGCACATTTCCATCACAGTAGGGGAGGTAAGCTATAACATTTCTATCACAGTAGGGGAGGTAAGCTATAACATTCCCATCACAGTAGGGGAGGTAAGCTACAACATTTCCATCACAGTAGGGGAGGTAAGCTACAACATTTCCATCACAGTAGGGGAGGTAAGCTACAACATTTCCATCACAGTAGGGGAGGTAAGCTATAACATTTCTATCACAGTAGGGGAGGTAAGCTACAACATTTCCATCACAGTAGGGGAGGTAAGCTATAACATTTCTATCACAGTAGGGGAGGTAAGCTACAACATTTCCATCACAGTAGGGGAGGTAAGCTATAACATTTCTATCACAGTAGGGGAGGTAAGCTATAACATTTCCACCACAGTAGGGGAGGTAAGCTACAACATTTCCATCACAGTAGGGGAGGTAAGCTACAACATTTCCATCACAGTAGGGGAGGTAAGCTACAACATTTCCATCACAGTAGGGAAAGTAAGCCACTACATCACAGACAGTTGATATGAAGGCCAAAGTTAAAAATCATTTTATTTTTTTTTATGATTAAAAAAAAAAGGATATTTTGTTGGTATTTGAGGGTTTGATTTTGTTAGTATTTGAGGGTTTGATTTTGTTAGTATTTGAGGGTATGATTTTGTTAGTATTTGAGGGTTTGATTTTGTTAGTATTTGAGGGTATGATTTTGTTAGTATTTGAGTAATACAAACAAAGCAGGAAGCAAGAGACTGGCATATTTACAAGAGCTTTGTTAACCCATTAGTTGCTGGCACTCTAGAAATATAATCCTTTCTCTATTGTCCTATTAAAATATTTGACAATTTTGAGTTTGAACCCCCTGTTTCAACCTACAACAACAGGAACGATAAAACTATCTTCAACATCAATCTCTAATACATGGTTTGGTAACGTAATGGTTTTAAAACTAAAAACTATTACGTGGCAACTTGAGCAGGCACACAGCTAGGCTAGTGTTTACAAACAATAGCTTGACACATTCAGGTGAAAAGTGCATGTAGAGAGGGAGGTCAACAGAAACAACCTGAAGAGCAAATCATCAGTTTTCACTCATGCATAAATGGCTTTCTTTTCAACAGCTCAGAAATGCCAACACAAATGAAGACATGAACCATTCTGTATGCCACCACCATTATAGTTATCAAAACCTGGTCTGTGATTGCTGTATGAAGAGCGCATATGTTGTACGAGACAACAGCCATACAACAGCTGACATAAAATACTACCTTGACTTGATGCACCTGATGTAAGCAAGCTTGGCAACAAGTTTATAAAAAGTAGTTAAACTTGCACATAATGGCTTTAGCAAGTAGTTAAACTTGCACGTAATGGCTTCACCAAGTAGTTTAACTTGCACGTAATAGCTTCACCAAGTAGTTAAACTTGCACGTAATGGCTTCACCAAGTAGTTAAACTTGCATGTAATGGCTTCACCAAGTAGTTTAACTTGCACAGGCTGCACCAAGTAGTTAAACTTGCAAGTAATGGCTTCACCAAGTAGTTAAACTTGCATGTAATGGCTTTACCAAGTAGTTATACTTGCACGTAATGGCTTCACCAAGTAGTTATACTTGCACGTAATGGCTTCACCAAGTAATTAAACTTGCCAGGTAAAGGATTCAGAAAATAATTCTATTCATTAATCTTGAAAAGTACAGGCTACTTTTTGTAATGTCAATCTTGAATATTTGTATTTTGTAGACATTTTAGAAGCTAAGGTAGAATTTAATGAAGACAAAGACATGAAGAAAAGTGATATGAAATTATTTACAGAAAATGTATGGATTCAAAGTATTGGAATAGTTTGATGGAGGCGTGGCCATGTGCAGAAGACTATTACTACAGCTAGTTTTAAAATCAATGTTCCATTTCCCCTTCAAATAACAGAGTCCAGACACTAATGGCATGTAATTTGAGCAATCTTTCATGTACAAGTTTATCTAAGCAGTAAAATCAATCCTCCCCCAAGCCAAATGGTTTGTTTACATAACTACATGTTATCAGCTCGAGATTTCTACTGAGACAAAAAGCTAATAATAGAATTGATTTTGGCTCTTTGTTCTCTCGTGTAGCCTCCAGGCAAATACTGCATGTTAATGGCACATGCCAATTACTGCTAGGCTTAATGACAGGTCTAGTTCTTGGCTAATCTCTAATGTCAATGACAGGTCTGGTTCTTGGCTAATCTCTAATGTCAATGACAGGTCTGGTTCTTGGCTAATCTCTAATGTCAATGACAGGTCTGGTTCTTGGCTAATCTCTAATGTCAATGACAGGTCTGGTTCTTGGCTAATCTCTAATGTCAATGACAGGTCTGGTTCTTGGCTAATCTCTAATGTCAATGACAGGTCTGGTTCTTGGCTAATCTCTAATGTCAATGACAGGTCTGGTTCTTGGCTAATCTCTAATGTCAATGACAGGTCTGGTTCTTGGCTAATCTCTAATGTCAATGACAGGTCTTGGCTAATCTAAAATGTCAATGACAGGTCTGTGTCAATGACAGTCAGTCTGGATGTTGGCTAATCTCTAATGTCAATGACATTTCTGGTTGATTAACTTTACAACAGGGAGGCTTCTGATAACCACAGAGAAAGATTAGGGCTGACTAAAACATTAGCAAGCAAGAATAAATCAATTACTGAGATATGAAACTAACAATGAATATAAATGAAATTTATAAATGAATTTTTTATTGAACACAACACTAATGATAAGAAATGGATCCTTGTTTAAAATTTGCTTTTGTACAACATAACACTCAAAAGGGTCTTCAACTAGAACTAAAACTTAAGTGAATTATTTATGTCAAGTCCAATGTCACAGACCAGTTCTACAATGTTGACATAATGTTACAAAACTCCATCCAATCAGCTCTAACAACAAAATCAATGAATAAACTCTACCTAACAGCATCAATTATAAATGCAACTAATCATTAGAATCACAACAGCCTATCAAGGGAAAGAAAACAACACCAGCTGGAAGGGGAAGAAATCAAACTTAACCAGCTTCTCCCAAGTCAATAACAAGCAAACTACAATATCCAAATCTATTTGAGATCACCTGTCACAGGCAATATCCAAATCTATTTGAGATCACCTGCCACAGGCAATATCCAAATCTATTTGAGATCACCTGCCAGAGGCAATATCCAAATCTATTTGAGATCACCTGCCACAGGCAATATCCAAATCTATTTGAGATCACCTGCCACAGGCAATATCCAAATCTATTTGAGATCACCTGCCAGAGGCAATATCCAAATCTATTTGAGATCACCTGCCAGAGGCAATATCCAAATCTATTTGAGATCACCTGCCACAGGCAATATCCAAATCTATTTGAGATCACCTGCCACAGGCAATATCCAAATCTATTTGAGATCACCTGCCACAGGCAATATCCAAATCTATTTGAGATCACCTGTTACAGGCAATATCCAAATCTATTTGAGATCACCTGTCACAGGCAATATCCAAATCTATTTGAGATCACCTGCCACAGGCAATATCCAAATCTATTTGAGATCACCTGCCAGAGGCAATATCCAAATCTATTTGAGATCACCTGCCACAGGCAATATCCAAATCTATTTGAGATCACCTGCCACAGGCAATATCCAAATCTATTTGAGATCACCTGCCAGAGGCAATATCCAAATCTATTTGAGATCACCTGCCAGAGGCAATATCCAAATCTATTTGAGATCACCTGCCACAGGCAATATCCAAATCTATTTGAGATCACCTGCCACAGGCAATATCCAAATCTATTTGAGATCACCTGCCACAGGCAATATCCAAATCTATTTGAGATCACCTGTTACAGGCAATATCCAAATCTATTTGAGATCACCTGTTACAGGCAATATCCAAATCTATTTGAGATCACCTGCCACAGGCAATATCCAAATCTATTTGAGATCACCTGCCAGAGGCAATATCCAAATCTATTTGAGATCACCTGCCAGAGGCAATATCCAAATCTATTTGAGATCACCTGCCACAGGCAATATCCAAATCTATTTGAGATCACCTGCCACAGGCAATATCCAAATCTATTTGAGATCACCTGCCACAAGCATGATCATCTGGCAA